ATTAACCGAAAATCAAAAAATTGAAAATCAAAAATCGAAAAAAAATCACAAAATTTAATTGGATTGAATTGGTCTTTAGATGAGTGGGTGAAAATCGATCCAATCCAAACCGATCCAATGATTCTCCAACCTTACCATTTACCTACTTGGGCTTTTCCCTAATCATAGCCCAAAAGCCATATAGCAAAATTCTAAATCTAATACCCATTAATCTATCATGTTGGAGAAAGCGGGTTGTGCTTAATCTATGTTATGCTTTTTTTTAGTAAGATACATAATATATTTTTATTACTATTGTTGTACAACAACTCTTCTATAGGATGAAAATTTGGATTACTTCGTATATCAGGCAGCTATATTATAAATTTTTTGTGGGAGGTAAAAGATAATAATTCAATTTTTTATTGCACAATGCTTCTAGATTGCACAATAATCATCATACAAACTTTACAAAACCAATACATACAAAATATATGTTATTTGCACAATAATCATCATTCAAATCTTAGGCTTTTAAAAAAATCGAAAATCAATCCAATTCAAACCGAATAAAATTGGATTGTATCGGATCGGATTTGAAAAAAAATCCAAACCGAATGAATGATTATATGATTAAACCGAACTGATTGGATCGAATGATTTTTCTTCTAAAATCGATTCAATCCAAACCGCGAACACCCCTAGTCGGACCTAGAAAGAAGATGAAGATGAGAGAATGACAAGCTAAAACACTAGGATTATAATAATTGATAGTGAGTCATTAGATTTAATTTTGATTCAACGGTGATTAAATTGATTGTAAGGGTGAAAAACTTTTTTAACGTAAATATAACCCCTTCCATAAAATATATGGTTTATTTTCCCAAACTAGTATCTTAAATTCTAAAATTTTGTTATAGCACGGGGATAATTTATTATATGGCATTTATTAAATAATTATTAATATATATATATATATATATATATATATATATATATATATATATATATAGGGACAGGATATTCTTACACCGGTGTAAGAGTTAGAAGCCTTACATTCAATCTTGAGCATTAATCCACTTGTATCCAATGGCTCACATTACTAAAAAATTGGAGCTCTTAGATATAAGTGGGATCAACGATCAAGATTGAGAGTGTAACTTACATTAATGTAAAATGATCCTAACACACACACATATATATATGGGTTTAGTGAGTATACAGTGACTGGATGTAAAAATCGATCCGGTGCACTATATTCTCCCGCGAGAACACAGTATAGTAAAAATTATAACTATGTTCTCCCGGGAGAACACCATTATAATATTTTTTGTGCTATGTTCTTGCGGGAGAACTTAGTGCACTGGACCGTCCAGTCACTTTATTTTCATTTTTTCCTATATATATATATATATATATATATATATATATATATATATATATATTAGGAAATTCAATTAATGACTACTTTTAAGTAATAATTAGTTTAAAACTATTCTTTGTTTCTTTTTTTTTTAAAAAAAATTCAAAACTATTCTAGATTATTATTACAAGGCTGAATACAAAGAATCTAAAAAATCAGAGAAAATCAAATACAAAATTTGTACCACATCGATATCTCACAACAAGGGCACCAAAATTGGCTCGGCCCGCCCATTAAATGAGGGGGAGATGGGCTAAGTTTTATAGGCCACTCTCAAAAGCGGGGCTGAATGGGTTGGCTCATCTTTTTTGGGTTAATATAAAATAAGTTCGGGCTGGCGGACCAACTTGTTTCGCTCGAGTTTTTTAGTTCATTTTCAAAAACGATGTGGACCGCCAATTTTATCACCTCTACGCACAACATAGAAAGATTCGTAAACACTGTATATTTTTTAGTACAACCGTTGCACTAGTACTCAGTGAAACAGTGATATGATAACCATGTATTTCATAGAATAAATAGTTATAATATTAAAATTATTTTTTATCTCTCTCTTTAGAAACTTTTTAAAAATTTGATAGCTAATATGAAAAAAAAAACTTTAATATTATAACTATATTCTCTTCAAAATTCATATTATAATACCACCCTTTCATTGCACTAAAAATTTGTTCATAGTCACCTTAGTGAATTTGAAAGGTTGGCGCCATCTCATAAGGCAATCTCATTTTTCTGATTGGATCTACATTTACACTTATTCACTAACTCAAATATTGACTTGAGTGTCAAAATATCTTGCATGTACCCATCCGCTTCTATTCCAAGAAGAATATGAACAACCGACCTACTGCAAACCAAAGAAAGACTTCAACTTTAAATCAAGTGTGTATGACTCGTCTAAGGAGATCTTTGTGCCGATAAAAAAACACTAAAGAACTTTCGGTGGGGAGCTCGGGTTATTTCTTCTTGCTTACTTCAGTCTGTAAATTCTGTTTTCTACAATTCAAAACTCTGCCAAGACATATTTTCAAGACTTTATTGGAATAGCTTACTTTCAAAACTATTATTCTTTATTATATGATTTTAACCAATAATTAATCAAACCATCAAATTTAATTCCACAGCATTGCAACTATGATGGTCCATGAACACTCTGATTTATTGCTTTATACCACACTTATATTTTTTATATGTTTTGGCAAATTAAGAAGTTTTCAAACAATAACAACTCAATTTACTTTTTATCTATATTTTAATTTAAAAATTACATTTCAATCTTATTTACAAGTTAATTTAGAGAGAGAAAAATCTAAAGAGATAATTCTTTTTAATTTTTCAAAAAACTTCATATAGAAAAAGTGTATTATATAAGTTAAAAAAATAAAATCATAAATGTATATTATAATTAATCATATTTTAATTGAAGTAACCCTCCATTTCCTTTTGGGGTTTACAACTCTTATGTTACTGCACTCCAAAAAATATTTGCAACTGAACCCAAGAGGTTGTAGAATCGTAATACGTATCATATATTGTTTGACCCATTTTTTGTATCGTATATCATGAATCGTAAGATACAGAAATATAATAAAAAATAATTTAAAAATATATAATATAATGAATATCATATAAATCTAAATTCCAAAAGGATCCAATAAACAAAATACACAAGTAATTAAAGTGTAAACCAGTTATTCTCTTACTCATCAATAATTAATACTAATATTATCACTATTATCACCATCAACATATCTATCACTGACATAACTAATCCATCATTCTCTTCCAAAAAGATCCTTTAACATATATATATACCAAATGATGGTAGCTCAGTTGGCGCATGGGAGCTGAGCAGGTGGGGGGTGAGGGCATGTGTTCGAACCTCCTCAGTACCACCTTTGGGAGAGATTTAAAGCCTTAATCCTGGACCCGCCCCGAATCGGACTAATCGCGAAGCGATGAACCGATGAAATATTTCCAAATATATATATATATATATATATATATATATATATATATATATATATATATATATAATATATATATAAATTGCAAATCAAATCTTTATTTTTTGTTTAATATTAAAAATTAAAAAATTTCATTTAACTTTTATATCGTATCATAAAATACAGTATCAAATCTGATACACCCTACGACACGTATCACTATGCTTATAAACCGTATCGTGTATTATAAGATTAGTGATAACTATCGCTGATACAATAAAGATGTGTGAACCACATTTTTTTTTTTGTTTTTTTCTATTTCCTCATCTCACTTTCTCTCTCGCGAATCGGACTAATCTGCAAAAAAAAATTGGAATTAAGCAACATAAACCCCTTTCTTTTTTCTTATGAATATATAACCCGAATAACCCGAAACGAAGGTAAGCCTTCCTTTCGTTACCCTTACTTTTTTTTTATTTCTTTCATTTCCTTTCCATCCCCCCTCCTAACTTCCAAACACCCCCTTACAGTTCTAACCCAACTATTGCAATTCCAGTACAGGTTTGCCCTAGCGCTACTCTCTGGATAAATTCAAAATAAAGCAAAATATGACCAAAATAAACATCAAAGGCCAGCTAACATCAATCTCTCCCAGAGTCCCACTAAGTACTTAGGCACCGTAAACAAATTAGTCTACTAAATAAATACAAACAATATTTTTATCCCCCGACATAAACTCGCTAATAGACTATCTATCAGTATTGTTATTATACATATAGTTTGCAAAAAGATACAACGTAACTTCTTCAGTCAAATAACACCTACAGTGAATAACTTCAGTGAATAACTTCAATTACTCCTGCCAACCAATTTCATCATTTTGACACAGAAAGTTTTCTTTAATATCATTAATCATCTCTAAATTGTTTGCATTTGTTACCTGGGTGTCTTCATTTTTTAAGGCACTGGGAATGTTCAAGACATAAAGGAGATGGGAGATTTCCCCAACATGGTACTCAGGAAAGATCAACCTAATAAAACAACCAACAAAAAGAACAATGCAAAAGAAGCAAAAACATACAAATATAATTTAGATGCCTCTTTTTGACACAAGTCTGGAAGAAACATTTGTGGGCAAGCATAAAAACACATCTATCATTCCATTTGAATAGATAAATAGTGAATAGAAAATCAAATTGTAAACAACCCAATCCAAGTTCTACAGATAAATCACTGTGAGCAGAACAGAAGCACAATGAGTTCTCTATCGTGTCTTCGATCATATAAAAAATTCTACATTCTATTCGCTATGCACCGTACATAAGGTTGGCATAGAAAAAGAGATGTTGAGGAGTAATGCAACCATGACTTGGATGGATAATTGAACCTATCACCAAGTAACATCGAAAAATCTCTCGCCACTCCATGGTATTAACTTATAAAAGGGCATTCCTTGCACTCAGTACTTACATTGACCACCCCAAATGTAGCAATGATCAATAACTCAACTAGAATCATGTTTCTTCCTCTAAACTATTGCTAAATTGTAATGCTTAGAACTTAGATCCGACAAACGAGTCTATGTACCCAAACTATCAATTAAGCGCGCGCGGGGGGGAGAGAAATCACTAACGCAACCATAAAAGCAGTAAAGAAATTTCCATGGAATTAGATATTAAATGATAAATTATATACAATATTCACAGTAAATGCATAATCAAACAGGGAAGCAATGCCCAATCACCACCTTTCAACAAGCATTGATTTGAGGATTTGACCAACGAATGCATTCCAACGGTACCAAATCAGCAAATTGGAGCCAATCTCGCGGGAACCTTTTCCCTAGCAGAATCCGCAACAATTCGAACAATCTTCTTGAACGAAAAATGCAAGCAATTCGAGAGCATAATCCACGAGAGCACCTGATACACGAAATCGAACGCAGGATCAGGCAACGACGGTTCATCCCAATTATGACCGTCCCCAAATCTATTATCATTCCAACCACCGCCACCGCCACTGCCCCCGAAACCACCGCCGCCGCCGCCAAAAGGACCATCACCACCGTCACCATAAAAGAACCCCTCATCACCGGCGTCACCAGAGCCATCATCCGACAACCTGCGTTTGGTTCGCCGTTTTCTCCGGAGAAGAGTCCGACGACGAGGCACCTTGTACGCAGCGGGCTTCACCGGCGGCGGCGCCACAGCATCGTAAGGCATAATCATCGCCGAGATCTGCTCGGTACCGGAATCGGCGATGGAAAAGTTACAGCTGGATTGACAGCTTGGAAGGACGCGGAGACCTACCGCGGCGGTTACTGTGACTGTTTCAGAGACTATCATCGTCGAGATCATCGTGAATTTCACGCAAAATGAGAAGGAGAAACACGAATATGCGAAAACTATTGTTCGTTTTTTTCAATTTAAGGACCGAAGCAAAATAGAAATCGTAATGGGTTTCCTCTGTGGAATGTGGAGACGGCAAGTCTCTCCAAAACGCTAGCGTGTCAGTTTGACTATGACACCTATCGGAGGAACTCGGTCCCTCAATTTCACTTTTAAGGGTACGTCTGAATGAGTTTTTCCTTAGGTAAAAAAACCAATTCTCGTTCGGATTTTAAAGAATTTCAATGAATTGTTTTTGGATAAAATTTTTGATTAGGATTTGATTAAGATTTTAAAAGATTGTAAAAAAGTTATGCATATTCAATTAAGATTTTAAAAGATTATTTTAGAATTTGTACAAATCTTAATATATATTCAATTAGAATTTTAAATAGAGTAAAATTAATTTTATGATGTTCAAAAATCTAACGATTTTAATTAATTTTATATTGATGTGAATTTCATGAGATTTTTTAGTGAGAAATAAAGATAGGATGCTTCTTTCACAATCTCATCCTAACCCTTAAAATTTCTTGAGATTTCTCTATTGCAGTGTTTTCTTCTTCCTTTGGCTGGTTGACACGTTTGAATCCAGTTTTCGCCGTGAGAGCTTCGTTAACATAATTTTGAGTATTTTCATCACAAAATAACCCAAAATTTACAAACCAACAAAATTCTATATAATCCATCTAAAAATAGCAGATTTTCGAGAGCTTTTGGAAGTTTAAAAAATAATCTTTGCACAAAAAGGTGTAATTTTTGTATTAAAAGAACATAAAACATGTGAAAATAACAGGAAAACTAAAAACCGCAAACCAATTTTCATTTTACATCAACAAAACAATAACAATTTAAAGAAAAATTAAAACTTTCATAGTATGAAACCTATATTTCATAACAATACATTCATGAATGAAATTCCTTCGCCATAGCAAATGATTTCAAATAATTTTTGTGTCAATAGATAACTAAAACCTTGTTTTTTAAAAGCCCCAAAGCAATTTAAGGTTTCAATGTTTTCAATTGAAAATAATTTGAAATTTTTTCTAAACTTTTATGTAATAAAACCCATAAATTCATATTCAAAATTTTCTTAGAATACTCAATAAAAACATGCATATGATATATGGTTAGAAAACTCTCATCACGTAGAACAAAAAACCCCAGCTTTCCAAGATCAATGGCAAAAATTCCAAAACAAAATTTTATCATAAACTTCAGGTTCTATATGCAAATTTAGAATTATTTTAATAAATAAAAAAAATTGGGTCTTATAATCATATATACATACATCTGATACCAAACAAAGAAGATAAATTTTAACTCATTGGTTAAATCCAAGAGCAGGAACGAGAAAATGCTAATGCGTGGAGGACAATTATAGCTTTAGATATGTGGAGAGATGTTGCTTAGTAACTTTGAATGTTTGTTAAAAATAATATTATGTTTTGGTGATTGAGAAAATTATATTAGGTTTTACTTTTTTTATTAATATCATTGTATTGTTTTATTATTTTTTTCATTGACTTTTGTAATTTTTAATTTAGTTTTTAAAATCTTATAAATGTATATTGTTCTTTCAAATCTTCTAAATTCTATTAAAAAAATTTAAAAATCAATCTTATGAAATCTTGAGTGCAAAAAAAGTTTTTTTTAAAAAAGTCTTTAAAATTCATCTAATTCTAAATAGTCTCTTAAAATTTATAAATTTTTTATCTCAAAAAAATCTTTTAAATTCCTAATTCAATATGCCCCCAAGTTCGTTTGGATGTCTATTTTAAAAAAAGCATAAGTTACAAAAAAAGCCAGCCAAAAACATGCTTTTTTGGAAGCTTAAAATTTTAGCTTATATAAAAAACATAAGTCAGAAGCCAAATATTTTTTTTCAAAAACTAAATATTTTTATGAAAATATAAATAGCTTTAATTTTTATAAAAAGTACTTCTAAAATAAGAAAGGGATAAAATCTACTTTTTCTAGAAGCTCAAACAAACGGGCACTGAGAAGTCTTATTGATTGGATCCTGTAACACCCTTGTATATATCCGGCAATGTTATCATACTATCGTATTAAGTAGCGCTTAATAAAAATGCGAAATATCTTTTTCTTTTTAATTATGATGTCATTATCATTACCAACTTGCTTATTAATCAATTAATAAAACAACGCCTGTATGTAATTGCAATAAAACAGCTATCTGAATATACCTCATAACATAGATAATAAAAGTGTGGCTCTAGTCACGGAACTACAACAACGTAGACCGGACCATCTAACAGTTTATACAACTCCAATCTAAAGCACTAACATAAAGTGTCATGGACAATCCCCATGCTCACTCAAATAAAGCAACACGCCCAACATCAGTCTCAACAACGACGACATGATCATAAATAGCGGAAAAACATAAACAACATCCAAATCCAGTCATGGCAGCAATACAGCTTAATATCAACTAAGCTCTGGCCTCCTGCCGCCAGAGGCATCAGTCACCAAACTACCGGAACCTGAAATAAGCATTCCCCAAACGTGAGGTGAGATCTCTAAACAAGAAATCTCAGTAAGACAAGGGGTCCTCAAGGATCTTCCACCCCAAGCTCACTCACATGTGCAATATAAGTTTAAAAGTAGATATCATCATCAGTTCTAAAATAGTGCAATGCAGCAGATAATCATGTCATGTGTGTCAATTCTATTCTACTGGCCAGAGAAATGCAGGATTTACATACGCCAAATACCCACACTAGTGCAAGCCGCTACTTGCGTTCACCCCGGATCACCATCTCGTATGACGCCACATACTCATGTTTACCGTCAAGATGAAACAACACATGCATATTAAAAGCCATTACACATAAAGCTCAATCAGCATTTCAAATATTCAAAGCATGTAACACAACATGCATATAACCACACCCCCATGGGACATGGTGGAACCACAACATGGCTAAACCGAGGACACGAAAGCTTACCTTGCAAGCTAACACCCAAGGCCAAGAGTCCACAGCTCAAAGTCCAAACACAACAGATTCACAATCTGTTATGGACCAATACTATATCAATAATAATGCGACACAAGCATATAAATTAAAGACAACGCCTTTCCTTACGTTTTACGTCTTAAGGCTCCATACCAAGCCATAAGTCCTTAATCACAACGATTCTGACTTAGTTCATTAATTACAGAAGTTCCACTTCATCAATCTAGGGTCCACAAACCCCCCAATAGCCTACTGTACACACAGCACAACCACTGTTCTTCGAAATCCCAGAATATCCTGATATTCCTCGGGACCATATCCGGATATCACATATCCGGATATCTCACTGGAAATATCCAGATATCACATATCCGGATATCCAAATCCCATATCCGGATATCACATATTCGGATATTCATCGGGCAGATATCCGAATATTTCACGACAGAATGCAGAAACTGCATTTCGTGAAGATATCCATCAAGGCTGGGTTTTTACCGATTTTAAGCACCTAAACATGCATTTCTAGGTGTTTTCAACATTACCCAACAACAAGTTATCATCTTTCAGCCTTTAGATGCATCAAGCTTTCATTTTTAAAGCATGGAACTCAAGTTCAAAGGTTGGTACACATACCCCAGCTCAAAACAGAAGAAGAGGTTGCTCTTTGAAGCTCACAATCAGCCCCTCAAGACTAACTCAACAAGGTGCACGAAAATGGATCAACAAGCTTGGACCTTTCAACACAAATGAAGCTTCTTGGACCTCAAAATGCCAAAACAAAGGCTACCACAAACAACCAACCCAAGTCAGCCTCAAAACCTCACACACAGCAGCTCTCTCAACTCAGAAAAGACTAGCAATGGAGTCCCAAAGCTAGCTCTCACCCTCACCAAGTGTTTCCCAAGTGAAAGTGTGAAGAAAATCAAGAAAGGAAGTGTTTGGACCCAAAATGGAGAAGAAACCCCAAGGAGCAGCCAAGCTGATCAGCCACCCTCACACACTCACGTTTAAATCTGTTTTCTAGGGCATTGTGCCATTAGAAATGAGTATTTATAGTCACTTACCCAATTAACACACAGTATTAACTTTAATTGCTACGCTTAGCATTTTAATCCCAAACTTTGGAATCTGAAACTACACATTTTTCCAAGAATTATCATATTTTTCTTATAATTTTCTGAGCACTTTTCCGGTACGCGCTTTTCCAAGCCAGTACCGGTTTCTAGCACCAGTTCTCATTATTTGGACTTGAAACTCGTTTTATAAGTCCTACATATTATTCTAGTAATTATCATGTACTTATTATAAATTTTCGGGATACTTTTTTGGTACTCATTTATACCGACTAGCAGAACCGGTATCTGCACTTTTCTTCTGAAAAGCGACTTTCAGCATTATTACTCACTTACTATAATTATTAAAGCCTCATAATAATTATTAGGGTCAATTATGAAATCATTTTCTATTTTCTCATAATTTATTAATTAAATTCCTTAATTAACGGTGCAGGTTCTTACAGATCCCAAAGTCGGAATCCGAATTCGCATCTTGGCGAACTGAGGTCAATACATTCTTTTGTCTTCACATCGAGCTTCGCCCTTTCGTCTTTAGGAATATGCACGAAAGCTCGTCATGCAAATACTTTCAAAAGATCATAGGCTGCTTTTTTTATCGATCTAGACTTCATGAATTTCTCTTTCAAATGGCCGGAAGGTGGGAGGTTTATCAAGTCAACATCAATTTTGACGGCTTCTCCCCCAGATGATTTCGGCAATCCGACATTGAATATCATACATCGGATCTTCTCTTCAATAGTTTGGTTCATCCTTTCAGCAAATCCATTCAGCTGCGGAGTCTTGGGGGGCGTATTCTCAAGTCGGATCTCAACTGCTCTACACTATGCATCAAATAGGCCGCAATACTCATCACCATTGTCAGATCAGACCACTTTTAGCTTCTTGTCAGTCTCCCTTTCCATCATAGCATGAAACTTTTTAAAGGCTTGGAGTACCTGGTCTTTAGTTTTCAACAAATATACCCACACTTTGGGGGAATGATAATTAATAAAAGAAACAAAATATAAAGCTCTACCAAGGGATCTTTCCGACATTGAATATACGTTGGTATAGATGAGGTGGAGAATATACCTGTGTCGTCTGGGTTTATTTGGTCTCATGAAAGAAACCCGGTGCTGCTTTCCAGCTAGGCAGTGCGTTCAACTATCCAGTACTTGCCCTTTCAACATGGTTAATAATTTTTTCTTGTTCAGAATTTGGAGCCCTTACTCGCTCATAAGGCCAAGGCGTTTGTGCCACAACTCCATACTAGGTCCATCTCGAACAGAGTTGGTTTTTCTACCATTTATCTTTTCTTACATCACGTGCAAGGAGCCTTTCTTATTTACTCAGGCAACCACCAAATTTTCCTTGGCCAATTTCCATCTACCATAACCGAAGTAGTTCGCTAACACGACATCGTCTAGCTTGCCTACCAAGATTAGGTTCAAACACATATCAGGCACATTCCTTACATCTTTCATCACAGGTAGGCACCCGACATCCGTGGTCAAGGTCACATTATCGACACCAACAATCTTGCTGGTCATCTAATTTCCCATCTTCACGACCAAAATAATTACCTCAGTAGGATGAGAAAAAAACTTTGCGTGGGGTGACATGAAAGGAGGCACCGGAGTCAACAATCCAAGTGTAGTCATCATATCCAACATTTAAAAAATTTTCTTCATTGAGTAAAAATATATCGACATCAGCACTGGCAACCTCCACAATAGTGCTCTTGTCTTCTTTCTTCTTCAGAATAATCTGATCAGCCTTCACAATGTCGTTCTTCTAATCTTTCTGCAGAGTCTTGCAGTCCAGTTTCTTGTGACCGGACTTCCCACAGTAGAAGCACTTCAATTCCTATTTCGATCTTGATCGCTCTCTGAACTTATCTCGTCCGTCATGATCCCGACTCTTGCTATAACCACGAGCGTCAGACTTTCCTCTATTATTGGTCCTGCTTGCCTCAGATGTGCTGGTTACACCTCGTTCCCTTCACCTGGATTCCTTATTTAGGAGGTTGTTTGACACGACATCCATCTTTAATTTTCCATCAGGAGCCGAGTTACTCAATGTCACTGCTAGAGTATCCCACGTTTCTAGTAGTGAGCTCAACAGCAACAACACCTACATCAAGTCATTTATCTTCATCTTAGCTTTAAACAGCTGTTTCGTAATACCTTTGTAGGTGTTGAGGTGTTCAATTATGCTTATACCGTCCTTGTACTCGAGTTTCACAAGTCGACGAAACAGGTGTGCTTTGTTCTTGGGAGTCTTATTCTAAATTAGGGACTCCAACTCCGTCTATAACTCGTATGCATTCGTGAAATCAGTCACGTGTTCAAAGAGGCTTTTGTCAATGTATTTCCTGATCGTGGCGATCGCCTTTCGACTCAGGATCTCCCATTACTTCTCAGTTTTGCCTTCAGGCCTCTCTTCAAGGACGATGGACACATATAAGTCTTTGCAATAAAGATGGTCTTCCATCATAGGTCTCTAGTAAGTGAAGTTGTCTGAGGTCAACTTGAACATGTCTCCATCATGCGAAATTCCACTGGTCTCCATCTCGTCTCCTTCAGAACTCATCGAACTCGAGCTTTGATACCACTGTTGGGATGAACTCGGTCCCTTAATCTCGTATAGGAAGCCTTTGTAGAAGTCAAACGTCAAGCTCAGAGCTCGGCTATCAGAGAAGTCGGCCTATACGCAGCAGAAACAAAAAAATATAAAGGAGAGAAAGAAAATGAACACAAACAGATTTTAATGTGAGAAAACCTTCTTCAATGTGAAGAAGTAAAAAACCCACAAAACCCTAGTTCAAAATCAAACTTTCACTTTGAAAATAATAAGTTACAAGAGATCAAACATTACCAATAAATGGTGGTACACTCAAACCTTACCTACAATGGTAATATTTTCTCAAACTATCCTAAGGTGGTGGTATTCTTTAAAACTTTCCTAAGGAGGTCTAACACTTAAACTTATCCCTAAAGGTGCTCTCAAAATCAAAACTTTAAGTTCATTTCACAAAACTCTCAAAAATGTCTCTCAAGTTATCCTTACTTCCATCCCACAACTAATACTTATATATGGGAGGAGAAAAAGTTCTAAAATATCGAAAGTGAATATTAGAGTTACTTGAATTCCAAGCTCTTTAAGTTTCTTCAGCCCGATTCACTAACATTGGACCTTGATAACATTAAGGAGGAAAAGCGCAATAACATAATCCATATGTCGTTTTTATATCGTCATACTTATGGATGTGCTAATACCAGTTTCAATGACAGGTTAAGCTTCTGGTACTTTTTGGCGATGACAATTCGGGGCCCAAGATCAGGGCAACTATGAGATCATCGTCTAGCTGTCATTGTTATCCAATTTGCTTCGAAGCATTCAATTTGCCCCTTGTCTTTTTCTATGGTAAATAAAATTGGATTATTTAATTTAAGGGAAATAATATTATTATATTATAGGAAAATAATTATCTAATCTAATAGAAATAAATTTATAAGTGATACCTACACATAAGAAAAAAAAAGAAAAAATAGAGATGATATCTATCTTTTTTTTATATATATAAAAAATTTGTTTTTCTTATTCATCGTAAGAGAAATATAACCCTTTAATTTAAAGAGTTACATTATGAAAGCTTGAATATGATATAATTGTTATTCATCAATAGCAGATCGAAGGAAGGGAATTTGTTTCTTGGAACCATTGACATTAATTTAGTTTAGGTACAGCCGGCCAGTGCTAGAGAATGCATGCCGAATTAAAATATGTGCAAGCCCTGAAATCATTTATCGTCAACCTCTTCAAATGCAATACAGTATTAATGTATTATATATTTACAAAAAGAAAAGAAAAGAAAAATGTGAATATTTATCATAAGCTATTGGCTCGCAACGGCAAGAGAAAGATTCAAAGTATTGCAAATTCGTCGCCGTTCTTCGTTTCAACCGCAACCTATTATTAAAATATTAAAATCGTGATTTGATTCATGCATTCTGCTAAGCCAACTTCCAAATCGGAATGGTGGCGGAGCCGTTATTTTGCGACTACGATCAAATGCAATCGGAGCCGTCAACATCATTCCGGGTTGAGTCATCTCGGATTTTCGATGAGTTGCCGGAAGCCACCATTGTCTCCGTCTCTCGTCCAGACGCCGCCGATATCAGCCCCATGCTCCTCAAATACACTATTGAGTTTCATTACAAACAGGTACCATAATACCATTTCTCTCTTCATTATAAACAGCTTTTTGCTTTACAGTTACACTCTATCAACGTGGATGTAAATATTAGGAAAATTAACCACAAAGTTTACTTCAACAAAATAAATGCATAATGCAACTCTTCTGAATTATCCAAACTACCACTTTCCCGTATGTATATTCTGAGACAGATATTTACCACAAAAATTTTTTTAACACCTTTATAACCAACCTAATCATCCTTGAATTCCATCAATTTAACGGTTATAATTTATTGGAAATTATTGGATCGCATTTATTAATTAATTATTATTCTTAATAAATTATAACGTTAGATTGACAGAAATCAACGTGATTAAATTAGTTGTAAAGATAATAAACTTTTTTGGTGGTGAGTATATCCTTCTCCGTGTGTTTTAGCTTCCTTAATTTAAAATATTCCCATTTTAAACTTGTTTCCTCTTTCGATAGATAATGATTTGATTTTATTTATTTACTTCAATCTGCCTTCCCACAGGAGTGTACTTTAATATTAATATATCTCATTTTTCCTTCCAGTTCAAGTGGCAGCTGGTGAAGAAAGCTTCTCAAGTAATTTATTTGCATTTTACATTAAAGAAACGCGCCTTCATTGAGGAGATTCATGAGAAGCAAGAACAAGTATGTGTTAAGCATTGTTATTTATACGGATTTTTGGTTGGTTGCTTATGTATAAATGCTTTTATACATTTGTTAGAGAATAATATAAATCATTAAAAAGGCCATCACCTAACACCTTAAGGTTTTGGGTTGAAGTGGTTTTTTACATGGTATCAGAGCTCAAGTGACTACAAGGTTTTGGGTTGAAGAATATTTAAAGTTTTGGATTGAAGTGGTTCTTTAAATTGGACCTGTGCAATATTCATGCTTCTAGCCTAAAGGGCTCGTCAAGGGGTGTGTTAGAGAATAATATAAATCATCAAAAAGACTCTCATCCAACACCTTAAGGTTTTGGATTGAAGTAGTTCTTTACAACATTTATAATTTTTTTTTTTATGATATCCTTGTTTATCGCTCAAAATTCGGATTTTGATGTAATTTTATGTTAAAGGTTAAAGAATGGCTTCAAAATATAGGAATAGGAGATCAGACTCCTATGTTGCAAGATGATGATGAAGCTGATGATGAAAGCATTCCTTTATATAATCATGATGAGAGTGCTAAAGACAGGTGACCCCCCCCCCCAACAAGCATCTTATATTTATGTACTCTTTGAACTGCAACTTATGTATTCTGTGGCCATAATTGCTTATGAGTTGGTTTTTGGTCCAGAGATGTTCCATCTAGTGCTGCTCTACCAATTATGCGGCCAGCCTTAGGAAGACAACATTCAATATCAGGCAGGGCAAAGATTGCTATGCAAGGGTATCTGAATCACTTTTTGGGAAATATCAGTATTGTTAACTCTCCAGAGGTATGCTCTGTGCGTGCACTTCTGAAAATAGATGTTTATCATTATAGAAGTTATTCTTTTATACACAGTCATTGATTCATTGTCGTGGTTCGAGTATGTCAATAGACATGTTTAAGTAGTACATCTTATATTCTGGTTTAATGTCAATGTTTTCAAAATCAGACCTGTAATTGAACCTGTAAAAAAAGAGGTTTAAGATTTTGAGGTTCAACTGGGTTCAAACCAGGGTTTCATATATATATACATACATACATACATATATATATATATATATATATATATATATATATATATATATATGTATGTATATATATATATATTATAAATTGAGGTTCAAACTTGAAAATAGGAAGCCAAACTTTTGTTGCATTACAAATTCTTATTTGTCTCACCTTGGACACATAAAGAAGAAAAAGATTGAGCTTTGGTTATAAATTGGGAACCGAATAATCAGTCTAGTGAAAATGTTCAAAATAATTTTACGAAAAAAAAACCAGTTCAACTATGTGAACTGTGCTTAGTAATCTTAAGTTGACCAGTGCATGATTGATTTTATGGTTTTTGATAATCCGAATTTTGATGGTTGACTGGACCAGCCAGAGGATCAAATAGCATCAATCTCAGGCTGACTATGCTAGTTGTTATACTTGTTTGCAGTGGGACCTTGATTGCAAGGTTTACAGATCCAAGTATAGTGAATATAATGCTTATGCGAATTGCTTAACACGTAATAGCGAGGATTTATTCATTCAGTTATTGCATACTTCTTTAATTATTCAAAATCAGTTGATATTTCATATTAGACAGTCCTACGATAGGAAAAAGAAAAATGAAAAAATTGAATTGTATGTCTTTCTTTACTCTAGCATTCATGTATCTAGATTTTGGATTTTAATTTTATACTTTTATTGATTGAATGATTGATAAATAAAAACTTACAAATTTGCCAACACACTGCATGCGTGCTTGTGAAGGTCAAATACAACCTGAACATGGCACACTGCCTTGGGAAAGAAACACATGCAGTGAAGAATAGGCAAAGGCATATGGGCTTCTAAAGAATCTTCAAACTCTACAAAAGTCCCACTTTATTAGAAAGAAGAATTAAGAAATGAGACAACAGACTCTGAATTTCCTCTTAATCTCCTGCACCGATTTTTCTTATTCTGAAAATGCTTATTATTTATCTCTTGCCACATATGAACATTAAACGGGATGGAAAACTAGATAAGGACTGAAATCCTCACCCTTAATCCATTTAAAAAATCCTTAATGGGTTTAGCATACCCATTTCATATCCCAAAAGTTGGAGAACCACATTCTGAAGTATTCTTTGCTACTGAGGAATGAATAAGCAGATGACCAGTGTACTTTTTTAAGATTTAAACACAAAATATTATGTTATCAGCAATACCATCTATAAGAACGAATGGATATTAGAACGTGCACATGCCTTCCAAATCTATTTGATGAGATGAAGTTGCTTTCTATATTTTCCTAAAACAGAAGCTTTGTTATAATAAGAAGTGTGCTTTCTCTCAGATAAGAAGCAGAAGCTTGACTTGGATATTATACATATATCTCAGTCGTTCAAAACAATAAAATGGAAGTTTCCCCCCTCTTTTTTGAGTACATGATACGTGGTTCCAACCTAACAATACAAAGTAAAAAAATTAACTTTGGCCTGCTGGTCACTAACTTGGTAAGGAGTGGGTGTTCCCTTGTAACTCCTCATTAACCCCCCCCCGCCCCCACCAAAATAAGAAACATAGTGGAAGGCTTTGTTATTTAAAATCGGATTTTGTAGGGAATGCTTCACCATGTTACCTGATAAGTAACTCAGAGAGAATCAGTTTCAAACAAGGCTAGCATGTTTGTGGTTCCTATTTTTTCTTTTTTTGGACATTTCCTCCATTAGACTCAAGTTTAATTGAGTTTAAGAAAGAAAAAAGAAGGAAGGCTTTGTTATTTAAAATCGGATTTTGCTGGGAATGCTTCACCATGTAACCTGATAACTAACTTAGAGAGAATCAGTTTCAAACAAGGCTAGCATGTTTGCGGTTCCTCTTTTTTCTTTTTTTGGCCATTTCCTCTATTAGGCTCAAGTTTAATTGAGTTTAAGCCACTACACGTAGTACATCTTATATGATTTGAACCTTAGAACCTGTAAGACATTTGTTTTTAGTCAAAGCTCATGCTGTTACTAGCTGTTTGTTGATTGTTTGATATTGTCTGTTGTATTTCTTGTTGCATTTATGGTACTGTTACACAATTGCATGCTGTAGGTTTGCAAGTTTTTGGAGGTATCAAAGTTATCTTTTTCACCAGAATATGGCTCTAAGCTGAAGGAAGAATACGTGATGGTGATGCATCTGGCTAAAATTGCAAAGGATGATGATTCCAGAAAGTGTTGTATGTCAGACTGTTTTAGTTGTTGTAATGATAACTGGCAAAAGGTAACAAAATCTTGCTTTTGATGCTGGAAAATATGCTTCACTTGTCTTGCATTCTCTTGCTACATGTTAAGCAAAATATTCTGCATGCAACATTTATGCACCATGTAGGAAGTCATATATACATTCATTCTTAAACATATGACAACTATATGGCATAAGACATCACTCAAACACTAGCATTGTTAACTTACAATGTGTGTAAACTACTCCCCATTAAATTCCAACTAACGAGGATAGGGGTGAGGATAATTTTCTCTTGTACAATGTGTGTACAAAAGAGAAACACTTATGCACTATGTAGGAAGTCATATATACATTCATTCTTAAACATGTGACAACTATATGGCATAAGACATCACTCAAACACTAGCATTGTTAACTTACAATGTGTGTAAACTACTCCCCATTAAATTCCAACTAACGAGGATAGGGGTGAGGATAATTTTCTTTTGTACAATGTGTGTACAAAAGAGAAACACTTATGCACTATGTAGGAAGTCATATATGCATTAGTAACTTACAATGTGGATATAACGGAATAGAATCTAGATATAGCACACGCCACACATATAAATGCTAAAAAATAAAGACATTCATTCATAATTAAATGGACTAGTGCTGGTGAACTTTGCAGAGCTTAACAAAGTGAACATAAATTCATCAACAGCAATAGGCTAAGGTAAAAAAGAAAGTAGAAAAGTATCATAAATACCTCTCCACCAACTATTAAAAGAGACGAGAGAGAGAGAGAGAGAGAGTGAAGAGACAAGAGAAGCAAGAGTGGAGAGAACGGGTTCAGGGATTTAGAATAAAAACCCGGTTAAAAGACCATAAAGCCCATAAAAAAAGGTCTGCTGGAAATTTAAAACGAGGGCAAGGTTGGAAACTCATGCCATTTCTCTATTGCGGTGTAATAGCACTGCGAAGCAACAGCTACTTGTTGCATTGCGGTGCGGCCCGTAGCTGCCACCGTCTGCTACCTGCTACCATTGCGAGATTGCCCACAATTGATAACCTTGTCCGGGACCTTCTCTACAAGGGTGCAATTATATGCAAAAATGGTAGTTTAACAGGATATGTTTGAAGGCACTAGTAATAAGCTTGTGCATAGCTTTATACCTAAATGTAGCTAAGTATTGCTAGATAGAGATATCACTGTTTTTTTTTAATTTCTAGAATGATAAATTTGTGAATGAAAGTGTTGCTCATGTCGGCATGTCCTTTATCTCACCAAAACTGATCAGATAAACAAACTCAGTAGACATATGCAAAATGTGAAAACAAAAAGCAGAGAAAACCAAAAGACTTATTTAATTAAGCATTTTTATTACTTACCTTGTCTTGGAATTCGCCTAACAATATGGCATTTTATAACATGAAGCATTAGTGGTATCATTTTAATTATTTTGAGCAGCTTTTGTTAGATTTGGTTTGTCTTCTGTATGCAGGTTTGGGCTGTACTAAAACCTGGATTCTTGGCATTGCTGGCAGATCCTTTTGATGTGCAACCTTTAGACATTATTGTTTTTGATGTACTACCTACCTCAGATGGGATTGGGCATGGTCCTCTAGTAGCAAAGGAAACAAAGGAACGGAATCCTTTACGCCATTCATTCAATGTGAGAAGGGTGCTCTTCTATTTCTATTGTTGCTTCATAGTCTTGTCAGCTGTTTCTTAAAAGATATAATGCCAATTTATATTATCTCTTTGCTGGATCACTATCCCTTATGATTTATTAACTGATTAGTGGATGTTATCAGATGTCTGGTAAATATCTTCAGAGGAAGATGGCTTTTTAACACCTTACTAAATACTTTAGGTCATTTGTGGAAACCGGAGCATTAATGTTAGAGTGAAAAGTAGTGGTAAAGTTAAAGATTGGGTTGCTGCAATTAATGATGCTGGACTTAGGCGTTCTGAAGGATGGTGTCATCCCCACCGCTATGGTTCTTTTGCTCCTCCAAGAGGCTTAATCGAAGATGGTTGTCAGGCTCAGTGGTTTATAGATGGACGAGCTGCATTTGAGGCCATTGCTTCTTCAATTAAGGATGCAAAATCAGAGGTTTGCTTACTCAATGCCAGAACATTCAAGGCCACTTTCATACATAATAATTTTTTAAAACAGAAAATAATTATTGTTTTTGAGTTTCTGTTCAATGATTTAAGAGACTCATGCAGATATTTATTTGTGGCTGGTGGGTGTGCCCAGAACTGTATCTACAACGTCCTTTTCACACTCATGCTACATCAAGGCTTGATAATTTGCTGGAAGAAAAAGCTAAGCAAGGGGTTCAGGTAACCTTTAATGTCAAATCTGTCTGTCATCCCCTTTACAATACCTTGCCAATTTTATTAAATAGATCGTTGTTACTTTTACTCAAATTAAAGAATTCTAAGAACAATCTGATTAGGGATAAATTGCGTGGCTGGACTGGACAGTCCGCACAAGATCTTTATATATGTTAGTAATAGTATTAATTACAATGATTCAATCCTGATTATACAGATATACGATCCTAAATTAGCTCCTAAGATTGCTCCTACTTGCTTCTACCATATATACACGAAATGCTTCCATAAAAAACAGTTTTGAATTACTTATGTTATTGAGTTGTTTGAATTGTAAAATATGTACAACCCTTCAAGGTTTTTAGTAAGATGTTGGATTTCAGTTATTTTATATGTATTGGTTTTCTATTTTAATAACTAGTAATATTTTATATAGTCGGAGTATAATCTGAGCATGGAGAATAATCCATTTCATTAGTCAAATTACACTATGGGGGCATTTGATTGAGGAAAAATTTTTTAAATACTAGGAAAATGTAATTGATAGGAAAATGGTTGGAAAGTGAGTTAGGTAGAAAAGTTAAAAAAAAGTTGTTCGGTTGGGCCAAATATTACCAGACAAATTGATAAAAAATTTAAAAATCTATGTTTGGTTGAGGATAAAATATTGATGGGTAAAAGGGATATAATTACAAATATAACCCCATGATAAAAGTGAAAGGTGTTTGGTCTAAACCAAAACAAGCCGTTCGATCTAGTTTGAAGATACTAGGAACTCTCATTATTTGTGAAACGCACTCATGCTCTCCTTCCTCTCTTTCTCGTTCTGTCTCTGCAACTCTCGGTGGTGGAGAAAATCACCTGCAACAAAACTCTGAAATTTGAAGATTTGTGAATCAATTTGTTGTCGACTCCTAATAATTTCTTAGGGCTATAATCATTGCTGTAAGTTAGGATTTCCAATTTCCATGTTGATTTGCAGAACCTCATTTGGTGAATAAATTCTGTAATTGTTGTTGTTTCTGGGTGAATTTTCAAGTTTCAAACTTATTTGTATTTGCTGGCCATAATCATATGTACTTGGGACCTTATTAATTTTTATAGAATGTTTATTGTTTCTTGTTTTCTTTTTACAGAAGTTTTTGCAGTTTCTGTATTTGCTGGCCATAATCATTTGCTGGCTATAATCATATGCAGTTTCTTTTTACATGAGGGTATTATGGTCTGATGTCATTTGTCAATCCTTCATTTCCCTGGCTAAGTTTGAAATACCACATCCAATTTGTCTTTCCTAATAGTGATTTTCCCTTGTTTCTACTACAAAATGTTGAAAGCTATCTAAATCTAATAGATGGGGAAATTGAAAGAAACCTTGTACCAAACATTGGTGTTTAACTTTCCCACTTTCACTTGCATAGACATCCTTTTAGATACCCCCAACCAAACACCACCTATATAGCCAAATAGAAGAACTAAAAAAGGAAACAAAGCAATTGGATAATTGAATACTATTTCTAAAATTAGTTTTTGGTTTTCGGAACAAAAAAAATAAAAAAAGAGTATACATTTCTGCAGCTGTTGTACGTGCAACAATCAAATACTTGCCATATATATACGTGAAAGTATTAAATGCTGGGAATCATAACCATATATAAAATAAAAGCATTAAATATGGGGAATCATAACCATACACATGTCGTTGTTGTACGTATAGCGGCTGCAGAAATGATTTTACTAATAAAAAAACCCATTTGATAAGGTTTGTTTTGTAAAAAAATTATTTAAAAATTGTAATTATTTTTTTGTTTTTAGAATCAAATTTAGAAAACATGTCTTGAGTTATTTTTCTTTTGTGTTTTGACTTTTAACTTTAAAAAAAACAAACACAGAAAACAACTGTTTCAATGACTATTTTACAAAACAGTTTTAAGAAAAAAAAAAATCAAAATACAATAATACAGACCATCATACAAACCCTTGATCGTGTTCTTCTTTTTTTGTTCTTAAAATTATTTTGTAGATGTTGTAAATAGTAATTATGTAGTCATTTATTAGTAATTATGTAGTCATTTATTTGTATTTATTTAGTCCGTTACTTGTATATTGGGCCAAGCCCATTAGGTCAAAATTAGGTCAAGAAGTCTCTATAAATAGAGACCCCTATGTACAGATTCAAATACGATTCAATAATATTTCAAATACCCTTTTATTTCAAGTTGGTATCAAAACTCTCGATCCTGAGGGCTCTGCTTCCGCGCCTATTGTCTTTAGAACAAGAACCTTTTATTCTTTTTGTCTCTCGCTGCCATCAGCCGCCACCGAATTTTTTTTTTTTCCGGGACCTCTTGGACCGAGAAGATCTCTGTTATACTGGATCTGTGTTACTGTTCATCGTCTCCATTATTCTTCATCACAAGACAGCATCTGTTCATCACAATTGGACCCTTTCCCGGTGGTTTTTCAACTCCGAACAGACCCAGAAAGAACCGCGCTCACTGGACGACGTTGCTCCAGAAATTTCAGACCGGACGGCCACCGCACGCGCCCACACGCGCCGCCCCTTCAACCGCGAGTGAAGCCCACGCGCAGCCAATCTCATCGGCGCGTGGCGGCGCGTGAGATCATTTTTCCGGATCGGACCACCGCGATCTTGATCTTCCCTTCATCCTCTTTCTGGATCTGTGCTCCTCTCTTTGATCGGACATCGTTTGGTATTTATTTGTGATTTTTTGGCTTCTTGGAGCTTTTCTTTGACCATTTTCTGTGCAGTATGGCCTCTTCTCAAAGGAGTTTTTTTTCAAAATTTTATGATGGTACCTCTTCTAGACCTAAGAGAGATGATCGATGGTGTTCTTATTGTAAAAGAACAGGTCATATCAAGGATTTATGCTTTCGCCTTTATGGAAAGCAATTTGTCTTAGAAAAGATGGCAAAGTTGCGTGGTCAAGCGCATTTTACTTCCTCTGAAATAACTCCTACACCTAATAAGACCTAACCTGCATTTCGTCCAGATGAGTTGGAACGGCTCCGAACCATTCTTGATTCTATGAGTAAGTCATCTGATACTAGTGCTTTGACTATGACTGGTATGAGCTCCAAAACTTATTCTTTCCTTTCTTCATGTAATGATTTTAAACATTCTTGGGTTGTTGATTCTGGTGCTACTAATCATATGGCTTGTTGTGCTGACTCCTTTACCTCTTATCATCCTACCATTGGAACTCATACAATAGCCGTAGCTGATGGCTCTCATACATCAGTTGCGGGATCTGGTGACATAAACTTACAACAGTCCTTACATCTTAAGGATGTTCTTCATGTTCCTAAACTCTCCACGAATCTTCTTTCTATTCATAAAATTACAAAAGATTTGAATTGTACTGTAACCTTCTATCCTACCCATTGTGTTTTTCAGGATCTCGCCACGGGGAAGAAGATTGGTAGTGCTAAAGAGCAAGGTGGGTTGTACTATCTGGTGTCACAATCTCCTGCAAATAAAGTAACAAATCACATCTTGATGTCTCATGGTCAATCAACTGCTGATTCTTTGATTTGGCTTCATCATAAGCGCTTAGGTCATCCTCCATTTAGTTTACCCAAATCTTTATTTCCGTCATTGTTTTTGTCTAAATCTGTTGAGTCTTTTCATTGTGATGTTTGTGAATTTGCTAAGCATCATCGTGTGTCTTTTCCTTCTAGTATTACTAAGAGTGTTGAACCGTTTGATCTTATTCATTCTGATGTTTGGGGTCCCTCTAAAGTCCCTCATGGTTCTGGAAATAGATGGTTTGTTTCTTTTATTGATGATTGCACTCGTGTAACTTGGGTGTACTTAATGCGTGAAAAGTCTGAGGTACCACAACTGTTCTTTCAATTTTATAAAATGATTGAGACCCAGTTTGGTAAAAAACTCAAGAGACTAAGAACAGATAATGGTACTGAATATGTTAATCATAGCTTTTCCCAATTTATAAGAAATAACGGTATGATTCATGAACTTACTTGTGTTGACACCCCCAACAGAATGGGGTTGCTGAAAGAAAAAATCGTCACCTTCTTGAAGTGGCTCGTGCATTAATGTTTCAGACACATGTACCCAAATACTATTGGGGAGATGCTATTCTTACTGCAGCATTCTTGATCAACCCTTTACCCACTCGGGTACTTGACCATGTAAGTCCTATTCACTCTATGACTTCTTTTTTCCCTTCTATTCCAACTATGATGAGTCTTCCTCCACGAGTGTTTGGGTGTGTTGCTTTTGTTCATGTTCATAAACATCATCGCAGTAAGTTGGACCCTAGGGCTATTAAATGTGTTTTTCTTGGTTATGTTCCTGATAAGAAGGGCTACAAGTGCTATCACCCTAGTAGTAGGAAATTTTTTGTTTCTATGGATGTTACATTTCAGGAATCTAAGTCCTTTTTCCAAGGTCCTCGTCTTCAGGGGGAGAATCCTTCACCAGAAATCTCATCACCTCCCTTCTTTGAGTTTGAATCATCAGTGTCTACTCCTTTACCTATGTCAGTGTATCCTCCACCTGGTCTTGTTCCTCCTGTGTCTGTTTCTCCTTTGTCTGTTCCTCCTGTGTCTGATCCTCTTGTGAGTAATCCTCCTGTGACGGATTATCCTGTGATTGATACACCAAGTACACCAGAGATACGAAAGATTATGACACCTGAAAGAAGGAAACAACCCACATTGTCTCAGCAGAAACCTCAATCGTCTAAACCACTGGTAAGTCCTGAATCTCATATTTCTGATCATGATGTTAATACTTCTGATGACTTACCCATTACTACTGATTCTGATGATTTACCCATTGCTCTTAGAAAAGGAAAAAGAGCTTGTCCCAAGAAATCTTGTCCCTCCTGTCCCTCTTGTACTCAATACCCTATCTCCCAGTTTGTTTCCTCTGCTAATCTTTCTGTGCAGCACAAAAGCTTTGTTTCAGCACTAGACTCTATTGCAATCCCAAAATCAGTACATGAAGCCTTGAAATATAGGAATTGGGCTTAAGCCATGCAAGAGGAGATGAATGCATTGGAGAAAAATAAAACATGGGAGGTTATTGATAGACCTACTGGAAAGAAAGCAGTAGGGTGCAGATGGGTTTATGCCCTGAAATATAATTCTGATGGAACTCTTGAGAGATACAAAGCTCGATTAGTTGCCAAAGGTTACTCTCAAACCTATGGCATTGATTATGAAGAAACATTTGCTCCAGTTGCAAAGATGAATATGGTGAGAGTTTTGTTATCTCTTGCTGCCCATTACAATTGGGATATAAACCAATTTGATGTGAAGAATGCTTTCCTCAATGGTGAGTTAGAAGAAGAAGTCTACATGGAAATTCCGCCTGGTTTTGATTCTGTGAAGGGAGAAAATAAAGTTTGTAAATTAAAAAAGGCCTTGTATGGATTGAAGCAGTCACCTCGTGCCTGGTTTGGAAAGTTTACTAAAGTTATGATGACCTTAGGATATAAACAAAGTCAAGGAGATCACACTCTTTTTTTCAAGCACTCCCAAAATGGGAAGCTTACTGTGCTCCTTGTATATGTTGATGATATTATTATCACAGGTGATGATTTTGTGGAGAGACAGATTCTGCAAACACGGCTTGCCTCTGAGTTTGAAGTCAAAGACCTTGGGAAACTGAGATATTTCCTAGGGATAGAAGTAGCTCATTCGAGCAAAGGAATCTTTATCAGCCAGAGGAAATATGTTCTTGATCTTCTCAAAGAAGCAGGAAAGCTCGGGTGTAAACCCTCTAATACTCCTATTGAGCAGAATCACAAGATGGGCTATGAAGAGGAGAGTCCTCCAGTTGATAAAGGACAATATCAACGGCTAGTTGGGAAATTGATATATTTGGCCCATACTAGACCAGACTTAGCTTATGCTGTTAGTGTTGTCAGTCAGTTTATGCACGATCCAAAGGAGAAACATATGCAGGCAGTAGAGAGAATTCTTCAGTATCTGAAAGGTACTCCTGGTAAAGGGTTGTTATTGCGACGTGATGACAATCTATCTTTAGAAGTCTACACAGATGCTGATTATGCTGGATCCGTGACTGACCGTCGTTCTACCACTGGTTATTGCATGTTTCTTTGTGGTAACTTGGTGACATGGAGAAGTAAGAAACAAGATGTGGTCGCCAGATCAAGTGCAGAAGCTGAATTTCGAGCTATGGCTCAAGGCATTCGTGAGTTACTGTGGCTGAAAATTGTACTTGATGATCTAAAAATAAAATGTGAGGGACCTATGAAGCTGCTATGTGATAATAAGTCCGCTATTTGTATAGCTCATAATCCAGTTCAACATAATCGGACTAAACATATTGAGGTCGACCGCCATTTCATCAAAGAGAAACTTGATAGCGGGTTGATTACCACTCCATACATTCCCACTGAGCGTCAATTAGCTGATCTATTGACAAAGGGGCTTCCTTCAGATAGATTTCAAGAACTTGCTAGCAAGCTGAGAATGATAAATATCTATTCCTCAGCTTGAGGGGGAGTGTTGTAAATAGTAATTATGTAGTCATTTATTAGTAATTATGTAGTCATTTATTATTAATTATGTAGTCATTTATTTGTATTTATTTAGTCAGTTACTTGTATATTGGGCCAAGCCCATTAGGTCAAAATTAGGTCAAGGAGTCTCTATAAATAGAGACCCCTATGTACAGATTCAAATACGATTCAATAATATTTCAAATACCCTTTTATTTCAAGTGTAGAATAGTCAACGAAACGAGTGTTTTCTATTTTTATTTTTGAAAATTAAAAGTTAAAATAGAAAACAGAAACAACTTGAATATGTTATCTAAATTTGATTCTAAAAACTAAAAAACAGATATAATTTTTAGAATTATTTTTACTATTATCAAAGAGATTTTTTTTTTTTTTTTGTTAAGAAAATTAAAAAAACTGTTTTTGAAAATAGATTTCAAACAGGCCCATTCACTCTAATCCCTATAATTGTATATCTCGGAAATTCCGAGCCTCTCCAACATTTTATCTTTTGCAGGAACAACTACCCATAAGCTGTAATTATTCCTAAATGCTTTCTTTGTCTGTTTTCCCCCCCTTAGTCATTGCTATATTTATGAAGCATGGAAACTAAAAATATTCATGTCCAAGTCAGCCACTTAAATCCTAATGTCACAATTTTGCAGTGACACAATATCCCTGTGTCTGTTTCATGTCTCATGTGCATGTCAATGTCCATGCTTCTTGAGTTCTTAGGGAGGGATTATAAACTTTTTGAATCTTTGAATTGCATAGGACAGGACTGCAGCTTTCTTAAGAAGGTTCAACAAAGTCTCTTATTGATCTTCTCTTTCCAGGCAGAACAAAGGGAACAGAATGTTTTTTATTATTCGATGCATCATTAGTCATGTGTAACCCTGGCTGTGGCAGAAGTTAGTTTTCTAGAACTGTTTTTGTTGAAAGAGACTAAGAGAGGGCGTTTGAGAGAACTTGTGGGTATCTAGGCTGCACACAGATATCTTATTTATAGTTTGATTGCAATCAATGAAGGTGCTAATTAGTACTCAGTTGCTAACTTTCAACCTTATCCCTAGCTAACATCAATGATCATAATTACAGTTGACAATATATTTCTGTCATAAAACACTATTCTTCTGACATAGATGCTAATTCTAACAGTTTTCCATATCAGAATTGAAGAGAAGCCACAATGAGGACTTAATTAATTTTATTGCATCGTAGTTCATCAGTCTATGAGATGAACAAGTTCTTATTATGAAGGTTCTCAGTTGTCTGAATGCCACAGGGATGATGCATGTTTTAATATTAAGAGTAAATATCCTTTTCGGTTCTCAACAAATTTTACGATGTCCGCTTTAGTCCCTAGCAAATAAAAAGGCTATTCGTAGTCCCTAAGAAATTCAAATTGGACCCATTTTAGTCCTTTTGAGGAACTAGTGTTGGTCTTTTTTGAATTTGTGAGGGACCACGATTTCAACTAAATGGGTCCATTTTGAATTTCTTAGGGACCACGAATAACCTTTTTATTTGCTAGGGACTAAAGCGGGTATCGTGAAATTTGCTGAGGACCAAAAAAGATATTTACTCTAATATTTTATTTCCAGAGAGGTGTCCGGATTGCATGAATGCTTTTTGTTTCAAACAAATGCAGATTTACATTCTTCTATACAAAGAGGTGGCACTTGCTTTGAAAATCAACAGTTTTTATAGCATGAAAAAGCTTCTTAGCATTCATGAGAATGTGAGGGTATTGCGTTATCCTGACCACTTTTCTACTGGTGTTTACCTGTGGTATGCAAATTTCCCAAAACTTAAGTGTTATTTTTTTAGAAAATAATAATACTACAAATTTATGGTTTCTGATATATGCTCTTGTTTATATACAGGTCGCACCATGAAAAACTTGTCATTGTTGATCACCAGATTTGCTTTATTGGAGGACTGGATTTGTGCTTTGGTCGTTATGACACATGTGAACATAAAGTGGGGGATTCCCCTCCTCTGATTTGGCCTGGAAAGGACTATTATAACCCTAGGTAAGCCTTATGCATATATAGAAAATAAAATCATAACAATCTTTCCATTTTATAAACTGGAATCATAATCTGAGAAGTATGGTATGGGAATAGGGTTTTAAATAATTCATCAGATTGCAGTCCTTAATACTGAACGTGTGTGTTCCATTAAGTGCATGTCTCATAGGTTCTAAGTCAGCTGGCGGTCTTGTTTGAGTTAATAGAGTAGTTGCCTATTCAAATTCACTTGGATGTTTTATATAATTCACTTCTCACTTTTGTATTAGCAGAGGCATGTTATGACTAACAAAACCATATGGTATGGTAGGTTTTGAACATGGTGTGTATTAAGGTATATTGTTCATCAGTACTTGGTCACAAACTATTGTTGTGTACTTGTGTTGTTGGATGTAATTCATGGATTCATGTTCGATTTTGACAGGGAATCTGAACCAAATTCGTGGGAAGATACAATGAAAGATGAATTGGAACGTGGAAAATATCCTCGTATGCCTTGGCACGATGTTCATTGTGCTCTTTGGGGGCCACCTTGTCGTGACATAACGAGGCACTTTGTTCAAAGATGGAATTATGCTAAGGTTAAACTTTGTCCCTAATTGCATCAGAGTATCTATGCATTCTGTTCCTAAACTCCTGATTGGAAATAATGTCTTTTCTTTTCCCCATCAGAGGAACAAAGCTCCAAATGAGCAAGCAATACCATTACTTATTCCTCGGCATCATATGGTTATTCCACATTACATGGGAAGCAGCAGAGAGGTGCAGATTGAAAGCAAGAATACTGACAATTATAGAGCCATCAAGAGGGAAGATTCCTTTTCCTCATCATCCCAAGATATTCCTCTACTTTTGCCTCAGGAGTCTGGTGGGCTAGATACTTCTGAAGGAGACCAAAAATTTAATGGATTAAGCTCCTTTTCACATCACCTTGACCTGCCGAGCAGGGTCAGCAGTGGTCTTCTCTATTCATTCTGGAAGGCCAAAATTGAACCAGTAGGTCCAGAAACACCAATGAAGCCTTTTGTAGACAATCTTGATGGTGTGGATTATCAAGGGAAAATGTCTTTAGATAGAGTGTCTCATGTTGATATACAAAGTATAGATCCAGAATGGTGGAAAACACCAGAGCGTGGTAATCATGGAGGTTTTGCAGATGAATCGGGGCAAGTTGGTCCTCGTGTTTCCTGCCGTTGTCAGGTGCGTTGTTCTCACAGTGCTCAAATGTGAGTGACCTACTCAAATAAGTAGTGTCAATGAATTTTATCTGTGATGTTCTTTATGTCATCTCATTAAGAGTTTCATAGAAATCTAATAATTTCTGGTAGCTCTTAACATTGAACAATTTTTTGTGCAACATAAAGCGTAAAATCCATGGGAAGTCAGTGATATTGCAGATCTCCGAGGCAATGTTGTTTTCATGAGGATGCATTATAGATCTTATTCCTTTTTTACTTGTTACTTTCGTACTCTTAATATGTTTACACTGATTCTATTATTAAAACAGCCTTTAATTGATAGGTTATTAGGAGTGTCAGTCAATGGTCTGCTGGAACAAGCCAAACCGAAGAGAGCATCCACAATGCTTATTGCTCTCTTATTGAGAAAGCAGAATACTTTATCTACATCGAGGTATTAAACTATCCCTTTTCTTTAATCCTATCTCCACTGAATGGGATACAACTTACGAAGAATGATGGCTTTGCAGATGATCATACCAAAAGTAGTTTTGCTTTATTAATTATAAAACGACCTAGAAGCTTGTGATTAGATGGAAAATAACATCTAGGGAGCATGGGTAACATTTACTTGAATTAAAATATTAGAATTTCATAAAGAAACTGTAGTGCCCTTGTTGTAAAAGATTTGGATAGTTTCGGCTGTTCCTACAGAATATCTCATCTCTCAGACTTTGGCTTCGATATCTTTAGATGGTCTTGTTCAAGATGATGATTACATTTTATGCTGACTTACATGTGGCGTATGTTATGTTGCCTTGCGTTCTTGCTGCTTGAACTGATTTTGGACGTCATTCCTTGCTTGTGAACTTAATGTCTATCCTGCATCAGAATGAGTTTTAGTCGTGTCATTGATACGTCTTGCATATGTCACATACTTAAATGGGAAGCTGATTATAGAAAGGGCTTGACAGCACTTAACCCGAATTTCTGATGCCACGACCATCTTGCTGAGTTCCCAAATGCTTTTCCTTGTGACATTTTTTTGTTAGATAAATACTTCCTTTTAACACCTTAAAGGATTATAATTTTTCAACTTCTGTTAACAATGAAAATTCACCTTTTTATCTTTTTAATAGCCAGTTTTTCTGTGCCGAAGCCAGGCTACTGGGTCCACGATGAGCTAAGTGACTTATAAGGATAATTGATGGATATGACCAATATAATAACCTACTATGTTAAGCACCTAGGTTTTAGATGAAAGGAAGGATGCAGTTTCTGTAATAATTCTAGTCGTAGATTTGATGATGACCAACAATCAGTTGGACGTTGGAAAGCCACATAGGATTGGGTGAAGGATAAAGATGTTACTGAGAAAAGAAAAAAGGTTGGCAGCACAATAACAGAAATGAAACCCTCCATGTTATAGAAGTGGGTTTCCCCAATTCGATATATTTTTAATTTTCCTGAAAACCCAATGCTTTGTTTTTACTATGCATTAGGAAGGACAAAACTTTCATTAAAAAGTATCCACATAGATAGATCACTTACACCCATTGTTAAAACATAGAGTCTATGTAGAAACGGTAGGGATGAACAGAATTGTAAAATCGTCAAACGTAAACGAAACGTAAGAGTCTACTTCATACCAAAAAAAACTAAATATCCAACACATATAAATCCATGTGAGTGACAATCATTTTCCTTATTGATGGGCATAACAACTTTGTGTCTGGAGATTAATACCCTATAATATAAAGACATGACAATCATATTTTTTTGTCATTCCATAATCCTATCCATTCACTCCCGAATCATCCATGCCATCAAGCCACGTGTCATTGTATATTTAACATTTTTTTATTTCTTAGTTTGCCATTACGCGTTGTCGGATCCATTCTTCTATTTTCCATTATTATATATTGTATATTCCTTATTTTACGTGGCGGAAAAACAAACAGCCATTAATCAAAAGTCACCACTTGAATTATTTATTTATTTATTGCTTAAAAAAAATAAAATAGGAAAAGCAGCAGAAAGTGACATCCAAGTAAAGCGTGACAGACGACAGTGCCAGCTCCATATGCGGAACAGTGACCTAAATGCCACACTTTCCTAAATTTTTCCCCTAAATGCCACGCAAACAATACTTTTTACCAAACTGTCACGTGTCCAAGTTTGTTGCCAGTCATAGCAAACTTGGTTAGGCCATGTGGCATATACCCATTAGCGTACCAAGTTCGCTACCAGTCATAGCGAACTTCGTCGCCTATGATTTCTTGACACGTGTACATTTTGCAAGAAAAAAGCTGACTGAACTAAGTTTGCTATGACTGATACCGAACTTGATACGCTAATGGGAATGTGCCACGTGGCCTAACCAAGTTCACTATGACTAGTAGCAAACTTGAACGCGTGGCAGTCTAGTAAAACGTACTTTTCGCGTGGCATTTAGGCAATTTTTTTTAAAAAACGTGACAATTTGGTCACTGTTCCTCTATATGCTACCTTTGCCCACCCACCCTCTCTTCTCCCAAACCAAAGTCTTGTGCTTTTCAGATATCTATTTCCTCATGTGCTCCCTCTCCCTTTCTGCTTCATCTTCTTTCTCTCTCACCAAATGGGTCATCTCGATCTGCTTCCATTTCAGCGATAATAAAAGTTCTTTTTTCTATTGGGTTCATTTTCTCGCTGGATTTGCTTCCATTTTCTGTATCTGCGTTCCATTTCGTAGATCAGTTTTCATCATAAAATGGACGTTCTGTAGGGGAAAACTGATTTTTTTTTCAATACCGAGTCGACTTGATAAACTCGCCAAGTCAATTGAGTTTACGGAGTTGACCCGTCATTTCAACCGAATCAACTCAGTTTCCATTTCAACACGTTGTTGGACCCAGAAACGTAGAAACGACCGTTTCTACCGAGTCAACTCGACGTTTTAACAACACTACTAACACCCAGTCCTACATTTAAGGAAACAAACTTTTTTTTTTAAGTATATTTTTTCTATATTCCATTTGAAAGATAGTCACTTAGTCTTTAATTTTATTATAAAAAGAGAAAGCTGTCATATGATTTATATTGAAACGAAATTAAACTTTCTCTTTTCACCTGCATTAAGAAGGGGGATATTAATTATTAACTATAGTTGAACCTCTTCCTTTGTCAATGATGGCCTCAATATACATATAAATTTTACATATATTGAGTATTGCATTTCACGTATGTAAATGAATCAGCTTTGAAGTAATGTTACATATTCTGCCCTCCCCTCCCTCTTAATTTCATACTTAAAGACTTGTCCTATTCTTGTATCTCATCCTAAGTCTGTTCTTCTGATACCTTGTTCTGATTGTTCTGTTTTGTCCTTGGCAACTTGTCCAGAATCAATTTTTTATCTCAGGTCTTTCAAGAGATGAGAAAATACGAAATCGTGTGTTAGAAGCTTTATATCAACGGATTATGCGAGCTTACAATGATAAAAAACCTTTTAGGGTTATAATTGTCATACCTCTCCTGCCTGGCTTCCAGGTTCTAATTATTATTTTCTATCTGTTTCAACAGAGACTATGTTAATATGTATGTATGCATGAACGTTGCACTTACTCCTCTGTTATGTAGGGGGGCCTGGATGATAGTGGTGCAGCATCTGTGAGAGCCATAATGCATTGGCAGTATCGAACCATTTGTAGAGGACAGAATTCTATATTACATAATCTTTATGAATTTCTTGGTCCAAGAATGCATGATTACATATCTTTCTACGGCCTCAGGTCCTATGGTAGACTCTTTAATGGTGGTCCTATGGCAACCAGCCAGGTATTCTTTTGCATTTATGGTCTTAAACTTGAGTGGTTACAGTCAACTTAATCATACATGCATATTGCAGGTGTACGTTCATAGTAAAATCATGATTGTTGATGATCGTACATGTTTGATTGGATCTGCTAATATTAATGATAGGAGTTTACTTGGCTCCAGAGATTCTGAGGTACCGCTCCAAGCCTTTTTCCCCATGCATATGCTTTATAGTTTGATTGGAGATTTAACATTTTTTATTAACCTATACTCTCTCTCTAACAATTTTCGTTGAGTGCGTCTGTTATGACTGAGATTGTAAAGGGCCTTAGATTGGGACCGGGTACTTAGAAGCAATTAGATAGTTAGTAGCTTAATAGGGAAGGCTAATAACATGTATGTAAGGGGAATGCCCGTGTTAGGAGCAGCTTTTGACAAATATCAGATTAGGTTGAGAGTGCTCGGAGTGCCCCTTGGCAAGAGAAGTGTCCCTTGTGTTCATTTGTCTTTCTCATCAATAAACAGATCTTTTTCTTCCACTCCCCAATTTTGTTTCATTCTCCCTTTCTATTTTGCAAGTTTCAAGCTCTAAAGAATCTACAGCCGTAACAGAGTCTTAGCCTCACAGGTGTTCCATTTCATCCGTGCTAATGCTTATATTTTAGAACCGTGGCAATCAACATGTTGTAACCTTTTTATACTTCATCCCATTTCCATATATTTATTGAAAAATTTGGGGGAAAAGATGCACATTTAACAATTGTGGTTCAAATATAACTCTGAATTTCCTTCTCCAACTTACCAACTTGTTATATCTGATGTTGTTCACAAATTTCAAGGCAATACCTTTTATCTAAAATATGTAGCAAATGAAAGAACAATTTCCAATTGACTCGTGCATCACTCTATTCTTGGTTTTGTTACAAAATTCTTATTTCCAACTTATTTTGTCTCGCCCTTAAAATTTCTATCTTGAATTTATCTCTCTTTTGATTACTATTTGCTTCATTTCCGTAATTCTTATTTGACTTTTTGAGTGATATATGAGTGCATAATTCTTGCATCACCTATTGGTCCCTTAATTGTCCCACATGGTGGTTACATGTGCATTTCAGATTGGTATGATTATAGAAGATGGAGAGTTGATTGGGTCTTTTATGGATGGAAAGCCTTGGAAGGCAGGAAAGTTCTCCTTGACTCTCCGATTGTCATTATGGTCTGAGCATTTAGGTCTCCGAGCAGGAGAGGTTAGTAAATTTCAATTCTTTGGAGAGTAGTTGCTTGACGTGGCTTATTTGTAAGGACTCTTTTTATGTTTTTCCTCAGATCAATCAAATAATGGACCCAGTCATTGAGTCTACTTACAGGGATATTTGGATGGCAACAGCAAAGGTATTAAAAAAAACAACTAATATGTTTATTACAAATTTGAATTGTCATCAGTTGAATATTTATCTACATATCTTGCAGCACCAGATAAGAATATAAAAAGCAAATTATTATTATTATTTTTAAAAGATGTTTATATGGATGGTGGAGCTTTAAAATGATATACTCTTTACAAAATTACTTTAGTGCAAACAATTCCTGGCATAAAACTCATTATTTAAAAAATAATTCTTCTATAAGTAATTATCCTTTACATGCATCTCCACCATTATCCAAGCAAGACTTATTATCACTACCTAGAGAAAGATCATGGACAAAACAAGTACATCCAATCCCCTGAGGAGGAACAAGAAAGATCATGGCTTGTAATAACAATGTTTGAGCTGTTTCAATATGATGGCGATTTTTCTTTCAATCACTCCATTTTGTTTGAGAGTGTGCAGACATGAAGGTTGATGCAAATTACCATGAGAAGAAATAAATGATGAAAAGTCAGTGGAAAAATATTCCTTTGCATTATCACCTCGTAAGATCTAAATGGACTTACCAAACTGATTCGAAATTTCAATATAAAAAGACTTGAATATGAAATAGACCTTAGAACTATCTTTCATTAAGAATAACCAAATACAATGTGAGAAATGATCAATGAAGGTAACAAAATACTTAAGACTAGAGAGTGTGGAGACATGACTTGGACCCCATACATCATAATGAATGATAAAAACTAGATTCAATTTGACTCTTGACATGACTGGAAAAGGAAGTCCGAACATGTTTCCCAAGTTGACACGACTCAATATTTAAAGACTTTAAGTTGGCAAGAATTGGAATCATGTGTTGAAGTTTTGATAAACTGGGATGACTGAGACGTTGATGGAGGAGATTAGGAGATTTTGTAGTCGCACACACCAGATGTGGTGTTTTCTCGAGATAATAAAGTCCATATAACTCGTGTCCTATGCCAATCGTTTGTCGAAAACCACAGTCCTGAAGGACAAAAGAATCAGAATTAAAGGTTACTAAACAATTGAGGGATCTCATAAACTGAATTAAGGAAATCAAATTAAAAGGGCATCCAGGCATGAATAAGACTGATTTTAATGAAATAGAAACAATAGGTGAAATATTACTAATGTCTTGGGCAGACACCTTAGAACCATCAGCTAGGGTGACAAAACGAGAAAAGTCAGGTGAAGAAAGACAAGAAAAAAGTGATCGATTACGATCATAGGCACCTCAATAAAGAATCCATTGTGTAGAATTATAACCTATATTAGAAACACAAACTATAGGATTACTCATACGAGCAACACCGGTAGTAGAGGTCCGAGTTTGTTTGGCTGCCTTCATTTGGAGATACTCCTTGAACTCTATCTCTGAAATAGTAACAAAAGGTTTAACCAAAAGGACATTATGAGATGGATTTGTTACTTCTGATAACTGAGAACCTTTGTAATAAGAAGGAGTACTTGAACTTGAGGCCATAGTTGCCTCTCCGACTTCAAGCAACCCTCAGAACTAAACTGGGCTTGAAAGAAAATACCGAATCCACACCAAAATTGCTCCAAACAGATCTGAATAAAATCTTACTAAAACCAGAAATTTATCAACCCGCAATCAACTCATAAACTGGAAGAGCAACACCAATGCAATATAAAAGCCAAAACAAAGCTCACAACACCACATCCATGCCTTTGGATATGCATAGGCAGCAGAATGAGAATGAATTGAGTCTTCACAGAGGCTGGACGAGCAAAAGAAGTGACTGAGAGTCCTTTATATAAGGAAAACAAAGGGTGAACAACACACCCACTATCCAAACAAAAAGATATAGATTGGAAGACCCCCCAAACAAGACCAAGAGGAGCTGACGAACTGAACCCGAGTGGTGGAAACTTCTTACGACAATGGGAAGGTGGCACGTGAGCTACATGCACCCGCAAAGGAGTGGCGCATGGGATTCACATGCATATAGAAGTGACAGACTGATTCTGGCGACGACGATTCTGGATAGTTGGATTTAGATTTTCTGAGGCTGACCTTGTCCTTGTGTTTACGATTGAAAAAGTTGAGGGTAAAGATCCAGCCTTGACAGAGGCTGGTTAGCGGGAAAAGATGTTTTGGGGTTCAAAGAGTCAGGTCAGGGGTTGGAACTTGTTCTTATGTCATGTAAAGTAACCATTTCAATACAAAAACTAATGCTGTTAGAGTTGGATACTCTCCCAATGGTGGCAGACTGATTCCGGAACACTGGGAGAGTATACAAGTAAAGTTTTAAACTCCAATAGAACAGCAAATAGAGAAGGCAAAAAATATATATTGAAACGTTTTAAAATAAAAAATAAAAACATCAAAATGCACTCTCACACACAAAATGAACAATAGAATTTGTATCATCTATCTACCATAACCTTTGGTCGTCCTAGGTCCTCAACTTAACGACAAATCGACAATGATATAATTTTGCAGTTACTAGTATACTCTCTTGAGTGTCCTTTTAGAGTTGGATACTTCAGGAGGAGTATCCCTCTGTGGTCAGATTACCCATTAGCCCAATCCCCTTGTGGAGTTAATCAAATAGCTTTATAATTTAGTAGTTTAATTTAAGGATATATGTTTGTATGTTACAGGTTTTATCTGTTTAGTTTTGTAAACAATTTAGCCCTGCCATCTTAGCACAATAAATTCCTTCCTATTTTGGACCAGAAAAACAAGAAGCCACATCTGCTATATGGATACATGTAAGAGTTTGTTTAGTATGGGTGTAGAAATGAGTATGAAAAATTCATGAATTGGAGAACAAGTTTATTTAGGAAAAAGTGTTTCTCCAGGCAACCGGGAGATAAAATTATCTCTTGAAATTCCAAAATAATATCATCTTGGAGTTTAGGAAAAAAAATGATATTTTAGAAATTTTACTTTCTTTTTATATCATGAATTTTACCTAAAAATTCTGATTTTTCTTCTTCTCAAATTTGCGAGATAATTCTGTCTCTCAAGAAATGTTAATCCCTAAAATTTATTCATGAATCACGTACCCAAAACAAAAAAATTGATTCATGAACCTTTAACCCCATTTTTTTTTTTTTTTTTTTAACTTTTAACCCGATTTTTACTTCCATACCAAACTGACCATAAGAAATTAACTGTAATGAGAACACTGATAATTGTTCCTGGACTCATTTTACAGACAAACACTACAATTTACCAGGATGTCTTTTCTTGCGTACCTAATGATCTGATACACACCAGGTATGTGGCAATCTTCCTTCGTTCATTATCTCTAACCCTAACATGCTTTCTAAAACTTTCCAATTCTGCAGATTTTCTTTCAGACAAAGCGTAGCTTTTTGGAAAGAAAAAATAGGTCATACAACCATTGATTTAGGAATAGCCCCAAAAAAGTTAGAAAGTGATCATAATAGAGGTGGAGAGTACATCGACCCCTTGGAGAGATTAGCTTCAGTGAGGGGTTATCTTGTTTCTTTTCCCCTGGAGTTCATGAGTTTAGAAAATCTAAGACCTGCTTTTAATGAGAGCGAGTACTACGCTGCTCATGTTTTCCATTGAATATGATAAAACATCATTAGAGAAATTTTTCCACACGAGGTTTGTAATTTATTACATTCAGAATTTCTTTTTATTACAATTCTTCAAGAGTAAGGCGAGAGAGGGTAAAAGAGGATGTTGCTACGATATTCTTGTAAAGGATGTATCTGCATACTGTTCATAGTTATATAAAATTCATCATGTTTTATCAAAAAAATTAACAAGTCAATTATATTTGATACTTACCTTTCTGGTTACTTTATTTTTCATTAATTTCAACAAAATATATCAATGATCATACTTCATTCTATTCCAGGCTTCCAGCCACACCCGTTATGTATTCTTCCCTTTATGGTGGGCAACATATTTGTGACGAATTTGTCATTATCTATTCTTACATAGTAAAGTAAAATACATTATTTTGAGAGTAATTTGAGAGTAACTAAATTTTTTTCTTTAAAATAATGACATGTTATTTAAAAAAAATTATTTTAAATTTTAGATATACATTCTTAAAATTAATTAGGTATTTATGTTTTTATAATTTTAAATATTTTTAGTTTTTTAATTTTATTTAAATTTGAAAATATTAATATAATAAATCATATACTTATTAGTTATTATTATTATTATTTCTCACTGGTATATTTCAGTCAGGCCTCCATCCAGATTCCAGAGCAAACTTAGCCGAACATATAATCCCGCAAATATCCACTTGATTTGACTCTGGGCCCCTCTAAAACAACTGGCCGAACGATAGCCTTGTATTTGGTCATTCATTGGAGATGTGTTATTAAAAAATATCTCAACAGATTGAGTTTCATAATTAAAGTGTTCGTCTGTTTGAATTCTTGTTTAATCAAAGATTGAAAATATTTACCTGATAAAAAAGAAAGAAAGAAAAGAGTGAAGATCACTTTATTTAAAGCCAAACCACTAAGTACAATAAAATTTCATCCACAGAAGTAAATTATTTATTCGTGACGTGCTTGTCAATTTGCTAGAGTAATAGTTGTTGAATACCGACCTCGTACGACAATAACCTGTCGTTCTATTGTTCTTCTTTTTTTTTTTTTTAATTCATTCTGTCGGCTTTTGTTTTACGAAGAATCAGTCCTTATGTGAATTCACTATGACGTTTAATCACCTATCATTGTTCAAAATGCCCACCTGTTGTTTTGTATCTTATGGTGGCCTAAGAAGGGTGCGAATGGTAAAGGCACCTAACACCTCACGTTACAAATTTTCAATTAGAAGGATTAAGTCACGTCCGGTTACGGGGTTGCGCTTACAACTATAGCTTGGGAGGAATCATTTCTCCGTTCCTCAGGCTCTGGCACGCAATTCGATTTGCTGCTCTGCTGGTTATTCAAAATCTCAGGCATATACATAACTGGTTCTTTTTCTTCATCAAATTCAGTGGTCTTGTATAACATTCTTTCATTTACTCAAATTGAATTTTCAGTGTCCCTTATTACATTGCAAGTCCCACATAGGAGGTCCATATAAACTAAAGAGTATGGAAATTCTATAAATAAACCAAAGCTATAGCTTCAAAATTTAACCTGTCCTGTCAGGGGGTGAAAGGCGACTCGTTAATGATCGTTAAGTGACGGCGGGTCGTGCCAACACCTGTTATTATGAACACACACCTTATGACGAGCGAGACCTGCCCTACTTTGGTTGGGACTTGCCCGTCAATTTTTGGAAGCTTCTTCTAGATGGAGAAGCTCAATCAATACCCACGTTTTAAATTTTAACTTTGTTTCCAACTTGAATAGAGATGTTAGAAACTCAAAAGGATGATGGGAAGGGGGGGAATCTGTGGGAACAATTGGCAGAGGAAGTAAGGAAGAGTGAATTGTGTTATTGAGTTCATCTGGAGTTGTTAAGTGAAGTCCACCAAGGCCAACAGATTTGTTTCTTTGTTCCCTAATAGGGGCCAGGAAGGTGTCAATTAGGATTATTTGTATTGTCTTATGGTTTGGGAGGTAGGCCAACACATTTTTCAGCATAGATGGTACAGAATCTTTTTGCCTTTGGAAATCAGCTTAGTGTTTGTCTGGAGTAATTTGTTGCTGATGCTAGGAATTTGGTTGCCAACAAGATATGATGTTCTGCGGAATTTTTTATGGGCATCAGAGCATGGCCCTCCGGGACATTTTGTAGCCATGGCAGGAAAGTTTGGCTACAACGTCACTTGACCTGGATTTTAAGATGGAAGCAGACAAAAGTATCCATGGATTTGACAAATGGAAGCAATCCTACATAAAGACTTGTGCTGCTTGCCGTTGATCAGGATCTAAAGCAGCACACTGGGATTGATTCCTTTCGAAGTGGCACTACGGCTTTGACAATTATTGTTGCCTCTAACAATTATTCAAGTTTAGTGTGCAAGGGTACACAGGCAACAAGTAGTAAATGAGATATTTTAGACTCTTTTATTGTTCCCACATAGATCATGGTGTGTTGACTCAAATTAAAAATAGCAATTGCTGCAATAGAATTTAAACTAAAAAGAATAAAAATAAAAATAAAAATAAAATCAAAACAACAAAATGCTTCACTAAACTGACTGAAAATGTTACTATTTTTTAAAGATTTTTATAATTGAATCAAAAGTATATTGGTAAATGGAATGAGTAACTTAACTTGGAAATGTATTTTTCTTTTCTTTTCTTTACTGATGCAAAAGTTTTATGTAAGGAATTAAAACAGAGTATTGACATAGCTATAGCTAAATCAGAGAAGTAAGAAATTTTGAGTTGGGGAAAATATAATGAAAAATAATAGGTTGGATCATTGGTTTCCCCTTCCCACAGCACTTGAAAAATGATTTGATTATCAAATTACTACTTGAATATTCCCAGTTAACTGAACACAATTGTTAACTTTTAATTCCTTAAAAATTATTTTCTCCAAGATTTAACCACTTACATATGCCTCTATGCAAATGGGATCCGAGTCTTGAAACTTGGGTTCTTTGTTACATAGAGGACTCCTCACTTCTGAAGTGAGATCCCTTTGATGATTTCTCACCCAAATCCATGTGCTCAATGCAGGATCAAGAAAGAATTGTTTCCCAACAACTCATCCTTCTACAAGCTTCTAACATTCGGCGTTAATGCAAAAAACTTCAACAATGAAAAATAGCATTGAACAACTGAAGTTAAACATAAAATTCAGAAAATCAATCATTCTATCTAGTACTGAGGTTCGGGTATCATCTAAACCCAATCTTTTAAGGATTAGCTTATGCCCATAAGATCAATGCGTGACAGTCTCATAAAAAGTACTGTTTGACTATCATTTGAGTAAAAAATTTGTCACACTTCCGAGAAGAGGCTAGGGTTCTTTCGATGGTTTTTGACCCCATTTTCTTTCTTCAATTCATTTACCCCTTTTTGCCCTTACTTTCTTTTTCCATCTTTTGCCCTTTGCAATTGCTGACTTGGGCTGACTTATTGCGTGCATCTTTTTTCTTTTGTTCTCTGATTTGGGCCTGAGAATTGGGCTTTTGGTACCTGAAAATATATACATTAAGCTCATTAACTATTGACTGCAAAGAGTGATTAAAATAGACATTATGGGATCATAAACTTCCAAATGTACATAACAATGGCTGACCCAACTATCTCTAAAGTCTCTTTTCAGAGACTTATCAATTATCAAACAGGTTTTTTATATTCACGTGATCTGCTATTTTCAAGTATTGACATAATTGATTTACTAGTCTTAATCTTGAAATATTTTGGTAAAATGTTTCCTGTGTCCTACATTACATATATTTATCAAAATATATCGTGCTTCCTATGTTTAAAGTTCCTTTCTTTTGCTTTACCTTATTAGTTTTTCCTTTATGAACTGAAGGGGATTTTTTGTAAAATGATGAAAACAAGTCTTAGTAATTGTTTGTTCCAACGAATTGGGGTCCGGGACTTAAGAATAAATTAGGGGCACTTTGTTTCACAGGTTCTGCAATCATATGTAAGATGCTATTAATGTCTTATAATCCCTCATTCATTGCTTATAAAAAAATAGTAACCATACCTTTGTTTATATTATCATTACTTCAAAATCAATAATGTTGAGAGGGAGCTATTGGTCGTGAACCGGCCTCACAAGTCGCAGCCCAATATCATGGCCCTTGTAGGTCTATTAAGGGGTCACTTCCGTACTTCCTTACAGTGAGAATCATAGACTTCACAATTGAGGATCTCTCACTCCTTGCACAACTCACCACAATAAATGTTAATAGTGAGTTACCTCACCACAATAGGAATAAATCTTTGGTACTACTGTTGTACCAAAGATTCAGTACATCTCATCAATGAAAATATTACATGTCAGTTAAAATACTTTTTTTCTGTCAAATTTTTTCTCTCTCATCTGATGTGTAAAGCTCTCATTCATGGGATGCACTGAATCTAGTTACAGCAGTAATATCAAAGATTCATTCCCACAATAGTGAGGAATTGGGCAAATGGTTATGGCTACTCTCTTTTTCATCATAACGAGGAGACATCTTGCATTCATCATTTTTATGAGTTATTACTTTACTGAAAAAATTGAGTTAATGTGCCCTCACATGTTCCCCTCCTCTTAGCCATCTATGAGATATACACACCGGTGACTCCTCCAAAAACTTCGGTCTATACTCTATACCACGGTCTCTAAGAGCACCTCCATATGGATACACTTCATCCATCAACGGATAAAAACCTAACTCTCCTATACAAACAGCTCACTTTTTTTGAACATATTGTCAACAAGGTAGTGAAGGTTTTAACTAGATAAGACGAGTCCTAAAGTTTCTCTCATAAGAACAAAAAGAAAAACTAAAATCAATTACAGACGAATATCTTGGTTTTCCATCCTAGTCTTGAAATAAAAATGAAGACATAACATGCTGCTTTGATAACATTATGTGGGATTAGACGAAACTTCTCTTTAATTTCTCAATTTCTCAATTTTATTGGCCATGCTCTCAGTGTGCAGGGTTATGCTGGATCTCACTTTGATGTATCAAGTAGCCTGAAGTGTTTGCCACTAATGTTTCAGGGTGAATATCTCATTATAACAAATGTAGATAATTACTTCTTTAATCATGTCTCAGGTATGGGATGTTAATTATATCCAACGAAGAAGCAGTGAAGATTGTTTCTGCAACGCCACATAAAGAAAAAGCAGCTAAGAGACTCGTGAAATGTGTTGCATTTGCCTCTTCTTTCACTGCCCCCTTACATCAACTCCCAGCCACTAAAGTTGTCGATTGAGAATGCAGGGTGATTAAGCCGCTCATTACTGCTTCCTTATAACACAAAAATTAATATAGATTTGTATATAAAGTTATAAATTGAAATGGTATCTATAGTAAATCCGTCTCAATCATGAGGACATGCATTTTCTGTCTCCGCCTTAGACTACTAAACATGCAAGCACCCAAATTGTGGGCCAATCCACAATAATGGCAAGACTATATGACTGCTTATGCCTTATAGCCTCAGTTCCTTGTCTGATTCTATGCAGACTATTGATTCAATAGCAGCCTATTCTCTGCTCGTGGCTATCTTAAATCTTAACCATTGATTCAATTGGGCAAAGAACAATCTATTCGTGCCATTCAACCTCCTACCATTCAGTCAGTTGCTCTTTTTCGGTATCGGCAGCATGAACAGCTAATTCGTGAACAGGAGATGCGAAGACACCACAATCGCCAGTCCAAAAGAATTGATAAACCCTAAACCCTAAACCCAACAGTCAGTGTAGGTGTAAATAACCAATTTAATAAAAAAAAGTTTAAGCAGTTGGTTGTGAGGATCAAATTTATGACTACTACGGAGGCTGTAATATTATATAAAGAATCAATTCAACTCAATCACTTAAAGCTATTAGGTGAAAACTAATTAATAGTTTTAGATTATATTAATCTAACAGTAACCTACCTTCTGTGATTCAGAAATGACATTTACACACAGAAATCCGTTCACATGGAACATTACATGTGGTTGGGGGCAGGGGGAAGTGGTCAGGAGTCGAGAGAAGAAACCAAATATTCTTTTGGTGATACTACAAGACAACAGCCCAAACATGCGAACTAGTAGAGAGCAAATGATATTTATACAGGATTCACAAAAATCACATGGGCCATTAAATGTTGGGGGAGAAGTAAAATACTAATTGCGCATCCTGTGATGAAATGGTGGAAACTTATATAAGGCTTCCTCGCTTCTCCTTTCGCGGCTGATGAGAAAAGTTGCAGCAAATTATTAACACTAGGATACGGGGTCGTATCCTGGCCTAAAAAAAAAAAAACATCAGGATCCGGACACGTATCCTGATGAAAATAAGTGTTGCTGTACTTTTTCTCATCTGCAGTGACAGAAGAAGTATATAACCCAACTATATAAATATGAAATGATGGGACAAGTTATATTTACAAACTTTTTTGTTTACAAACTACACTACGTAGGACCGGTCCTACATTAATCACACAGTATACGACCGGTCCTACATTAGTGTAATTGCAAAAAAAAAATTATAAACGGATGCTGTCCCTAATATGATAAGTGTTTACAAGTGTGTATTTTTTAGCAATATTAAAGGGAAAGAGTAAGAAACAGAAAAAGCAAATGTGAATGGTTGTGATAAGATATGATGTGAAATTTAAGAAACTTTATCTATATAAATAATGGGGACAATAAATCTTCTGTTGTAAGAGAATTCTAATCTCATGTCATAGATACATCAAGTATTTAAAAAAAAAATAAAAAAAATGAGTGACATAACTTTTTATAATATGTATAGGAAGTGTTCCATAAATAATATTTATGTTCATAATTTACGTAATTTATTTGGATCATTACGACTCGAGAAAGTGAAAAGCAAATGAAAGCTACGGGAACAGAAAAAAAATTCGAGTACATAAGCTATGAGTTTTATTTTTTTCATGCATTAGGAGAAAATGTAAGAAAATCGAAATATCACTAATAGAAAAAAACAATTTTTCTATAATATTAGAAAATATTTTTTCATAAGATGAAAAAAAAATTAGGGCTTTGATTTTACTCATATTACATGAGAAAATATTTTTTATGTTGTAACTCAATTAGTGATGGACTCACATTTATTAAAAAAAATACATACAAATTGAAGGGTCACATGAGAAAACACGTTTTATGCAATATAAGAAATTCCAAAAAAGTTAAATATTGAATGTTTATTCAATTCAGTTTTTAAATAATTTCTAGTGGATATTTTCTCTCTTTTTTTTGTGGTTGGGATTTACTTATTTAATTTTTTGATATGCTTAATCGAAAATATTAAAAACTTAAAATAATAGCAGTGATTGTTTAATATAAACTGAAATAAATTTAGTAAAAAATATGAATTTTTATTATGATGGCTTATCATGAGATAATATGTCCTAGTTGATGAATGAGATAAGATATAATTATAATATTTTATTATATTCACAATAATTAACATTTTTTATCATAAATTTTAAGAAAATTATTCTATCATGTAATAAAAGACAGTTATATTATGTTGTAGATACATCGACAAACGTGTCTTTTATTTTTTCTTTTTTCTTTTTCAACACATATGGGTTGGGTCTATGACATGAGAGAAGTATCTCCTACGACATGAGATTAGATACTCCCTAATTTTTATCAACTAGGATAACGCCCAACAAAACAAAACTTGGTATTGTTTAAGAGGTTTGCATTTGTCATTTAACATGACACAACAAACTTTTTTTCACACACAATATTTTGTGTGAGACTCACACTTTTTGAAGAAAAAAAAAAATTATCGCACACAAAACGAATTTCTATAACATTACACAATTTTTTTTTTTTTTCTACACTCCTGTAAAACTCATTGTTTAATTATTAAATGAGATGCCGTAAATTATCCTTACTTCCTTAGTGCAGTGCGTCGTGGGGATGCGTGCATTCTTCTTTTTTGTTTATAAGAGAAAACGCATCTAAGCCCAACCAATCAGATCGCTTCCTTCCAACTAACTCTCTAGCTGAATAATCTTCGCACGTGTCAGCCTCGACTCAACCACCACTGACATCGGCATCGCAATCTCCGCACGTGCCAACCATTCCGATGGCCATGTCCGTCGATCTCAACGACGTGTCCGATTTCGAAGCCTTAGCCTCCGACGTTTACATCTCCATATGTGGCTACGGTTCTCTCCTCTCCGGTAACACTCAATGCTCTATGCTAGCTACTCTGCTAATTCCATTCATCAAACCTAACGTCATCATGTCTTTGACACAGAGACAAGTGCCAGAAGCACATTCCCGGACCTCGTTAACTTCCGAATCGCCAAGTTAACCGGCTTCCGCCGTGTCTTCACGGCGGTCGGAGGCTTCTTTTTCACTCACGCCGTCGCCAACATCAAAACTGAGGTACTCTTTATTGTATTTTATTTTATTTTATTTTAAAAAAAAAAGGAGCTTGAGTTGTAAAGTTATGATTGGTTGCTTGAATTTTTGGGCCTATTGGGTTTGTTTACTTTGCAGGAAATTGCAGGCCTATCTGTTGAGCCATGTGAAGGTGAAACCATTCTGGTCACTGTTTTTGAGATTAAGAAAACAGAGGTATTGAATCTTCAGAACTTAAAATCATTAGCGAGAGGAGAGTTCCTTTTTTAAAGGGGTGAAATTAGAGAAATACAATTATCTCTGGGAATAAATTTTAACTGATCAGTTTTTTTTTTTTTTTTTTCTACTGAATTAGATTCCAGCCTTTATTGAAAGGGAGCGCGAATATCGCTTTTTAGCTGTGAGTTGTTAATTTTTCATTTTTATTTTTGCTTTTGAGTTTGTTCTTGTGATAATATAGAATTCAATTTGACACCTGCTTCAAGAGTTCCAAGTATAATTTGATATTTATTTTTTCTGTTGTAGGTTATCCCTGAATCACTAGATGGGAAGTCTTTTGCCAATCCAGCAGTATGTTATTCAAATGTTACATTTTGTACCAATCTTATTGTTTAAGTAAAATGTTATTTTTGCTAGATTTATTTGTAATTGTAATCTATGGTGCTAATCGTTTGACGGTCTTGTGGTGTCATCATTGCAGGTCCTTTGTGCTTCTTGCACCGATGAGGATTTCTTTAAATTTAGATGCAGTGGTAAGTTACAAGTCTATTCTGTGTAAGAAAAAAACTGAGGTGTGGTAGGCGAATCTTAGTAGTTACAGAGATGAAAAGAAACTTCTTACTATCCTTTCGGATTTTCATTTTGTAACTTATGTAAGACCTACTTATATAGAATCTTTAAAAAAGTAGTTAGGAGTTGTAACATATTCGAACAATAAATCCATAATGTTTTATTTTAAGGAGGTAAATCCTAATTACTGTAGTCCCCTATTTCTGAGAAGTAGTACTTGAATTTATGAAACAAAAAAATGCATCATGTCATAACTAGTTTCTAACATATTCCGCTTAGAAATTGACATGAAGTGGGTTTTTCTTGGTCCGCGAAGAGTATTGACCCAGGGGAAAATATAAGGAAGCATACATTTGCAAGCAGACTTGTATTATGATAATATACCTGTGCCTTATTTTATTTTTTTCAGAGGGCAGAGAAATATATTTTCAACAATATGGAGAATATATGAACCATAAGATTTGGCGGGATGATGTTTTACCATGCCGTGTTTATCTTCGTCACTGGTAGGTAGTCTGTTAAATATCAATTAATAGTAGTATAATACTTTAGCCATTGCTTGTGAGGTTTTAATTATTTAGTAATTTATGGATTCGAAATACTGAACTGGAAGTGTTATAATCGCCTCTTGGGTTTGAACATCAGATAATCATTGCAAACATCTTCTAGAGATTTGCAACAGACATTTCTCTGGGGCGCTGGGGAGATTGGTATCAACTTCAAACATGATTATTATTCTTAATATCTCAAGTTGGCAAACCATATGTATATTACAATACTTGTTGTCTTTTTGTGCTTTGTCTTTATGATCTTAATGTGGAAGGACTAAAATAAATTGTTTTGTAGCCCCAATACCAAAACAAAGCGATTTGTTTTTGTAGCCCTTAGTTCGGGAAAGGGGTTGTATGTCTCCGTTATCTGCGGCATCCAACTTTATGAATTATCTAGCTCCTCCACGCTTTACTTTTAATGATTGGAAATTGGAATAACTGTAGTAAGCAATTTTATTTGATATGAGAGGTATCCATTGATTCCAATGCACATTAGCTTATAAACGCTATCTGTTAGATGATATTTGTAGGATATATTATAATGTAATCTGACATGTATTTTAGAATTAACTGTTGAGAATAAATTATTGCAGTGTCTTGGCCGCAAAAAGCCTTGGTGATGAAGCTTACAATAACTTTTTGGATCATAGCTTCCTTGCTGACCGTAAAACAACCATACGTCAGTACTTAGAAAAAGTGGGTACTAGCATCATGGAAGAAGAACCCCCAGAGTCTTTGAAAACCCGTTACGGTGGTTAGTAAGATCCAATAACCGATACAGTTGTTACGGAGGCTCTGGGGTTTACCGTTTTTTTATTTGATCATTCTCATGCATCCCTTTTCGAATGGGGCTGGTAACAGAGAGAGTAGGAAGGAGATTGTTCCGTTGTTATTACGCAACCAACGTTGCAATTTTCGAGAACCAAGATATATTAATAAATTGATGGTGGATAGATTGCTGCAAATGTTCATAATAAAAGTAAATATTTATATTATGAATGAAAGCTGGTAACGGTACCTGTTCAACAAATATTCATGAGAGATGACAAAGCGGTTCAGCTCGGCGGGTCAACCTGTCCTATCCGTTAAATGGGGTGGGCTGAGTTTTTCAATCCATCTCAAAAGCCCACTTGAAAATATCAACTTGATGGTGGTATCTTGATTTTCCCAGCAAACTCAAACTTGTAGTAATTTTACACAAAAAATTTTCAGGTAATATTTCGGCTTATTAAATATTTTTTTTTTTAACTTTCCCACAAAAATCATTTTTCCATCTTTTTCATTATTTTTCTAGTAATTGTATTTTCTAGTAAAAAAAAATCTCTACCAAACACCTCGTAATTTCGACACGAGATAGTGAATCCAGAGACATTTTCCGATGATAATCCATACCAGTAAGATTGTCTACAAAACCCTTCATTGGTGTATCTGGGCCTACTGGTTGAATTCTGGGTCTCCTTCAGAAGTATCCATGCCACATTGTCCATATCAATGCCATCGTGGTAAATGTAGTCCACTAAATAAGTACAGCCCACATCCTTCAGAAGTGTTCTGCAGATGGTAAAACATCATTCTAAACAAAACAATATATGCTGCTAGATTTTCAACAAAGTTATAAAGTCGTTTTATTATTAAATTTTTAACTAAAAATGATTTATAATATTAATTATAAAACATTGTTTTTAAATAACAAAATAAATAAATCTTATTTAGTGTTTTTGTAAGAGCTTCTTTATTTAAAAATGTTTTTAAATTCACAAACAGAAAACTAAAGACTACGGTTATTGCTAGTTATACATGAGTAAAACATTCTTCTTTCTCGGTTCAAAAATTTGGTTTTGGAGGCTTATCAATGACATGAAGTAATTATCTAGCTGCTCCTCTAATAAGTGTCCAAGACACTATGTTTTTATGGTTAAAAAGAGTTCAAATAATAATTAAAATAACTAAAAATATAATATTAATTAATAAAATATTAAAAGATAGTAAATTACAAACAAATGGATAAGATCCTAATCTTTGGTGTTGTTTCAGGTTATTTCACACTAGAATAACAAATTGCAATCAAGAAGGATAAAGGCAGTTGCAAAGGATAAGGATCAAGAAAAATAAAGAATTAATCAAAATTAATCCTCAGCGAGCCTGGTCCAAATTAAAAAGTCAATTTTTATTTCTATAAAAACGCTCATTCCATTTATTCTTGAATTTGGAAGACGGAGGACAACAGAGCTCATGATGGCTGCGGCTTAGGAAAGGGAAAAGCTCCGTTCCGGACCTGAGAAGCGGAGAAACGGTCAAAGCTTCACCGTGGAGATCGAGTTTTATGTTTCTTTTACGAATCTTTATAGTTTCTTAGTATCTTTTAATATTGTTTTTATAATTATGCATAGCTAAATTTCTGTTAGTAGTTAGGAAGATACAGAACCAATGGGTTCTTAGTTGATGTTTGTTTATTCTTATGAATTACATTCTTGTTTCTAAATTATGCAATCAATCTGATATTTATGCTTAGTTTTATTTATGACTTGATCACTCGTAGATAAACATATGAGTCATATATGACAATAGGGATGTTGGTGTATGATTCTGATTGGTTGATTGTTGGAATTTGCATGATCTAGGGATAGACTTGTGAATTTTATAACTGTGAGTTCTTGCGTTAATGCTTATTTTATGAAAAAGTACTAAGGGATTAGGCTTTGGATTAGAATAAAAGATTAGATTAACAAGGGATTGGGATTTAGTCAATTATAAAAAGAGCTGTTAATAATTTAATCTTGAATGTAATCGTAAGAATAGGCAAACTCGTTAAGAAACCATTGGAGAAGTTGAATCCTAACTACGCCTTTTTATTGAAAACTTAAATCAATTTCTTTTAGCTTTAATTAATTCTGAATTAAATTTCTAAAATATTAAAAACCAAAAATAAGTTTATAAATTTTGCTTTTAATATAATCACAATATCCTCAAGAAAACCTTTAATGATCGATCCAACTTTAATTAAATAAATAAATTATTGTTTGGTCATCAGTCCTCGTGGGATCGACAACTCTACTTTATCACTTTATTACTTGTACGACCGGTGCAGTTGCCGAGTTCGTCAACAAGTTTTTTTTTGTTTTAACATTTGGAAGTTGGAATAATTGTTGTAAGCCATTGTTTTTTATATGAGAGGCATCCCATGATTCCAATCCATTACCTTATAACCGCTATATGTTAAATGAAATTTGTGGGATATAGTCTAATGTAAATATTTCAAAACAAAACTATATCATGGTAAAATAGCCATTTTAACTTCATTCATATCTTCTTTAGGTTTATCTGGAGAGGGAAGGGAAAAAAACACTGGATATCCCACTTAAATTTTGCTACTGAGGCCAAAATAGGCATTCCAACTTGTAACAAAAAAACGTTTACTTTTGTCACAAATTACAATACATATCAGGCTACATAGTTATATTAATCTCATGCTTGTATGTCACAGTAATGATGTTTGTCAAAGAATTTTGAAGTCTCATATCCGCGCTCAAATTGATCATAACAACAGAAACACAGCTCATAGCCAGCAACACCAAATATTTTACCATTATCAAATGAAAGGATAATTCAATGTAATCTGCAAAATTAGTAAAGACCATGTGGTGAGTTAAAAAATACAAATTCCAATGAAATAGCTAATTACTCAATTACATAATAAATTCAGATGTAAGGAAATTAGTATGACTACATGCCTGAGGCAAATGTGACACACGTGCTTGAAGATAATTCTTTTTGTTCTGTAAGAATATATGTTAACGGTGGAGCAGTACCAGTACCACCGTTAACATTAGAAAGACCTCAAAAAATATTAAAATTACTACTAACCCGTATAGTTCTAAAATTTCATAATTACATTAGAAAGACCTCAAAAAATAATAATGAGGATTACTTGTAGAAGGAGAAAAACATAACATTTTCTTACACTGTTGGTTTGGGTTATAATCGGCATTCACTGCACCAACTGTAACATGATAGATATCCATTAATATATTAGACGGATTTATAAGTTTAATAAATATAAAATTACTTTTAGAATATATACGGGCTTGTTACGAAATAAATAATTTGAAAATTCTGAACTGGAAAATAAATTAAAGATAATATATATATAATCTCATAAATAAAAATTACTCTGTACCAATATTTCTGATAACACATCTCATAAATTAATTCCAAAAAAACATAATTGTAACAATAACTTTACTACCACACTAATAATAATAAGAGTAAATACTCTATTTGATCCTCAACAAATTTTATGATGCTCGCTTTAGTCCCTAGCAAATAAAAAGGTCCATCATGGTCCTTAAGAAATTCAAAATGGATCAATTTAGTTGAAATCGTGGTCCCTCACAAATTCAAAAAAGACTCATATTAGTCCCTCAAAAGGACTAAAATGGGTCAATTTTGAATTTCTTAGGAATCACAATGGGCCTTTTTATTTGCTAGGGACTAAAGCGGGTATCGTGAAATTTGCTGAAGACCAAAAATAATATTTACTCTAATAATAATAATAGAAAAAGGATGCAAACAAATCAGCTACAATTGTTAATATTATTATTGTCAATTATGATTGTACATAGGAAAGGGGTTTTTGTTATGATGGTGGTGTTGTTGATAGATAGTGATTCGCATGTGACAAATGAAGACAAGAACATTTCTTGTCTCTTATATTTTGTAGTTTAATATGTCAAAGACATTCTCACAAACGTTGAATTTTTGGATAATACATCTCCAATATCCACATCACTTTATGACAAAATTACTCTAAATTAATTAGAATCAGATTTTATCTAATGAACTGACTGCTGATGAATTTTCATGATTCAACAATATCCATGCAATCAATTAATTAATTATACAATATTAAAATATTAGATATAGAATTCTTAGAGGGAGAAAAAAAAAACGGAAAACCAGTAAATGGATTTATTAAAAAAAAGTAGTTTTAATGAAAATACTATACTTAGGAAAGATTATTTATCAATAATTATTTTTAGCTTGGCGTCCCAATTGAGCGCGTAAAAGAATGTAACGGTAGTAATTTCATTTCCAATTGAGAATCTTTTCTCGGGTCATGTTTCTGACTTTCTATCAAAATACAGTACTTTTGATTCCGAACCTTCACTTTCTAAGTTATATATATAAGGGAAAAGTGTCTATCATTTAAAATTACACAACTTACATCCTTTCACTCTCACAAAGAGGTGGGACCCACACTTTTTTTTTTTTTGTCAACTATCTCTCCTCCTTTATCTATCTCTTTCTCTCTCTTAAAATGACACAACTTTACATCCTTTAAAATTATACATACTTTTCCCTATATATAATACCATGTGGCAAATACATTCAAAACTAAAGGCCAAAGTGCCAAACTTTTCCTTTCTCTATTTTATTTTGTTTGTCCTTTTTTTTCTCTTTTCCAAAGGCGTTCAAAGCAATATGATATGCTTCACATTGGATTTAATGGGGAATTGGTCCCGCATCGAGCAAAATGCATAATTAAGCAAATGACTAATAGAGTTGGATAGACTTCGATATTCCACTCCGTCCCACAATTCCGCAAAATTTCGTTGGATTTTGAATTCTTGCAAATTGTTGACCTATATATTGGGCTATGATATGAGGGCTTCATAATAATATTATAATAATTGTACCATCTTACCCTACTGGAATCTGTCCCCATGCAAAACAAAGCCTATCTCGGATGCAGTTGCCAAACTCTTAACAAAGTTTCAGTTACCAATGCCGTAAGGAATAATACTATTAATTCTTTGATTCAAAGGACTTGCGATGGTGAAACCCTTTTGTCCATATTTGGGCAATTGGGTAAGGTTTTAAGCTGTTTGGGAATTAAGGGCCAAAACAAACTTGAACCAGGATAAACTAACTTTCCTCTCAAAGGCATAGGCAATGCAAAGTTGTTACATTTTCACCTATAAGACCCAACTAACACATGATAATGAAGGAGACGTTTTGAGGTGCATTGTAAACGGGTCAGATAATGAATTATATGTAGATGGAAAAATGATACGATCTTTTGAACATAGGGATGCAAAGTGGGGACCTAAATGATCATCTTTTTTTAACCTACCCCAGATTACCTTTTTATATATAGCTTCAGCCGAACATTATATGTGGGTCACCCTACTTGAACGCTCCCATCCCATCTTCACGGGTAATTTCTCATTGAAATTAAAGATATAGTACCAAAATAATATTGCAATCTACCTACCACAATAACACTACCTCCAAAACTCTCTCTTACAAGCCCTACACCTTCATATATTTTCTAAATGTAATTGTTACGTTTCATCTGCATCAGTAAGTGTTATGGTCCTCCAGTTAAAGGGGTTTCATGTACAAAAAATGGAGGTTGTTTCCATTTCATAAATGCTATGTGGGTTTCTAATTTTACACAATAATACCCTAATAAAAATAAAGTAACACTAGAAATAGATCCTGAGCGAGAATTCTTGAAAAGTAGACAGAAGAACTGGTAAATGGCTTAATCAACTCGCACAATTGGTCCCTAGATCGATCATTCTTTCAAAATTCTTTTGAAAACAACTTCTTAACTTCTGTAATTGTTAGTGTTGCTTAGGAGAGGTTCTATTTTCAGCCTAATATTATGTTACTAGGTGTTGGCTGCTATAAATATGAGGAGGCGGTATATAACGGCAACAACAAGATTTGGTAAATCTAATATTATGATATAAATATAAAACGAGGTTTCTGGTTGGATTTAAATTTAAACTAAACATCAAAAGAAAAAAAGAAAAAAGAAAAAATGTAAGGGCCAAATATCCCTCCCTAATCCTTCTCAATCAATGCCACGTGGAGAGATTAACGTTAACTTCTCCATTTATCAACTTGTTTGTTCCCACCAAACTGATCAACTTCAAAAATCTCCTCCGCAAAGCTTGCTCTTTTTTCTTAACCGCTACACCTCTGTTTATTACTGCCCTAGAAAAAAAAACCAACAAAAAGAAACCACTTTCACTATTTGTAACCCCTATCTATTCACGTTTCGTCTTTCACTTGCATATTCTCGTAATGGGGAGAATGGGACAAGAATCAGATTCCAAGACCCAGTTGGTATTAGAGATTTGCTCCATTTCCACACGTTCTGTGGTTTGTGTTCATAGACTTGTCTCAAACCCACACAAGGCAACTTTCATCGACTGGTATTGCATCCTTGGAGTAAGTTCTTGAACCATTCTTGTTGATCCAAACTAGGTAACAGTTTTCTTGGTTTCTTTTTTTATGATGCAAATCTCTTCATATTGGGTTCTCATAGGTAGAAGAAAATGCAGGGGTAAATGCCATTCGCAAGCGGTACCATAAACTGGGTAGGTTTAACAGTATTAATGGTTATGTGCAATCTACATTTCTCTCTCTCTCCCCTGAATAATGAGGGTTTTGTTTTCCTTCTGTAGCATTGCAACTTCATCCAGATAAGAATAAACATCCCAAGGCTGAAATTGCTTTCAAGCTTGTTTCTGAGGTTAGTTTTGTTATATTTTCTTTTCCTTTAATTGGTTAGTCACTTAGCCTGCGAGTACTATATACTGTATAACAATGAATGAGCCAATGAACATTCATAAGAATTTCTGAGTAAAATGGAATACAATCTCATCTCATGCTCTGCCACCATTTTTCTGTAGGCATATACATGTCTATCTAATGCAGCAAAGAGAAAAGCCTTTGACTTGGAGAGATGTAAGCATTTCTGCATTGAGTGCAAAAGAATCCCATATGCATCCTGCAATGTCCCTGGCAATTCCAGTGGTTCAGGTTTCAAGGCATGGAATATTTTAAGCAGGTCAAGATCTTGTAAACTTTGGAGAAACATTAGGGAAATAAGAGAAAGATTTAAGGAGGAAGCTAAGGTGATAGAGAATTGTTTGCAAGCAAATTCAATGTCACGGAAAGAGTCTCCACTATACAACCCGGTTGGCTATCTACATAGAAGCAAATCACTGCATAGATTTGAGAGAGAAACCCCTGTTTTCAATCCATCGGATTACTTATACCAAGGCTATCCTCATCTGAGGAGCCATGTTTACAATAATTCTGCGACATTTTGGTACTTACAGACAGATAGTTTGCTGCACAAGAGAGGAGCGCAGCACGCCTCCCCTGTTTTTGAGGTCAAATCAAGAAGTATGTTTACAAGCAAATTTGCTTTTGTCCCATCACAATGTTAGCCCAAAAATAATTTTACATTCAATTAACGTAGTGTGATTTCCGCGTTCTCGCTTCTTTTAAGGATTAATTGCGCTTCTTTATGAATTTGTCATGATATATATGCGACTCCTTTAAAACCTTCAAGCGTCAAAAGTGCATTGATTAATTTAAAAGTTATGGGCCACACCATTGCCTGAAAAATTAAATTCAACAGCAAAATTCCTTTAGGCGACAACTCATACATGGTACGATGAGCCGTAAGATTCCCTATGTTATGGCAGTAGCAAGATTTCTGCAGCTTAAAGTATGCAAAAAAAAAAAAATATATATATATATATATATATATATATATATCGCTTCAAGTAATGCAAATGAACTTGCAGTGTATTATTTTGGTTGTCAAAATTACACCGACAGCAGCTTTCTCAATACAAATTTAGTTTATGCCTTGTATAACTCAATTCTCTACAAATCCAGAAATTCGTTACAGCCTCACAGCATAACTTAACAAAAACGCGCATTAGCTACTGATATTGTGCGGCTACCCTGTCCTTTGAGATTTAGTTTCCTTCTCAATACATGACAATTATTGGGTTACTTGTTCTCTGGGCTTCAGGTTCTTGAGAATTCCATTATCTATTAAAGGCTGCAGCTCGTTTTTTACAAGTTCCTGTACCTTTGAATCTGGTGATTCCAAAAATGCAGAAATAACCTTACAGCTGCAATCACAATGTCAAGACAAAAAGAAAACATAAGAAATCACATTACTTCGCACCCTGATTTCATTGGATAATATAAGAGCAAATGAAGCTTACCTGTGACCATGCGCCCATATCTCACTTTTCCCCTTTAAAGCTTTCTCCCATAAAGTGGAAGCAAAGTTGGGGCAATCCATAATCAGTTTTCTAATGGTCCGACTTGAATGGAAATTCTCGAGCACATGCTCCTCTTGTGAATCTTCTGATTTAGACATTGCTGCAAGAGATGCTATGGCTTCGTGAAGAGAATTTATCTTATCATCCAAAGTTGGGAGCAGTATGCCACCAGAACCCCCTGTTGCAACCTGCATGTGCCATTGAATTTACCAAAATGGCAATGTTTGCTAACAAATTTATAGAAATTGTGAAATTGCAATATAAACATTATATTTAATACCTCATACAAGACCTCTTTGCCAAAATTTGACCGTATCAGTTCTCCCACACTCTCAATACATATATCAAGAAGACTCTGCAAAGCAAGTTACAATCAAATAGCATTTTCAGAGCTAAACAATTCACAAGTAATTGACCTGGTTTAAGATTTGCATATCATATGTGAAGACAATATAAAAGAAATATGTAAATAACCTTTTTTTATCAAAACAGTTTAATCAGGAACAAAAGATTAAGGAAAGAAGCAGACAACAGTATAAAAATGAAACACGAAAGGAAATAAAGCAACCCACCTCTGCAAGCCCGCTTTTGATCAATAGCTCTTGCCTTCTAACAAATGGGTCTTTTTTCCCACTCTCAGCAAGGTCAGAATCATCCACATTAGTTTTATCCTTATTAACTTCATCCATTTCCACTTCTATGTCTTCTTTGGATTCCTCGTCACCAAGGGAAACCTTCAAAGTATCTGTCTGAGAGCTTGCTTCTGACTGATCCTGACAGAAATCAAAATGAAGAGTGTGACTAATTTAGCAGTAAAGTACAAAAAACAAAAGATAGGTTCATAAGTAACCTTGAGAGACAGAGAAGGTATAGATGAATTCAGAGAAGAAAGTTCATCCGGACTGAAATAGCGTGAACAATTAGGATGTAGTAATTGGAGCAAGGGACGTCTTCCATTCTGTAGAATTCACAAATAAACAACAAAACTTAGAAACATAAAAACAGAAAACAATAATATCATAAGAAACATACAATAAATAATGTTTTAAAATTGTTTACAGGTAGGTTTTGAAGCAGCTAGTGCGAAGGGAGAGGATTGAAAAAATAACTAGCAATAAATGTAACATCATATGTGAAGAACGATAGAAGAAACCTTATCCAAAATAAGATCCTTTAGAGTTGATTGAAGCTCACGGATGATAACCTGTACCAAAAATGCTTGAAATTTAATATGGAGCAAAAATTTCATCATTAAAAAGCAATGACTGTGCAATAGAAAATCATAATCCAAAAAGGAACCAAACAAACCTTTGTTATCAGTTTTGTGTCGTCAACAACTGAAAGGATGTAAACCAGCACCTGAGTTTAATTAAGCAAATTGAATATTCATATTAAAATCTGAATGGAAGGTAACCTATGAAGTATTAGAAGTTTGGGGCTACAACACGATTCACTTTTACTGATAAGGAAGGGTTTATTGCCTCTTTTAAAATTTGAAACGCCGTATTCTAAAACAACTAGAGAAACAATAAACCAGCAACTACTACGGGAATCAACTATTGAGTCAATAGCCTTGACATGGATGACCCAAGGAACAGTAAGGTATATAAATATGTTAAGCAAGCATTAACCTACTCATACAAGCACGTGAACCTTTCTTAGCCCTAAGTGCTCCATAAAAACAAATGACCAAGGTCCAAATTCCATTCACAACTATTTCTAAATTTATTAATTATTTGTTGTTTCCATTTTGACCAAGGTCAAGTGACCCAAATCTTTTTTTTTAGTTTGCGCCCTGAAGGGGGGCTTCAGCATGGATAATTTAGAGTTTGACACTAAACCTTAGATAGGCAGGGCGACAAAACATAGCCACAGCGTGAAATTACTTACCATACACCCATATTGATGATAAGCTGTTTTGGCTATGTGCCCTTTTAATCCTTTGATAATCTTCTTTCTTTCCTAAAAATGGAATGTGAAGTAGAAAAAACCTGTCAGATTCAATCATCATGAGTATTCTATAATTTCTATCGATAAGAAAGAAGTTGCTAAAGAAACCTTGGCATTCCCATATTTTACACAAAGAATTCCAATTTTGGCTCCATCCCTCGTGCCAATCATTCTAACAAGCAGTGGACTGGATAACTGTTGGATTATATCTGTGACAGAGGACTTTTAAGAAACACAATTTAGATAACAGAAGCTATTGCCATGGTTAAAGTTGTTAGCTTTAAGGAAAAAAACGAGCAGAATTATTGGAGGAATGGGAGATAGGTACCTGATCAGCAATGCTAAAATATTCCACCAAGAGTCTGTGTATGATAGAGTGGTCAACTATCCCTTTCTCTAAAATTGGCTGAATTACTGATGTCATATGTCGCAAAACTGAACCTTTCTGTAGACTCAACTTGGACATTACATCTAATAACCTGAAATCCAATTAAAAAGCTTAAGAAAAAAAACTCCAGCAAAAAAAAAAAAAGCACCATAGCAAATGTTACATCCAGTCAAGATCAGTAAAATCAAGAGATCAAAGAAAATAAATTCAGGGAGAGGAGCAATTATGCAAGCAAAAATTGCTATTGACACTGCTTTATACATTGCCTGCTTCATAAAATAAAATTATCAACCAAATAAATATAAGGTATGATAATCTATCAGACACGATTAAAACCCAAGCTGTGATGGTATATTCTTCAGTGTACTCACATTTAGAAGCATTGGAATTATTAATATATGGTCAATATAACAAATCCCCAGTAAAGCCAAAAATATTTAACCAACTATAGCAAATGTTACATCCAGTCAAGATCAGTAAAATCAAGAGATCAAAGAAAATAAGTTCAGGGAGAGGAGCAATTATTGCAAGCAAAAATTGCTATTGACACTGCTTTATACATTGCCTGCTTCATAAAATAAAATTATCAACCAAATAAATATAAGGTATGATAATCTATCAGACACGATTAAAACCCAAGCTGTGATGGTATATTCTTCAGTGTACTCACATTTAGAAGCATTGGAATTATTAATATATGGTCAATATAACAAATCCCCAGTAAAGCCAAAAATATTTAACCAACTATTGAATAAGCTGCAAATTTTGTTTCACAATTTCTAAACCCCCTGGCCCCTCCCAAAAATAAAACAAGTTGGAACAGAAGTTTTATCTGTCCTTTCCATGTAACTCTGCAGAGGATGGATATGTCCTTTTGCATTTATATACTCTCCACAATAACCGCCATATATTCCAAATTCCAGTAACTATTTTTACAATTATTTTGAAAATGTGACGCCTAGAAGAGATGCAGACTACCAAAATTATCCCAAATGCTGTAATGTAGTTCCTAACTGCTAAACATTTACCTGCTCTCCTTCAATGAGACTAGGTCCTTAAACAACTTAAGTTCCGTGGAGTATAATTCCAAAAGCAGCTCTTGCTTTTGTGCAGCACTTGCTAACTCGTAAGCATGCTCGACAACTGCATAACATGTAGATGCACAAAACTTATTGTAGGGAAGTTGACTTTTTGAATTATTGGCAGTTAATATCAGTGAATGAAATTCAGCAGAAATACGTTGAGAATAAAACTATTTTTGGATTTTTTTTCTCCCCTATTTCTTCCTTGTTAGTCTCTCTCACATTCTAAACAAGCCAGCTTCAAATTAAATATCATGCCAATATGAAGCTACACACATCCAAAAAAAGTGAAAAGCTTTCCTCTGGTGAGCTATTAAAAACCCAGAAATATATCTCAAGTAAACTATGAACAACTGCTAAATACAGCCCAAACCTAAGTTACATACCAACTGATCCAACCATGTGACGAAGAAGAGGAGCAACGTGACCATGAAGAGTGGAGATAAAGCCCGCTAGTTGTTTCTTGGAGGCTGAAAATGGAGGATTACCAATTAGTAGAAAGAGTAAAATTGACTTATAAGACATATATTCCAAGTTGACCATTACCATTGTCGAGCATCTTCTTTACTAAGTGAACAGCATATGCATTGAATGCTAGAGTTATAAAATGTGGCCCAAGCTCTTCAAATACAGCATCTCTTTCAGCTTGTGAACAATGCTTGACACAAGTCTTTCCATTAAAAAAGTAAGAAAGTAAAAAAATTAAAATTACAAGCTCTTCTAGAAGGATGTGAAACTGGAAATCAACAACAACAAAAAAAGGACACTAACAAGTATACCTGAAGAACACGAGAAGAAATGTGAGACCCTGCAATCTCAGGAATCTTCCCCTTCATCTTTTGCAGAGCTTCTGTCACCAGCCTTCAATTATATAAAAGTCCAAAGTAGAACATGAGGAGAAGGAGAAGAAAAACAAATTAAAAAAAAAAAAAAACAGGTTTAGCATGCCCTAAAGGAAATATCAATCCTTAATATCTTTTTACAGCAACATACTTAGCTCTGTCCTCTTTAGCAATCTCGTGGCGTCTCATCTTTTCCCATAGACGTGCAAGCTCCTGTTTAAAATGAGGTATTTAATTAGCCAGAATTAAGATTAAATAACACATGTGCAAGAAAGTTAAGGCTTCAATTCAACTAATAAAAGAACAATAAATAAATAAACAATATGTAAAGACAAATAAGAATATGAGCATACTCACTTGCTCAAGAGTGTAATGCCGCTTTCTCTTCTTTTTTCTAGCCTCAGCAAGTTCCTGACATTGAATAAATCAATAATCATAATCCAACTTACCAAAACAAGTAATCTCCAATTATTTCACTAACTATTTGGTATCAAACACACAAACACAGACACACACACACACACATCAGAAATTGCCAAAACCCTCTCCACATTCCATTCTCAAAGTCAAATAAAAAAATTCACAAGTAATGTCCAACAGATACCTTGGCATGAAGTCGACGTTCACGGCCCGTAACGGAAGCCTTCGCCGTCTTCTCTTTACCAACCGAGTCTGATTTTTGCTTCTTTGACGGAACGAACTTGGTAACCTTGGAATTAGAAGCAGATTCATGAGCTTCAGTATCTATTTGCTTTCTCTTTTTCGCGTTTCCCACGTGCTGCTTCTTCGCCGCCATTGCTGAAGCTCTCTAAGGTGGTTACGTTTGGCGTCTTGGGTTCGAAGAAGTGCCTCTGTTATCACTTACAACTATCGCTGGAAGGTGAGGTTTACGATTACTAGGGTTTATGCAGACTTTATTAGCTGAGATCCCATATCTACTTTTTCGTATTATTATTTATTTATTTTTTTGGTAAAGCTTTTTCATATTATTTATTTCATAATAAAAAGGATGAGTTATTGTAATATTACATTAATATATTTTTTTAATAAGGGGCGTATTAGATTGTGATTTCAAAGAATTTTAATAAATTATTTTTGAATAAAAAAATTAATTGATATTCAATTAAATTTTAAATAATTGAAAAAAAGTCTTGTGGTGTTCAATTAAGATTTTAAAATAATATTTAGAGTCCATCCAAATCCATTAGTATTCAATCAGGATTTTAAACAAAGAAAAAATAATCTTGTAATATTCAAAAATCTTACAATTTTAATTGGTTTTCTATTGGTGTGAATTTCGTAAGATTTTTTTAATGAGAAATATAAATAGGATGCCTCTAATTTCTATATTACAGTGTCTTCTTATTTTTCTTGACAAGTTGACCCGCTTGAAATCGAATTCAGATATAAGAGCTTTGTCAAAGCTCAGCAATTTTCATCACGAACAACCCATAAATAACAAACTAACAAGATTTTAATATAATTCCTCTTAAAAACAGCAGATTTTTTAGATCTTTTTGAAGTTTAAAAATTGATTTTTCAAACTATGGGTCGCGAATTTTCTTGACACAAAAAGATCTGATTTTTGTATTAAAAACAACTTAAAACAATGGAAAAACAACATAAGAACTGAAATCCTCAAACCAATTTTCATTTTTACATCAATAAAACAAGATCAATTTAAAGAAAAGTTGACATTTTCATAATATAAACCTGGGACAGGTTATTCTATCTACCTTTGCCTATCACTATTTAACACCGTTAGATCAGAATCTAAAAAAAAAAAAAAAAAAGATAATCTAACAGTGTTGGAGAGTAGTAGGCAGAAGTAGGTAGAATAACCTATCCCTATAAATCCTATATTTCGTAACAATAAATTCATGAATGGAATTTCTTTGATGGGATAGGTTATTTTACCTATCAATTTTTTTTTGCCTACATTTTCCTACCACTCTAAAAGACCATTAGATCAAAATTTAAAGAGGAGAGAAAGATAAATGTTAATAAAGATTATGATCTAATGGTCTCTTACTGTGGTAGGCAAATATAGGCAGAAAAAATGGTAGGTATAATAACCTATCACTTCTTCGATATAAGAAATGATTTCAAACAATTTTTATATCAATAGATCCTTAACTAAAAATTCCTTTTTCAAAAGCCGCAAAACAATTCAAGGTTTTAATGTATCGATTGAAAATAATTGATAAATTTTCTAAACTGTCAATAGATCCTTATTTCTCAAGCAGCTTGAGATAAGTTTATCTTCGGCTACTCCAAAGCTACGTCGTTTTATTAATTTATTTCCTTATATTAATTGATTCACCTTTAAATGGTTATGATTCCCTTTTTTTCTCTCTTCCTTTGTCACCGTTAATCCATCTTTGTACGATTATGATTTAGTAGCCGAAGATAACATTATCTTAAGCAGCTTGAGAAACGATAAGCCCATATATATATATATATATATATATATATATATATATATATATATATATATATAGGTAGGATCCTTTGACACCGGTGTCAAATTTCAATTTTGACACCTCATCTCAGAGCCGTTAGATCAAAAAAAATCAATGGTGTCACATGCTTACAAATCAGAGTCATTGATTTTTTTTTATCTAACGGTTCTGAGATGAGGTGTCAAATTTACGATTATGATTTAGTAGCCGAAGATAAGATTATCTTAAGCAGCTTGAGAGACGATAAGCCCATATAAATATATATATAGAGGTAGGATCCTTCGACACCGGTGTCAAATTTCAATTTTGACACCTCATCTCAGAGCCGTTAGATCAAAAAAGATCAATGGTGTCACATGTTTGCAAATCAGAGTCATTGATTTTTTTTTTATCTAACGGTTATGAGATGAGTTGTCAAAATTAAAATTTGACACCGGTGTCAAAAGATCCTACCTTATATATATATATATATATATATATATATATATATAGGGGCAGGATCATCTTACACCGGTGTAAGAATAATAAATCTTACACCAAATCTTAACCATTGATTTTCTACATCTAACGGTTAAGATTTATTAGGTCTCACTCATTAATTAATTTTTAATTTTCAATAAATCTCAACCGTTCGATGCACAGAAATCAACGGTTATGATTTGGTGTAAGATTTATTATTCTTACACCGGTGTAAGTTGATCCTATCCCATATATATATATATATATATAAATAATAGGGGCATGATCATCTTACACCAAATCTTAACCATTGATTTTCTACATCTAACGGTTAAGATTTATTAGGTCTCACTCATTAATTAATTTATAATTCCCAATAAATCTCAACCATTGGATGCACGAAAATCAACGGTTAAAATTTGGTGTAAAATTTATTATTCTTACACCAGTGTAAGTTGATCCTATCCCTATACAATAACATTAACGAAGTTCATTTTGAATTATATGAATCTTCCAATTTATGTATACTTAAAACCGTTGCCACTCAAAAGTGCTGGTCAACTCCTGTGAAGCCTGCACCCGGTTTTCATTCCCAGAGATCTCAACTTTTGTGCAGATGGATTGGCCAAACTTGGCTTTTCTCTGAAATCAGAAGAATTTCGTTTCTTCTCTGTTCCCCCTTTTGGTATTTCTTCTTTTTAGAATGTAACTAAATCCTGGACTTTGTTGGAGCATGTTGTATCAGACATGCATCATCTTAGCTTGTAGTTTCTGTTTTTTTTTTTTTTGTTTGGGCCTTGCCCTCCCAATTACCAAAAAAAAAAAAAAACCGTTGCCACCCGAAATTATTATTGTAAAAACAAAGTCGATTTAACAAAATTATTAATTATATAAACAAGAGCATGTCTGAAACTTGTTTGTAGTATTTCATGATAGATGATTTTAAGATATTATAACAGCTTAAGAGTTTATTGTTATGATTATAGCATTAATGTATTAAATTTGTAATATTAATGATGATTACATTGTGATATTAATAATTGTTATAATTGTAGCATTTATGAAGATTCCAATTATAGCATTGATGGTTGTTATGATTATAAGATTTAATGCTACGATCATAATCCTGCTACAATCGTAACACTTATTATTTTTAATGAAAAAAATAGTTCATTTCTATGGAGCGATTAAGTGGGGTAATCACGATATATACAGTCATGATATATTTTTTGAATATATTTAAATTATTCCAAAATGGATTTTTTTTTTGGTAGATAAAATGGATATTTTTTAATAATAAAATAACTTGACTAAAATATATCAACTATAAATTAAACTTAGTTTGTGAAAATATTTTGAATAAAATTAAAATAAAATCATCAAAGTACATAAAAATACTAATTTAAATTCAAATTTAATTTTCGATTCAATAACATGTGTCTAAATAAAAAATTAAATTTGACTTAACTGTCTACCAAAAAAAATGTACTTAAATTATAATAATTTTTTTATTAATAGTATAATATTTTGTTGATAAAATATTATTTTAAGAATATATACTCACTTTTATATTTAAGTTTATAATTCAATTTAATTAATTTCTTGAAAAATTTATTATATTTTTAAATTTTATTTTAATTGATATAATTTGGAACAGCCCAAGCCACCAAAAGCTACTTATGGAGTAGGGTCCACGTACGATGAATCATGAGTTATGAGTCATGACATGCGTCGCTGGCTAGCAGCAGCACACAATTACCTGGTCATACAGAGTTAGTGAGTGGTCTCTATTCTAAGAGCATTTTTAAGATAAATTTGGATTCTCTCATATTATTTAAGGGTTTTATTAGTGTTATGTAACATGATGTAAGTGTTGTTTCCAACTCTCACATAAAAAAGGAGAGAGAAAGTGGAAAGATGAAAGAGAAAGTGGAATGATGAAAGAGAAAGAAAAACATGTGGACCCCACCTCTTTAATGTGTGGGCTTTTTCACCTTTTTACCCCTTATTAATTAATTAATAACCATTTTGCCCCTGATTCGAAACTATTTATCAATCTGCCCCTCTTTAGTCGACTACCTTGCATTTTTAATCGACTAAATGACCAAAACAGACAAAAAATGGCTGCTGGGAGATTTAGTCGACTAAATCTCCCTATTTAGTCGACTAAATCTTCATATTTTACAAAAAAAAAAATAAGTCAGTATGATTTTAATCGATTAAGTAGAGAGATTTAGTCGATTAAATCTCCCAACAACCGTTTAGTCGATTAAAAATGCAAGGTAGTCGATTAAAGAGGGGCAGATTGGTAGATAGTTTCGAATCAGGGGCAAAATGGTTATTAATTAATTAATAAGGGGCAAAAGGGTGAAAAAGCCTTAATGTGTGTGTAGGAAAGTGAAGTTATATTATGTTAAATGATAAACATAAAATCCATTATTTAATTATAATTATTTATTTAAAAATTATATATATACATCTTTCTTATATCATCATTAATAAGTGAGTATGATTAAATATCAGGATTACATGACCATTTTTAAATATGAGAGAATCTAAATCTATGTTTAGATACTTTTCATTTTTCTTGTTTAATTAATGGAAATTAATGTTCGTCCTTTAAAAAAATATAAAATTATATTATTTCAAATAAGAAAAAAAATACACAATATAAATTATGGATTTTATAAGAGTTATGTTGTAGAAAAAGTGATTGTGTAATGTTATAGAGATTCGTTTTACGTGTCTTAGTTTTTTTTTTTTTTTTGCTTCAAAAAGTGCGAGCTCCACAAAGTGTGTAAGAAATTTTTTTGTGTCATATGACATAATAGATGCAAACCCCATAAATTATAGGAAAAAATGAGAGTTTTTTAATTTAAATTTTAAATAAAAAAACACTAATTAATATCCTAACTCATTCTTTTTTTTTTTTTGAATACAACCTAACTCATTCTTTAGTTAAAAATCTAATAGTAAAACGAAAGTATTTTCAGTGTTATAAATGTAGCGAACACTTCATACATTATTTATAAAATATGAAAAAAGTAATATATTTATATTTATTTCTTTTTATATCCCATTTTTTTTTTCCTTTTTATTAAGAAAATACATACTCCATCACACTGAAAATATGTTCATAGAAACATAGTAAAACGGCTTGATAACTTTGTTCACTTGCATTTTGAGAACACATATAAAAAGTAAAAATAAGATTACCAAAAAAAAAGTAAAAATAATATTTATGATTCTTAAATAAAATAGTAATTAAGAACACTAATATTGTTACCCCAAAATTTTAACAATTTTAAAATATACTTATAACAATATAATTGTCAAAATTTATATATAATTATTATCTATTACCATCAAATATATATGTATTGTTACTACTAATTCCTAATTAGTATTATTATTAATTTATTGTTATTATAAATTATTATTATTTTTTTGGATATTACAAATATTTTTTATGAAATTAAATATGTTTATTTTTTGAATATCATTTTTAAAGGTTTCTAGTACACATCTTAAAAAGAAAAAAATGAAAAAGAAAATCTATGATAAGGAGGTGATGCGACATTAAGTGCTTCAGTTTTCTTGCGCTGCTGAGTCGCTGCATAAAAGTTTCTAACAAGCGCGTGTAGATGATGCCATCTTCTGAAGCAATAATCACGTTGACCTATTACCTCTCTATATAAGTAACTGTACGTATCAGTGATAGGTCGTGAGAGAAAGACAGTGACACAAAAACCCTGCAAAAAGCATCTAGAAAAGCGAGAACTCTCTCTGTTTCTGCTTCTTGTTTTTTCTTTGTCCTTTTTGTCTTTTCTTCATCCTTTTGCAGCTTTTTCTTCTTCCATTACACTGCTCTGCTTCTCCTTGAACGATCAATCGTTCATCACCCAAACCCAAACCCATTTTTCTTCTTCCATGGAAACCCAAACCCCATAACCGCTATGCCATTCTCAACTTGAACAACAGCTACCAACCACTTTCAACAACAACCATTGACGGCGGAAACGCCACCGTTTTGCTCTGTTTCAAGTTATTCTGAAAAGCACCCTACCAACTGCGACGTAAAAGTTTATATCTTTTGCTCAATTCTCTCGTGGGTCTTCTGACTGGTTATTGTAGGGAGCAAAAATGTCGTCGTCCTTGGACAAGGAATTGATTTTCTTGATTCTTCAATATTTAGAGGATGAGAAGTTCAAGGAAACTCAGCATAAGTAAGCCCCCCTTCCCCCCCCCCCCCCCCCCCCCCCCCCTTTTTTTTTCTTCTTTTTTCTTTCTTGATTCTCTTTTTTTGTTTATGCATGTTTATTATGGTAAATTGTGAACGTGCTTATGCTGTATTGGATTTTAGGCTTGAGCAAGAATGTGGTTTCTTCTTCAATATGAAGTATTTTGAAGAAAAAGTCATGAATGGAGAGTGGGAGGAGGTTGAGAAGTACGTCGGTGGGTTTATAAAACTCCATGACAATCGATACTCCACGAGAACATTCTTTGAGATTAGGAAGCAGAAGTATTTTGAAGCCCTCGACAGGTTATATATATATATATATATATATATATATATACATATCTTAATTTTTCTTTTTCTTTTTTTCTTTTTATGCTTATTTGCGTATCTTGTATGAGTATTAGTATTTTCTATTTTTCTTTCTCCTTCTGTTGTTTAAATTTTCTTGTTTGAGCTCAGCCAAGACAAACCGAAGGCTCTTGACATTCTGGTGAAAGATTTAAAAAAATTTTCAACGATTAACCAAGAATTATACCAAGAAATTACGCAGCTTTTAACCCTTGACAACTTCAGGTAGTTTAGTTTTTGTTGACCGAGTTGCAAATTTTGATAGATGTATTTTTGTTTTATTTTTTAAAATGTGGGTTTTAATTAAATGCAGGGAAAATGAACAGTTGTCAGAATATGGTAATACTAGATCAGTTCGAAGCATGGTGCTCTCAGAGCTTAAGAAACTGATAGAAGGAAATCCCCTCACTAGAGATAAGCTTATATTACCTTCATTCGAGGCCTCACGGTTACGAACCCTGATTAATCAGAGGTAAGACGTGTATGCTCAACTTTTAAGTCTAATGGAATAAAGATAATTATTCCATTCACTTACTGCTTTCCATCTTTATATATGCATCTCTTATTATTTCTAACTTTATTAATCATGTCTTTCTTGGTTAATTCTCATCCATGTCTGCTATTTAGCTTTAATTGGCAGCACCAGCTATGCATGAACCCTAGGCCAAATCCGGACATAAAAACTCTACTCACTGACCACACTTGTTCACCCCCAGCTACTCCTGTCACTCTTCCTGTCACGGCTGTTGCAAAGCCTTCATCATCTTATGCACCACTTGGTGGAGTAAGACCTTAATTTGTTTATTTGTCTGAATGTTCAGTGCTAGCACTGTTAGTTTTCTAATCTTTACCTACGTATAATTTCTTTTGTTCCTTATGTGCAGCCATTTCAACCAGCCCCAACGGCTGCTCATGTTAATACTATAGCAGGATGGATAACGAATGCAAATTCTTCCTCATGTATTCAAACACCTGCCTCTGCTGCTTCATCAATGCCTGGTCCCTCAAATCAAGGTATATTAGTTTTTTTTTTTTTGTCATGAAATCTGGTTCTATAGCTGGGAAAAATCAACTATAATAAGGACAGCTTTGAGTTGTTGATATTCCAATATACTATTGCCAAGCTATGAATTGGAATATAATACATACTATGTATTCTACATTTTTGTTCTGATGAGCAATGCCTTATTTACCCGAGTCTTTGTGGGGTGCACGGGGGTTTCTTTGCTTGAGAGATTTTCAGTTGCATCCTTCACATATATGTTCATTAGACATTATACAATTGTCAAGAGTTGTATATCATCAAACAACTGAAAAGAAAGTGTGCATACAGTCTCTCCTACAGATTTTTTACTAGATTAATCTTATTTGGCTTTTGTTGAATATCAAGACCCAAGAGGTATTGATTATAATCCTTGTGTCAACTACACACAGGAGGTTTCATTTATATATCAAACCAAATGAGAGATACAAAGACATATACATAATGTGAGACCTCTATAACACTAGTTACAACAATACTCCCCCTCAAGCTGGAGCATATAGATTATATGCACCAAGCTTATTACATATACGATTTATCCTAGGTCCTCTCAAAGACTTAGTGAATACATCAGCTAGTTAATCATTCGAGTTGACAAAACTAATTACTATATCTCCTGAGATGACATTTTCTCTGACGAAATGACAGTCTATTTCAATGTGCTTAGTCCTTTCATGAAACACTGAATTGGAAGCAATATACAAAACAACTTGATTATCACAAATAAGAGATGTTAGGCCAGTGTCTCCAAACTTGAGTTCCTTTAGTAGTTGTTTTAACCACATGAGTTCACAGATGGTTGTGGCCATGGAGTGATATTATGCTTCAGCACTTGATCTAGCAACTACACTTTGTTTCTTGCTTCTCTATGAAACCAAGTTATCTCCAACGAATACACAATACCCAGAGATGGATCTTCTATCAATGGGAGAACCTGCCCAATCAGCATCTGAGTATCCCACAACTCTGGTATGACCTTTGTTTTCATAGATGAGACTTTTTAATGTATTTACTTAGGATACAGATCCCTGCATTCCAGTGATCTTCACAAGGAGAATTCAAGAACTGGCTTACTACACTGACTGCAAAGGAGATGTTTGGTCGAGTAACTATGAGATAGCTTAGTTTCCCAACCAATCGTCTAGACCTTTCTGGATCTGAAAATAGCTTTCCCTGATTTGGCAAAAGCTTGACATTTGGATCTATAGAGGTATCGACAAACTTAGCATTCAACAGAGCTGTCTTCTCAAGAATGTCTATAGCATATTTTCTCTGTGATAGTACAATGTCGTCTTTTGATTGGACCACTTTTATCTCTAAGAAATATCGGAGACTTCCAAGGTCCTTTGTCTGAAAATGATGGTAGAGATGCCGTTTTACCTGAGTTATGCCATGATGATCATTATCTGTAATGACAATATCATCAACATATACCACCAAATAAGTAGAACCTGAATCAGAGTGTCTATAAAATACCGAGTGATCAGCCTCACTCCGAGTCATGCCAAACTATTGTACAACAATGCTATATCTTCCAAAGGCCCGGGGAGACTGTTTGAGACCATACAGGGATTTGCGGGTACGACAGACTAGGTTAGACTCCTGAGCAACAAACCCGGAAGGTTGCTTCATACAAACCTCTTCCCGCAGATCACCATGGAGGAAAACATTCTTTATGTCCAGCTGATACCAGTGTTTAAAAACTTGGCCCGACCATCGACTCGGGCAAGCTCAAGGGTCACGGGTTCAACCGGGGGGTCACGGGGTCACTTCGTTGACCCGATTTTATACATTAAAAAAATATAAATATATATCTTATATGAAAAATTCAAAAATTCAAACCTCCAATCATCAAAGATTCAAAATATACTTAACATAATTCAACTAATTACATTCACAAGTCAATATTACACAAGCTAATCAAAGTATCAGATTATCAAAGTATAAAATACATATTCCAATGGAGTTAATGAAAATTTATATCATCAAAATCAGGCCTTTCTTGTCCTTCTCACGTATCTACAACAGCATGTGAAAGGATATCTCTCACCCAAAAGAGAGTGGAAGAGGAGAGGCGACGACACGACTAATCGACGGAGAAAGAAGAACCAACACGACAGAGGAGAGAGAGAGAGAAGTGACCGAAGAGGATAGGAGGAACCACCATGACGGCGGAAGAGATCCGTCAGGGAGACTATATCTAGGTCTGGGAGAGAAGATCGGAAGAGAAGAAGAAGATTCAAATTTCAGATCTAGTTTTAGATCTATGCAGCAATGATTTTTTTTTTTTTACAAACCAAACGACGTTTTTTCGTGTGTAATTTTTTTTTTTTAAAATGTAGTGACCCCCTCTGACCCGGGAGTCACAGTGAGGGGTTTAGGGGGTCAGAGGGGTCAACGTGCAGAAGGGTCTAACTGCTAACCTCAACCCTCAGAGAAGGGGGTCAGTGATCCAGCGGGGTCAGCCCCCGAAGCGGGCGGGGTTTTAAAACACTGGCTGATATATAGGTCAGTAATAAATGGCCGCCATAGTAAGAAAGAGGTGAACAGAAGTCATTTTCGCCATTGGAAAGAATGTGTTTCCATAGTCGAGGCCAAATACCTGAGTATAAAATCGGGCCTTGAGACGGTCCACCCAACCATCAAGACCAACTTTGACCATGTATATCCTATCGACAACCAACAACAGGCTTCCTAGAGAGAAGAGGAACCAGATCCCAAGTATTACTTCTCTGAAGTGCACACATCTCATCAACCATGGCCTGTCGCCATCCAGAATGAGATAACGCCTCACTTGTAGTCTTAGGAACATATACAGAAGACAACGAAGAGAGGCAAGCAAAATGTGATGGAAAAAGACGATGTCAATGAAGATTTACTAAATACCTGGGCAGAGAACGAGAATCACGAGTACCTTTCCAGAGAGCAATAGGTAGATCAATGTCAGACAGAGGGATCGGAGCTGCCGGAGGGGATGACGACGGAAGTGAGTCAATTGGAGCCTCAATATCAATAGTGGCAGGTCCTGGGGCATGGGTGGACGAGGCTGACGATGATAAACCTGGGGCTGGGACATTTAAAGACGTAACCAAAGGAGGTGGTGGTGAAGGGATATATTGAACTAAAACAGAGAGTAAAGATAGCTGAGTATCAACAGAGTCACTGGGAAGGGAGGCGGAGCCAAAGAATGCAATAGAGTCAAAGAAGGTAAAATTCGTCGAGACAAAGTAACGACGAAGACTGGGAGAGTAATAACGATAACCCTTTTTGACCGAGGGTAACCAAGGAAGATATATTTATGTGACTTAGCAGATAACTTGTCAAGACCAGGACTGAGATTATGGACAAAACAAATAGAACCAAAGACGTGAGGAGTCAGTGGATACAACGGTTGGTGGGGAAATAGCACTGAATGCGGTACCTGGTTATCAAGTACGGAGGAGGGCATGCGATTAATGAGATAACAAGCTGTGAAGACAACATCTCCCCAATACTGGAAGGGGACATGACCATGCAGTAAAAGGGTTCGATTAGTTTCAATGAGGTGACGGTTCTTGCGTACAGTCTAAAAGATTAAATTACCATGAGGGGACAACATCGTTCAACAACCCCATTTTTTTGAGGGGTGTGTGAACATGATGTCTAGTGCAGGATGCCGTGAGATGCAAAGAAGGTTTGAAATTGATGAGACAAATATTCACAGGCATTATCACTTCGCAAAATACGAATGAAAACACCAAATTGAGTAAGGATTTCATTAAAGAACTGGTAAAAAGATGGAAAACAATTCAGGTCGATTTTTATTAAAAATAACCAAGTACATCGAGAATAATTATCAATAAAAGTTACAAAATATCTGTATCCCATAGTGGAAAAGGTATGACTAGGACCCTAAACATCTGAAGAACTAAAGCAAAAGGCGATGAAGACCGACGACTAACACGATCGGGAAACGAACTATGAGTGTGCTTCCCTAATTGACATAATTCACAAGACAAACTAGATAAAGTAGAGAAACGTGGGGACCATCTTCTGAACTTTAGCAAGACTTGGATGACCCAAATGAGCATGGATAGTAAGCGGAGAATCCACAACAGAGCACACCGGGAGTGAATTGGAAAGCTGATAAAGGCCGTTGGACTCAAATTCGGTGCCAAGAATCCTCCCAGAGCTCCGATCCTGCCAAATGACAGACTTTATAATGAAGGAAATAATACAGTTAAGAGATTGAGTCAAGCGTCTAATGGAAATGACGTCGAAGGAGAATTAAGGACTTTAAGCACATGTTTAATGGGAATAGAAGGAAAAAACAGAACAGTGCCAATCCCTTGGGACTGAACCAGCGACCCATTAGCCGTATGATACTGGACAGGGGACCAAACATACAAAGAGAGGTGAATAAAAACTTATTACCAGAAATATAGTCGATGCACCAAAATCGAGAATCCATGGACAAAGAGAGGGCAAGTGAGAAAAACCAACAAAGGAATTATCCGTGTGCACACCAGAGGCAGTGGTACCGGCCAACTAGAGCACACTTCTCCTCATGCCATTGCAAGAAGTTAGTGAGAATAGACGGAGGTGACTGTGGTGCAGCAGTCAAAGCAAAGTCCGAGGCAGAAGAGGTGACTTGAGCAACATTAGCTAGGCGAGGAGGGCGACCGTGAAGATCCCAACAATGATCAATAGTACGGCCTGCCTTATTGCAATGAGTGCAGTGAGGGCAGTGAGGGCGACCCTTAGAGGGTTTGCATCCACGTGCAGAACCCTTGGAGACAAGGGCAGAAGGATCAATTGAAGAGGGAGCAGATTCTGCAGTCTCCATAGCAGACTTAGGTGGAATTTGAAGCAATGTAGACCAAGCAGAGTCCAGTGATGGAACAATAATAGAACCCAAGATCTGATCCCTGTTGATAGAGCACTCCGGGGGCAATAAAAAGCTAGTAGCATGAAGAAGGTGCTGCGTTGCTCAAGTTCCTTAGCAAGCTCTGCAACACGAGGTAAAAGCCCATTGAAGTCGTGAAGTAGACCATGAACTTTTCCCAAATACGTAGACATAGAGACATCAAAGTGTCGAGCAGCAACAATAGTCATCAAATTCTGCCACAAACCATAGAGTCGTTGAGTGTCGTTGGGATAAAGTGTCTTGGCATGATGCCAAACAGACTCACAAGTGACGTGGGCACAGAAGATCTGCTTCAATGACGGGTGGATGGTAGACTTGATGATGCTACATAACTAGGTATCAACCTTTCTCCACTGAGGGCGCGCATCTATCGAAATAGACACAGCTTTAGTAGTGATATGTTCAGCATAATCCTGTCCATCAAGCCAAAGTTTGAGATAGAAGCCCAAGAGTCAAAATTGGAGCCATCCAACTTGTCCACGTGCAACACATTAACATAATTAGTGAAAACTGGTGTGTCATGCTTCTGAGAACCTGTGGATACATCATGGAGTGAAGAATCAGCCATAGGTCACCTAAAACAAAGGCAAAAAGCACAAACAAGGGCGTGAACAGTAACCAAAGGTGGAAAAGCTATGTGGGGAGGCCATAACAGAGTTGAAACCACAAAGTGAGGACAGATCCAGACACGGAAGGAGATGGTGAGCCTGTCCGTGGTTGTCGCGCGTGGAGACGGTGGCTCACACGCCTCCACGCACCGCTGAAACAAACGGAACGAGTGTTGCTGTTTCACGCGTGTGAGAGCGCGTGAGGGAAAGTCTTATGGTGGGCTTTGGACAGAGAGAATCGCCTCGTCGTGGCGATCACAACCGTGGGTGGTTCGTCGGAAAACTCGCCGAAAAAGTCATCCGAGACGGTGGTCAATAGTTGTACTGGACAGTGACAGTGATCGAACAGGACCGTAGACGATAGACGAAAACCAGAAACTGATGAATGTGACAGTTCCAAAAAAAATTTCACTTAGCGAATAGTGGATCCACCTGAAAGACGTGGATTAAGATTTCTCTTGTTAGGCTCTAGATACCATGTTGAATATCAAGACCCAAGAGGTATTGATTGTAATCCTTGTGTCAACTACACATAGGAGGTTTCATTTACAAAGATATGTGCATAATGTGTGACCTCTACAACACTATTTACAACAACAACTTTAATTAAGTGCATGGGATAATTTATTCATTATATGTAGATAATTTCCCCTTCAAAGAAAGATACTCCTTTATATGTATGCAGATACACAAGTGTTTTTCTAACTGTTATTTTTTCCATCATCCTATCTAAAAGTTGAAACAACTGAAGAACCGGTATAATCTTTCTATTGTCTATTTTCTCATTCATCTGGACTATTAATTCTTGGGATGTATGTGTGTCTCTATCCTCAACTTCACTTGTTACAATTTCTTGCAGTCTCTGTTTTGAGGCATTCAAGAATACCTTCTAATACTCTGGGAATGATGGATTATCAAAATATCAATCGTGAACAACAAATAAAACGTTCGAGGCCATCACAATCTGTTGAGGAGGTACCTACACAGTATTGTTGCATGTTTTCTTTTCCGTGGAGTTGAATTGCTATTGCTATAATGACAACTACTTTCTATCTGTGCAGGTCACTTATCCAGCTCAACCCCAACAACCCTCTTTGTCACTTGATGACCTTCCTAGAACTGTTGTTTGTACGTTACATCAAGGATCAACAGTGACAAGCATGGATTTTCATCCTTCCGTTCATTCTTTACTTGCCGGTAGGTTGAAATAGACTGGTATGTTCTCGTATTATTAAGAAGTTTAGTCTTTATATATTGATTTGAGAAAATCATTTCTGAAACAGTTGGTTGCGGAAATGGTGAAATTTCACTCTGGGAAGCTGGGATGAAAGAGAAACTGACATCAAAGCCTTTCAAAATAAAGGATATTGCTGCTTGTTCTGTCTATTTTCAGGTTCATAACATTATTCAACTAATTAAGTGTAAACAGTGTTTCTAGAGGCTCAAAAGAAAAGATGGACAAATAGAGCAGAAAAGTGAACTGTTTTGACAGTTATATGATTCATTGATCATCTTTTTATTTCCTCACAGATTGGGGGGAAGGGAGGAGAGAAAAAATAATAATTTATTAACAAAAAGATGAATGTTTTTCAAATAATACTTCTTGCATAAAATAATTTGGTTGTCTGCAGTGGTGCCTTACCTTTTGCAGTACTGACCTTTAGACAATTGACATAAGGTGCTATAATTGAAGATTGTGGGATAAGGGTTATTTGTAAGGTGTAGGGTTTTTGGTAAGTGTCAGAATTATCTTTCATGAGTTTAGTGATTGGGACTCTTTTACAGGCTGTAATTGCCAAGGATTCATCTATAGCTGTCAACCGTGTTTCATGGAGCCCAAATGGAAATTTTATTGGTATGTGCTATAAGGAAATTTGGTTCAGTTTGTTGCATTATAATGGTTTATAATACCTATCCCTTCTTTTCAGGGGTTGCTTTCACAAAACATTTGGTTCATTTGTATGCTTATCAAAGACCTAATGATCTACATCAGAATTTGGAGGCATGCTCAGATCGTTTTCTGATTAGTTTTTGTGATTGGTGAATGATGACCTTTCTTTCTTTCTTTTTTCGTGAGGGTGAATGATGTCTTTGCTCTGTTACAGATTGATGCTCATATCGGTGGTGTTAATGACTTGGCATTTTCTTGTCCAGACAAACGACTATGCATTATAACTTGTGGGGATGATAAGTTAATAAAGGTGACTGAAAAGTTTCCTATTTGTAACAGCTTCTAGCCAGTCGAAGGTATTGTTAATTACTAAGTTTGAGGAGTGTGACAGGTGTGGGATTTGAATGGACGGAAGCTCTTCAATTTTGAAGGACATGAAGCACCAGTTTATTCTGTTTGTCCCCATCAGAAGGAAGGTATTCAGGTAAAAGTGGCCTACCCCCTGGTTGGCTTTGTATTATTTCCATGAGCCCATGACTATGTTTTGAGGCATCTTCCTTGACTAGTGTTGATTTTTTTGGTTCTGAACAAGCTGATCAATGTTGTATTATTATTGGGATTTTCAATCTAAATATATAAAACCAAAAGGATCTTTTATAATGTAAATATTTTGGTACAGAAGAAAGTGTTGAGTAATATATTAATCTTAAAAGTTAAGGATTGGAATGGATTTGGCAATCCCTCTGCAGGTTGAAGCAAGCCAATTTCCTGGCATGAACATTTTTCCTATCCATACTTAGTTACTTTACATATGTTTTTTATATTGTCAATTCTGGAAAGATGATTACATATACCTGGATGTTACTGCTTTCTTGTGAATAGTTGACAAATTTTTTCTTACATTGTATTTATGCAGTTTATATTTTCAACTTCTGTCGATGGGAAAATCAAGGCCTGGCTGTATGATAACTTGGGCTCTAGGCTTGACTATGATGCTCCTGGACAGTGGTGCACCAAACTGCTCTATAGCGCTGATGGAAGTAGGTAAGAAATGAGTAATAATACTGGAAATGTATATAGCTAATCTTATTTGTTTCTTTATTCGTTGAATTTTTCACACTCTTGCGTGGTGATGTGAGTTGCAACCGTTCTTTCTTATTTTAGATTGTTTTCCTGTGGGACAAGTAAGGATGGAGATTCATTCCTAGTTGAGTGGAACGACAAAGAAGGTGCTCTAAAGAGAACATATTCTGGGTTTCGAAAGAAATCTGCTGGTGTTGTGCAATTTGACACAACAAAGAATTGTTTTTTGGCTGTTGGTGAAGATAACCAGATAAAGTTTTGGAATATGGACAATATCAATGTTTTGACAAGTATAGATGCTGAGGGTGGTCTTCCTGTGAGTATTGTCTGTACTTTTCATCTTTTCATGCAGCTCGCAGTTTATTGTTTGACATGGTTGACGCCCTGTATCAGAGTCTTCCTTGCTTGAGGTTCAACAAGGAAGGAAATCTGCTTGCTGTTACTACTGCAAATGGTGGTTTGAAAGTCCTTGCTGATACTGATGGCATGAAGTACTCAAGAGAAATTGGAGCTCGGTTTCACGAAGTATCTAAATCACTAGTTGATACAAAGGTTTATCTGCATTAAGTCTTCATCTTGACTATCTTCTGCCTTACCAAATATCATTTATCTGGTCTTATTAAAGTTCAAAACTTGATTGGTTCAATAGTTATCAATATCAATCAGCACATATTGACAGAAGCTCTACCGCTGGGCCACTGCCTATTCTTGTATGAAATTAACAATAAAAGATGGATATTGACACATATTTTAAGATTTTTAACTTTTTGTTTTTAACCAAATATGTTAGTATGAACCTAACATACAAATTGTGCTTCCTCTTTCTTTGTCAAGTAAAGTTAGGTGTTCATAGTTTTCTGGTGCAGATTTGCCTAGACATCCTCTGGTTTATTTGACAATCTTGTCTGCAACTGACTCATTTTGTTATTTATTCCAGAGTGGAGTTGATTCTATGGCCAGAAGCACAGAGAAGCAAACAAGTTTGGACGATGTAGCGGATAAATCCAAAGCTCGGGAACTGGTAGAAATAGTTGATCCTGTTCATTGTAGAACATTAACTATGCCAGATAGTAATGACCCTACTAACAAGGTATTGGCAATGTTGAAAAGGATGTTGAAGTATTATATTCCTATTTTATAACAAGAATTTTAGGATCACAAAATCTCATATATCCCTAGGTTGCTCGTCTTCTTTACACCAATTCTGGGGATGGCCTTCTGGCTCTTGGTGCAAAAGGGATTCAGAAGCTGTGGAAATGGAGCCGTAATGAACAGAATTCCAGTGGAAAGGTGATTACATGTTAGAGAAGCATATAAACTATTGATGGGCCTTCACCTAACAGCTTAAGCTTTTGGGTTGAATTGGTTCTTTACATTATACGTAGAGAGACCTACATATATGGAAAACATCTTCCTTGTTGCTTGCATGCATATCCTGAATTCCTGATATCCATTTATAAGTGTTTCTTTTAGTTTGTCTACTGCAACAATTCATTTAAATATTCTGATTCTTCTTTTGTATGGGTTTTATAGGCCACGGCTAGAGTTGTTCCCCAACACTGGCAACCAAAGAGCGGTCGTCTCATGACTAATGATGTCCCAGACAATTCTGAAGAAGCAGTTCCCTGCATAGCACTCTCAAAGAATGATCATTACGTCATGTCTGCCTGTGGAGGAAAAATTTCATTGTTCAATACGACGACTTTGAAGGTAACCAGGCAGTTTTTATGCTAATATAGTGCGTGACATCCCTAGATGCTTCTATTCAGCTGTATCCCTTGATGCTAATATAGGGAGTGGCAAGTTTTATGTCACCTCCACATCCCCCTTCTTCAACCTTCCTTGCGTTTCACCCAAAAGACAATAACATCATTGCAATTGGAATGGAAGATGCAACTATTCATTTATACGATGCTAGAGCGGGCAAGGTAATTAGTTAAGCACCCCCTCAAATTTTTAACTGTTTCAAGAATCATATTGTGATGTAACCTGCTCTGCTTTAAGGTCAAATCTATATTGAAAGGTCACCAGAAGCGCATTACTGGTTTAGCCTTTTCGACTCAACTGAATATCTTGGTTTCATCGTCTGCTGATGCTGAGGTATGTTTGAGCATGATTTCCGTAATCATTTTTATCGGCTTTGTGTGATTGCTTCAGCTTTTAACTATGATTGAAGTTCTGTCTTCAGTTACTTATCTATTAAAGTATTTCATACTTCTTTGTAGCTACCATTTTTAATTTGCAATTTCATGAAAAGCTGGGAAAAAAAATTTTGACTATATTTTTATGGATATTTTTGTAGCTTTTCTTTTGGAGCATTGATTCCTGGGAAGAGAAGGACTCACTATCAATCCAATTGCCAGATGGAAATGCGCCTGTTGGTGATACTCGAGTCTATTTCCACTCTGATCAAGTGCACTTACTTGTATGCCTTGAATCACACTCACGGCTATTCATATATGATCCTTCAAAAATGGAAGAGATTCAGCAGGTAAGTGGCTGCTGTCTCTCCAAAATAATAACTAATAATTAAAACCCTTTTTCATTTTCCATTCACGGTGAATGAAAATTGTAACTTGTGCATATTTGAACTCTAGTGGGTTCCACAAGATGGATTGTCTGGTTCCATATCCTCTGCAACGTATTCCTGCAATAGCCAACTAGTTTATGTTGCTTTCACTGATGGAAATATTGGAGTATTTGATGCTGACAGGCTGAGACTAAGATGTCGTATAGCTTCGTCTGCATACCTACATCAGACATCATCAAACAGGTATTGAAAAGATTTCACTACGTGTTTTATGCTTAATTGGTTTCTTATTATTATTAACATGTGATTGTGAATATCCTCGTTAAATATGACTATTTAAGTGGTGCTACTCAAAGTTTTGCATTATTATTGAACTCAAGGCTGAGAATTTTCAGTTGAAATATACTTAGAAACTCAGTTTATATTTCATATTGATGATAATTGGTGAATTAGTTTTATGTTCAGCTGAGCTGACTATAAAATATGCTTAAGAAGTTTACATAATCTTCGTGTTTCATGCTGTTCATAATTTGACCAAATGAGCAAGTTGAACTTTTTGTTTATGTTCAGCTGAGCTTACTGCGGTTTCGCACGTGATAATGTTTAACCTTGTTTTGTTTTGTGCCAGCCAAAATGTATACCCCCTTGTTGTTGCAGCACATCCGCAGGAGCTAAATCAATTTGCAGTTGGACTATCAGACGGCTCTATTAAGGTTATAGAGCCCATAGATGGGAGATGGGGAGTTTCAGCATCTGTTGATAATGGTATACGGAATGCTTTTTAGTTAAAAGATATGACTGTGTTCAAATTTATTTGTTACTTCAATTATTCACTGTGTTCCAGTTACCAATGGCATGAATTATCAATTATATATTCAAAACTGGAAAATGCTTTTTAAACATTTTTCTAAGGGCACACATTGCATCTGTAATCTGTTTTTGTTAATTTTCTAATTGAATGATTTGAAAATGCTTGTGACAGTGGTATGCATCGATCTGACGTAGTTAGTGTCAGTAATATCATGAATGTCGTCCAATATCACTAGGTGCATGAATGAGGCAGCAAAGCGGATCATGTGGGAGTGCATTGTGGAAAGGAACAACAGCATTGAGATTCCAGATTGTTCTCTCTCAATTTTGTGGAGTAATCAACGGCAAGTAGATCCAGTCAAAAGCCAAATTAATTGTAGGCTCAATCAAACAAAATGTTGGATATGTTTGCCTTGAATGTTGAGGGCATGTCATGTACCAAAAATTGTTTTTGTTGGTCTCTAAGTCTTGGTAGATTTTGGCGAGATCTGAGGTAGATCATTGATTTTTGTAGCTATAGAAATAGTTTTTTACTATAGAAATTCGTTGAACATCTGAGGCTAATGAAATTCGTTGATTGGTTATTACAATAGAAATAGTTTTTTTTTTTTTTACTAATAGGGACCACAAACAATTAATTATAACAAGTTAAACATAATAAAAATAAATAAATTATAAATAAAAAAATAAATTCATGAATATTTCCCTTTAAATAAATTTTGGAATGGCCTTTAGATATCTATCTATGAAGCGGAGCTTGCGGTGACTTGAACACCAACCAAATATATATATATATATATATATAGGAAAATATTACTCTCCTTTTGCATAAGATTACTTCTCTCCTACTCTCTCACTTCGATTTCTGCACCTCATCTTTTTCTTTTTTTTCTTTTTTCTTGTAATGGTGGGACCGACCCATTTTATCTCTACAACATAAGATACCTATCTTATGTTGAAGGAGAATAATAAAACCCATATATATAAGTTTAGTGAGTGTACAATGACTTAATGTAAAATATATATATATATATATATATATATATATATATATATATATATAAATGTAAAATATATGGCTAGCTATTGTATTTGCGAGATTACTACAAAAAACAGAACAGAGATTCCAATCTAAACTTGAAAAAGTGACATCGATCAGTGATGCGTGTTCCTCTTTGCCTAAATAGCAGGTGATTCAAAATTTGTATAATATATAAGCTTGACTCGAATAAACTTCTCCTTTTCACTGTCTGTTCTTCTTTCATCATCTGATGACTACTGCTTTTCCCGAAACTCTCTGGTCAGTATCAATTGTGATAAAGATAACAAAAAAACTTACGACAACAATCTTATGTTGCTGGCCAGTGTACTTGTGCTTCAGTAGTAGTTGACGGCTTTGGCTTCGTGCATGGTCTTCTTTATTTTTGTATTGGCTGAATAAGGTTTAACTTGTAGTATATGGCATGTGATTTTTATTTTTATTTTTGGACAAAAAGCTCAGCATTAAGTGTTTGTCTTTTGTTTTTTATTCCAAGAATACTCGGCACATGCACATAATTGTGATAGAAAATGACTTTTTTAGGGGGGTCATGCTGCTTCCATCTAGCACTTAGTAGAATTGACGTGCTCTCTTCAACATGAATCTCTTTTGGAAATTGAGGCTGTGATGATAAATCTTTCTAATTCAGAAGAAATATGGTTGAGCTTTGTTTGGAGTTTTGCTCTTCAACTTATAAATAGACTTACGGGAGGCAATGGGGCATGGATTTGTAATCAAATCAGACCCCTCGTTGAAGAGCAATTTATTAGAATGAAGGAAGGTATGTACAAAAAATAAATTTTTTTTATCTATTACACTAATTGACCAATATAGTAGAGTTATACTTTTGAGCAGTGTTTTAAAATCCGGCTCGACCCGGGACTCGGTGACCCGATGAGTTCCCCGGTTCGAGCGGGTAGTTAGACCGATTATGTAGTCAGTCCGAATTGGACCGGTTGATCCGGCCGAAACCCGGCGGACCGGTTGACTCGGGTTAAACCAGTTTTTCCTTTTCTTTTTTTTTTGGTAAATTTTTGTTGTTGTTGATAAGAACTCTTGAATTAAATCATATTCATATTTTATGATTAAAAGTAAGTTGGAAATAATAAGGTATTTTAGATTAGTGTAGTTCGTTTATGTAATTTAGTTGCATCTTATAATGATCTCATGAAGTTAAGTGGTGATAAACATTGATGGTCTCATGATCTCATCTCAACGGTCTAGAGCTAGAAGCTTAGAAGTATATAATATTTGCTATCATTGAAAACCAATTTATTTTTTGAAGCTCATAGATAGTTTTCTTATGTGAATTTTTATTAATATAAGTAATATTTTTATATTTTTAATATGGGAACAGTAAAACTGGTTCAACCCGGTTGAACCAATGACCCAATATCTCGACCGGTTCGATGACCTGTCCGAGTTTTAAAACACTGCTTTTGAGTATAAAAGTAATGATTTTTGTAAGAAATTTATTTTTATTTTTAGTCATCATAAAATTAAAAATAAAACTTTTGAGATTTGCACATTATAAAGTTCATATCAAATGAGATGTCAATAATCCCAATAATTTAATCTATTTAATAAGGTTAATTTTTTATATAATTTTTAAATATATATCGAACAATTTTTTAGATTAATGCTTGGCAAAATGTTGAATGCTTATACATCCCACAAGGACTAATTAAGAACCCTTGGACTACGTGCGTGACACCCATTAATTTGATCACTACAGCAAGGTCAGTAATCATGCAAAGAACTGAACTTCAATCTTTTCGTTGGGAACAAAAATGTAAAATAAAAGTAAATTCGGTTGAGGCAGGTTGGGGGAAGAATGTCTTCGTTAACTTTGAAGAGCTACCTACTTATAGTAAGTATTCAACACCAAACTAGTGCTTAATGAAGACTTTAGTTTGGGCAGTGGCTAATAATTGGGACATGGCAGCTAGGTTAGGTGCTGCGCTATTCAAATAACTACCCCCACAACCACATGAGCAATCTTTGGCAACAAAGATATCAATATGCCTTCTGGTATGGTCTAATAAGATGTCGAGAATAGTTATGTGGAATTCAAATATGAACGGGAAAATGATAAGTCCAAGACTTTTAGCACTGTATGATTGGGAATTATTTGCTCCTTTTTTATTCTTTTTTCCCCATTTTTCATTTAAAAGTTTTGGTCCCTATATATATCTCTTTAGTGAAGGAGAAAGTGGAGAATGTGGTGAGCTGTGGACGCTGTTCCCCTCTTAGCCACATATATTGGCGAATTATATATATATATATATATATATATATATATATATATATGAGGTAGGATCATTTGACACCAGTGTTAAATTTGAAATTTGACACCTTATTTGAGAGCCGTTAGATCAAAAAAGATCAATGGTATCACATACTCACAAATCAGAGCCATTGATCTTTTTTAATCTAACGGCTCTCAGATAAGGTTTCAAATTTCAAATTTGATACTGGTATCAAATGATCCTACCTCTATACATATAGCTATTTTAGATAATATTATTTACATTTATATCTTTTTAACTAAATTTGACAGATAAGACATAGTTATAATAATTGTTGAGATATATAAAATTATTAATGTAATTTCACCCAACAGCTTAAGTTTTTGGGTTGAATTGGTTCTTTACATAGTATCAGAGCCTCGTGTCCCGGGTTCAATCCTCGCCCCCCACTTTCTTTCAAGTGGAATTTCTTTGTTCGCACAGGTAGGTGGGCTTGTGCATTGTCCATCCTTAAAGCCCAGTGAACTCTCGTATGAGGGGGCGGGTTGAGATATATAAAACCATTAATGTAGCTTCACCCAACAGCTTAAACTTTTGGGTTGAATTGGTTGTTTATAATAATAAAACTGTTTTTTTCTCTCTACTCAGACATTGTCGGCTCACGTGGCGGAGAGAGAAAATGCAATTTTTATGTCTCACTGATCAGACTTAGTTAACAAGGATAGCCGTAAACAACCTTATTTAAAGTGGCTGTAGAAATGTTTAACCCATACAGCTACCCTTTTTAGTGCATGTTTGGAACCTCTCTTTTTTAAGCTATAAGCTACTTATAAACATAAGATACGCCAAACAGGTTTTGAGAAAAACTTTTATAATAAAAAACTTTTTTTATAATAAAGAAAAAAGTTGAAAGCTAAAAGCTTCTAGGAGGAGCTTTTTTTAAAGCTCTTATATGCCTTTCTTGAATTGTATACTTTTTTTTAATGAAGAGTTATAAAGATAGAGAGAGATAATTTTTTGAAATATGTGTTTTTATGTAATTTTTAAGCTAAAATTTTTATGTAATTACCAAACAGCTTTTAACTTTTTTTTAAGCTTTTTTTAGCTTTAGCTTATAAGTAGCTTCTAGTTTAAAAAAGAGAGAATCCAGACAGGTTCTTAATCAAGTTTGAACAGTAAGACATAAAAATTGCATTTTTTATCTCCGCCACGTCAGCCGACAATGTCTGAATAGAGAAAAAGAAAGAACTTTATTATTATAACTATGTTTTACTGATCAGACTTAGTTAAAAAAGGGTAGCTGTAGATAACCTTATCTAGAGTGGCTGTAGAAATATGTATTCACAGGAGTACATCATTATAACATTAAAATTATTTTTTTTCCTCTCTCCACGTCAATAGACATGTTCTGAAAAGTGACTGATGAGAGAAAAAAAAAACAACTTTAATGATAACTATGTACTCTCGGGAGTACATAGTTTAGTTATAAATGATAGTTGTAGATAACCTTATCTAAAGTGGCTGTAGAAATGTTTATCCCTATTTATATATATATAGGGATAAACATTTCTACAGCCACTTTAGATAAGCTTATCTATAGCTGCCATTTTTAACTATATTCTCCCGGGAGAATATAATTATAACGTTAAAGTTGCTCTTTTCTCTCTCTCTCCACGTCAGCAAAAAAGTTCTGAAAAGTAAACGAGGAGAGAGAAAAAAGAGCAACTTTAACGTTATAACTATATTCTCCCGGGAGAATATAGTTAAAAATGGCAGCTGTAGATAAGCTTATCTAAAGTTGCTGTAGAAATACTTTTGCCATATATATATATATATATGAGGAATGACCTTTTGACCCCGGTATAATATTTAGAAATCTTACTCTTCGTCTCGGATGTTGATTTTTATCTATTTAACTGTTGTAATTTATTTGAAATTAATTGTTATATCTCAATAAACTATATCTGTTAGATGGACGGAAATTAACGATTAAGATGAAGAGTAAAACCTCTAAGTTTTACACTGGAGTTAAAAGATCATCCCCCCCACACACACACACACATATATATATATGACATTGTCAATTTATACCAATATAAGAATAATAAGTCTTACATCAAATCTTAATCGTTTATTTTTATTAATCTAACAATTATAACTTATTGGATCACATTTATTAATTAATTAATAATTACAATAAATTATAACCGTTAGATTCATGGAACTCAAAATTTAATGTAAGACTTATTATTCTTACACCAATATAAGTTGATTCTATCCCTATATATATGGATTGAGAAAATTCAGAATAAGAATTAATTTTAATTTATTTAAAATAAAATACTCAAAATCTTGAAAAATAAACTAAAATAATATAATTCATACTTAAGATCTTCACTTTTAATGAATTTTTTATTTTTCGGTTTCTCTTATTTTTTTGTTAGTATTATTATAATTTACTTGTTTCACTAAGCAAATTCTTAATTTTTTGTTTGTTATAATCTAAATTGTAGATACTCCACAAATACAATAGAAGCTTAAGGGTTCTTTTAAATTATAGATAAATGGCTTATACGTAGACATGTAATGATGCAATAAATAAATAAATAAATAAAATATAATAATATAATATATATATATATATATATATATATATATATATATATTTGAACGGCATGCTAAATTCAAATCAGGTAATAAGAGGTGTGAATTATAATATTTGAGTAATAAAAAATGAATTATACTTTTTAATAAAAAATAGAATAAAGAGAGATTGTTCCATTTTATGGTAACTGAATTAAATTTTAAATAGAATTTAAACTTTTTAAATATAACTAGTTAAACGGTTTTTAAATTAAATATTCATAAGATTTTTTTATCAAATAGTTAGAATTAAAGATGCAACACAATCTTTAAACTTTTTTTGAGTCTCTACATGCGTGTTGTTGAAGTATCGGAGGAGTATCGAAAATAACACGTTAGAATTTTGTGAAATGTAGAAGCATGGTTCCCTGTCCCGTGCACATGGGGGAATTAAATTTTTATTAAAATATTTTTGTCCATAATGCCTTTAACGTATCTTTCCCAGTTGAACTGAAACAGAGGAGTTCGCTATTTTATTTTCCAGTGCCATTTTGGACGTCACACGATGATTTGCTAGTATTGTTTTCTCTTCGATTTTCTGATCCCTTGTCGTAATTTTGCCAAACCACTCGGAATCCTTTCAAGCGTTCAGTTGTAGGGATCTAGTTCGGAAGTATCGTTGTGCTAGTGACAAGATTCATTTTATCAATTGTCCGGTTTGCTTCGATACCAGTATAGGGAGCAAATCGTCTTAAAGATATAACTTCTGTGAGGTTCGGATCATACTATTACTACCATTGATCATCTTATTTATCATTTTGTGAGTTCTTTTAATCATGTTCTTTGTGTTTGATTAATTTTGAACACAGATTCATCACACATGGGATGTTGTTGTATGACATTAAAATCCTTTTTAAACGTGAATTAAAATTTATAATATTTTAATGAATTTATTCATATTTAAAATGATATAATTTAATAAAATTTAAACAAATAATATAATATAATATAATTAACACATGATTAGAAAAATAAGTGTAAATTTTATTTCACTAAATAAAAAGGTTACAATTTAGAAAATCTCTTTATTTATTAGTTGTAAAGAATCTTCAATTGTAATGCACCTAAAATTAATTTAGAATTGTGCATTTGTACTTACATGTTCATTTTGAAGTTTTTAAGATTATTTTTTATTTTTAATAACTATATCATAATATTTTATTTTTATTTTTATTTTAATTTTTAAGGAAGCTTTTGTTTTATTTAAAGTATTTAGATTAATTTATAATCAATTAGTTTTTAAATTTTTAAACGTTTTAAGGTTATTTAACATCATATAAAATATTCTACCAAAGAAAAAATCATATAAAATATGGTAGTTGTTAAATTTTAAATATGAATTATTATTTATTGAGAACCTATTTTTTATACGTTTTGACGTTAAATTGTTATTTTTTCTTTTTTTAAAAAATAAAATAAAATAAAATATTATTTGTTTGGTGATCTTTCACTAATTAAGTTGAATTGGTTATTGATGTCGCTAGACTAAAGAGCTACCAGGAACATGGACTATGCTTTGTGTACAAACATAACATACTAAAACGTAAGCATTGCTCAATAAAAAACGTAAATGTGTATGCGCACAACTGTGTGCATCAAGCATTGCTTAAGTTATTAAGGGAAAATAAATAAATAGTTGGTATTTTGTATTTTGTCATACAAAATACAATGTTATTTATTTATAGTAAACAGTTTTGGGAACCACCAAGTGACATTTTTCGGAGTTATTATCCGTCATTAATACTCATTACCAATATTTAAAATTTAAATCTAATTTTGATCTTTGTTATTATAATTTTTGCGGTATTTGATAAAGTTGCAAGAATCCCAAAAAAAGCTGCACTAATTTATAAAATATTAAAATATAGATAAAGAAAAAAAATGAGAAATTATTTTATTTATATTTCCTTTTTTAGTATTTTACACATGTAATACAAGGCTATAAATATAAAAGATTTGATATTATATTTTATACGGAAAGAAATATTATAAGAAAAAGGAAATAAATTAGAATAATGGTTATTATAGGAAAAAATTAATGATAAAATTGATTTCGAAGGTGATTGAAAATATTATTTCAAGAATACTATTCATATTTCCTTCAAAATTTATTTTTATATATTTTACAATCTTTAGCATATAAAGAAAAAATATTTCTCCTTCAATTTGAGATAATTTTATCTCTGATCATTCCAAATATTTATTTTCTTATATTAATTGATTTACCTTTGAATGATTATGATTCTCTTTTTCTCTCTATTCCTTTATCACTATTGATCTATTTTTGTGCGGTTATGATTTAAGAGTCGGAGATAAAATTATCTCAAGTAGCTTGATTTATATAGTGTAATAAAAATGATTTATATGAAAAATGTTATATTTACTACCTATTTTTCTTACTACTTGTTACTACTAAATCTTAACCGTTGATTTCCGTCAATCTAACAGTTATAATTTATTACAAATTAATTAATAAGTATGACCTCATAAATTACAATCGTTAGATTGACGGAAATCAGCGGTTAAGATTAGTAGTAATAAGTAGTAAGAAAAATAAGCAGTAAGTATAACCTCTCCCGATTTATATAGTATAAAAAGATTCATATAAGATTCATATCAACATGTAATAAAAATTATTCCATTATAACCCCATATGAAAAATACCATAATCATTAATATCAAATAAATTGTATACATTAATGACTAATCGTCCATAAAATTAAATTACTGGAAAAAGCATATTCAAATATGTTATGCATATTGGTTTATGAGTTTTATAAGAGTTTAGGTAAAGTGATTATGTAATGTTATAAAGATTTGTTTTGCGTACCGTAGTATTTTTTTTCTTCAAAAATTGAGAACCCCATAAAATATTGTGTGTGTAAAAAAATTTATTGTATTATGTTAAATGATAAATTCAAACCTCTTAATTTATATATTAAAAACAAACTTGTAGGATAACTAACAACACTTATTTATAGTGTACGTGAATTGATTGACGGCATGCCAGGCTAGCATATTTGCCATCATTGATGTGGGTCCATTCTTCCTTCTGTTCTGTCCATCCCACATGTACTATACATTATTATTCTCTTTCTTATTCCCCACCACCTACGTGTTCAATCTATGTATGAAAATATTAATGATATATATAATTTTTTTTAACACTGTAATATGTAGTAGTTTGTCGTTTCATACAAAACCAAATTTAATTTTTTTATTTTTAATTTTCACTGGAGAACTTATCTATTTTTAAAGGAATATAAATATTTATAAAATTGAATTCTTTATTGTTTCACCGAAGTAGATTAATAATATTTTTTATTTTAGTTAAATTTTTAACAATAGATAATTAAATTAGTACAAATTTTATAATATATAACAAGAGAAATCTCTTATTTCATTAGTAAAAGATTTTTTTATATATATATAAAGATGACAATGATAAATCATCATTATCATGATTGTTCATGAAAAAGCTGTCATTTTGATTATAACATTACATTTCTGATTCTCATTTCTTAATTTATACAAATTTTGTTACCAAATATGTATGAGATGTCAGGTGTGAACGGATCATTAATCCTCTCCTATTCTGTCATTTATATGATTAATGCTTATAATAATCACTAAATTGCATAAAGCTGTCTCTGTCCTTCCCTCTCCCTCCTCCTTCTTCCACACATTCAATATTCTCTCTCCGCCCCTGCATTTTTTTTTTTTTTTGCTGGTGCTTGGGCACTGCCTCTATCCCTTGTTCACTGTTGCCAGAGACTTTGACCCAATAACATGCTAGTACGTACGTTTCTCTGCTTGATGTTCTAGTTTTATTGTTTTATATTGCTTTTGAGTTGATAACTGTGAGTGAAATTTGATATCAAGTTTAAATCTTTGCTTGGTTTGTAGATGTTTTGAGTTAACTTATATGTGTTCCATTGATATGGGTCATCTGCTACGTATTTTATTCTATTCGGGTTTGCTCTTGTTCTTTCTTCAATGAAAATTTCTATATGATCTGAATCTTTTGAATTGGCGCTCTTTAATGTTCTTAGTGGCTTCTATACTCAAACTGCTATATATAATAAGTCTCTTGACTTGATATCTAATCTGTTATTCTGTTCCAAGTCTTTCTCAATTGTTTTCAATTCATTAATGCCTGGTGTTACATTCATCGTTATGGATGAAAGATGAGCATTGTGCTCTGATTGTTGGCTTATTTCATTGGTTTTTGCATTGAATCTCTTTAACTTTCTGCACATTCTAATTATAAATGCTTATGAGTTATTTGAAGTGAATTATTTGCTCAGAAAAGAAGATTCCTTATCTGTATTTGGCTTCACTCAATCTAAGATATAATCCTACGAATCTGTAATTTATTATTAATATTTGTAGGGTATCTTATGAGAATCAGTGGATTTTTTTAAAAAAAAAAAAAAAAAATCCTTGTTCAGGTGTTGTTGTTTTTGCTGCTGGCTTTGAGCAACAACGAAGTAAGAGTAAATGGTGATGGTGGTGGTTGGCAATGTGAATTTAATGGGACACTAAAACCAAGACCACACAGTGTCTCCATTTTGGAGTTTGGTGCAGTTGGGGATGGTAAAACATTGAACACTATTGCATTCCAGAATGCTGTCTTCTATCTCAAGTCATTTGCTGACAAGGGCGGAGCTCAGCTATATGTACCACCGGGTACATGGCTCACTCAAAGTTTCAATCTTACTAGCCACCTTACCCTCTTTTTGGAAAAAGGTGCTGTCATTATTGGATCTCAGGTATTTTACCTTTTGCTTCTTCTTTTTCACTGGCTTTTGATTATTGTCTTTTTGCTGATCTTTTGTATAGAGGTAGTACATTTTTTTAAGTAGATAAGAGTTAGTACATATAAATGTAACATATTCCAACCTAGGGGTTACTCTTACACGGGTGGTTTTTCTTAGACTTTGTTTTTTAACATGCCATTACTCTTTGTTAGGATCCATTTCACTGGGAAGTTGTTGATCCCTTGCCTTCTTATGGCCGAGGAATCGAAGTTCCTGGGGGAAGATATCAGAGCTTGATAAATGGATACATGTTACATGATGTGGTCATAACAGGTTTTTTGTTCTTCTTACCAGCAGTTCTTCCTTCAATTTTCCTCGTATCATGGGTATGTTACTGGCTTCAACTTTCATATCTTTCTTTATGTACATTACTAGGTAATAATGGAACCATTGATGGCATGGGATTGGCTTGGTGGGAATTGTTTGGCTCTCATTCCCTGAACTACAGCCGTCCTCATCTGATTGAATTAGTGGCATCTAATTATGTGGTAGTTTCAAATCTTACATTCTTGAACGCCCCTGCATATAGCATCCACCCAGTTTATTGCAGGTATGTTCTGTGCTTCTTCTAAACATTAAGTTATACGAATTTTGAAAGAAAAAGGGATATTCATTTGGTTATATGTATTGCCATACAGCAATGTACAAATTCAAAACATTTCAATCTCTGCTCCTCCAGAATCCCCATATACTGTTGGGATAGTACCAGGTTTGTAACATATTCTTATGAACTTTTGTATTTGGTCCTCTTTGTGAGAAAAACCTTTTCTCACAAATTTCAATAGCTTATATATATTAAACTTTATAAAAGTTCACTTAGCTAATTCTGGTGCGCTTAATGTTTTCAGATTCTTCTGATCATGTTTGTATAGAGGATTGTATCATTGCCATGGGCTATGATGCAATTGCCCTCAAAAGTGGCTGGGATGAGTATGGCATTGCTTATGGAAGGCCCACTGAGAATGTACATATCAGAAGGGTGCATCTTCAAGCATCTTCTGGATCTACTATTGCATTTGGCAGTGACATGTCTGGTGGCATTTCAAATGTTCTTGTGGAGCATGCTCATCTTTACAACTCAAAAAGTGGCATCGAGTTCAGAACAGCCAAGGGAAGAGGTGGTTATATGAAGGATATTGTTATATCAGACATAGAAATGGAGAATATCTACACAGCAATCTCAGCCAAAGGTGCTTGTGGGTCTCATCCTGATGACAAATTTGATCCAAATGCTCTCCCACTTTTGGATCACATTATTTTGCAAGACATGACTGCCACAAACATCACTGTTGCTGGAAGCTTTGCTGGACTACAAGAATCTCCCTTCACTAATATATGCCTTTCCAATATAACCTTTTCTTTAAATTATGTTTCTCCCATTACTTGGGAATGCTCAAATGTCTCTGGATTTTCAGACTCTGTTCTCCCCAAACCCTGTCCTGACCTTGAGACTCCTTCAGATTATTCCTCTTCCTGTCTCTCCCTGATGAGTATTAATGGACAAGCTGCAGTCCTGTGATAATCCTTTATCAACAAAAGGTTCATATACTTGAGTTCCCTGTTTCATGTTTGATGAAAAAAGTGAATAGCCATTTTCTATCTCAGATTAAGCCACATTTTTCCCCCCAATAAGACAGTTATTCGGATTATTCATTTTTTCATCCTTTATATTTGCATTGTTGCATGCTTCGAGCAGAACATTATTTGTACAGCTTTATTTCTTCATTCATATGTAATGAAATTTTGGTAGTGTCCACAATAGGACTCAATTTGATAGTTTTATTGTTTATATTTATTTTTCAGTCTTACTCTTGTTTTAAACTTGTTTTTATAAATTTTTCTCTTTATCTTAATAATTTATTCTAATAACAAATTATTCCATCTCTTCCCTTCAAAACCATAATAATAATTTTAAGGGAAAAACGTTTCTCCTTTTAACGGATATAACTTTGTGTCGTTTTATATTTTAACGGATATAACTTTGTGTCGTTTTATATTCTAACCGTTGATTTCATTAATCAACGGTTAAGATTTATTGATCAAAATTATTAATTAATTAGTAATTCATAATAAAACCCAATAAATTCTAACCGTTGATTGACGGAAATCAACGGTTAAGATCTAAAATGACACAAAGTTATATTATTTAAAGGACAAATATTTTTCCCTATTTTATATAGAGTTCGCTTTTTCTATAGTCAATGTAGATAATTTTTCTACATTGACCCAAAACAACGTCGTTTTGAGACGAAATCAAAGTATTTTTGTAATTATAATTTATTTCAGCATTATAATAGTCTTTTTCATTATAATTTTTTAATTTTTCAACTCAAAATGACATTATTTTGAGAGCGAATGTAGATAACTTATTTACATTCACTTTAGAAAAATTAAAGCCCCTTATATAATCACCAAATAACTTTTAACTTAAAAAAAAAAAATCCTCCAAACGACTTCTTAAGCCATTGTGATTTCAGTCTTTTTCACTGTGAAACATGTAATGACTTCTGGTGATTTTCGATCAAAGATGGTTCGAATTTTAATTTCCTATGAATTTTAATTTTTAAATAGCTCATTAATCATGGTCTACTCTTTACATTATGAAAAAATCATTATGGAAGTGTTGGTACTCGGAGAATATCTACATCTGCAGTTTTTTTTTTTTTTTTTATTGAATTATTTTAACCTCTCATTATAACCTTCATTTCCTTTTTTTTTCTAAAGAATTTAATCTTAACCCAATAAATGTAGTTCAGTTGGCAATATAAATTGAGTAAGTGAGGAAAGAATTTGTGTTTGATTCCATAAAATTTATGGATATATCATGAGGTCATCTCAAAGAGGTAATTGAAGATAATTGGGGTAAGTATACCCAAAAATAATTTAATCTCACGACATGATATGACCAAAAAAAAAAATTATTCGGAGTGCTCTAAGTGATCAATATGATCCTTACATTTTCACTATTTAAAAAATTTCACGAGTAATATTTTAATTTTTGAAGATATAGAAAATATACCAAATGTAAAAAATAAACAGATTACAAATTCGATTTATTCGAAGAGGGAGACACATCCTCTTATTTCCAAAGATTTTTCAAGAATTTACTTGGAATAGAGTTTAAACCTCTGACTCAATAAATTCTTGAAAACTTAGTTGCCAAAGGTTATCCCACATATATTTTAGTTATTAGTGCAAATGAGCTTATATCTCGACATAAATTTCAAGATTTATATGCGATGAGAATGCTAAGTGTTTGACTGATTATTTATTTTTATTCTTTATTCTAATAGTTAAAAGTGGTTGATAATATTAAAATAGTACGTGGTTTGAAGCAAATCTTACTTGGAATATTAAGTGTTGAAATTCTAAAATAGTTTTAAGAAAAATATTTACCTAACCATAATTTCCTTTTAACTTTTGGGACGACTTTCTTCACTTCCCTCCTTTACACCACCCTTCACCATAAAACCTCATGGCAAAACCCTCTAGTAACCTTAAACTCATATTTTGATTCCTCTGATGACGATGAATTCAAACATTTATACACAGACGTCCTTAAAAATATCGCTTCTTCTTCATCTTCTCGTAACCCCACACACTCATCCCAATGGATTATAGAACTCACATGATTAGGAATCGAATGTTAATTGGATGGTTAAGAATTTGACATTAAAAAGGACAATGGAATTGACAATTCGCAGATTTCGGAACTTCCACAAGAATGGACCAGACGATGCTTGGGTTTGTGACAACAAGAATGATTTGCAAATTGTTTTTTTTTTAATATATAATTCGATTTAGAGAAGATCACATGTACGATGAATTTTTTTTTTTTTGGTAAGCACAATGAATTTTTTTTTTTTATCAAATTTTAATAGTATTTTTATGATTCGAACTCGAGATCACTAATTAAGCCGAAACAACTCTTAACCCATTGATAAATAATTCACAAATTGTGTTTTAACCTAACAATTTTAACTTTACTTTTTACGTTATATATATATATATATTTTTTTGACTTCGAAGTAGTTGTTAGAAAATAATATAAAGTATTAAAAAAACCATCACCTAACACCTTAATGGAGTGTTTGGTAGATGAGAATTTTTTTTTTACCAGTGGAATGTAATTACTAGCAAAAAGGTAGGAAAATAAGTTTGGTAGAAATTTTTTAAAGAAAGTTGCTTGGTTGAGTAAAATATTACTGGGAAAAAGCACACTGGAAGTTGCAAGTTACACTGTACATATGTTGCTTTTTGCCATTTGCCCAATTTTCTCCCAAATACCACGTTGGAAGTTGCATTCTTGCACCGTGAATATGTTGCTTTTTTACATACAATTGTCAATGTCTGGGGAAAAGCATTTGATAGGTAAATTCTTTGATCTTTTCTACCAAATGGGAAGAACTGAAAATCCTACACTCAGTTAATTGGGAAAATTTGCAAATGTCCCGAACCAAACACCACCTAAGGTTTTGGGTTGAATTGGCGCTGATCATGGTATCAGAGCTTCAGGGATCACGAGGTCTCAAGTTCGATTTTCACCACCTCCACTTTCAGGTAAAATTAAGAAAAGCACAAGACAGACTAAAAAAAATGGGCTTGTGTAGCATAAGGCAGACCAATAATGGGCTTGTGCCATATCCACACTTCAAGCTCAAATGGCTCTTGTATGAGAGTGTGTGTTAGAGAATAATATAAAGTATTAAAAAGATCATCACCTAACACCTTAAAGTTTTGGGTTGAATTAACGCTTATCAGTAGTGTTAAGCTAATTCAAGCAAGCACTTAATAAATATTACTTGATTTTTATAGCAAGTAAAATATTAGTTTTAAATCTTAGGTTTACAATTTTGTATTTATGTATTTTTATTTTTTTGATTTTCTGTAATTTTGAAGCATATGGATTTGCATATAAGCTTGAAAACATTTCGAATTTAACAAAACAATTAACAAATAATTTAGCATAAAATTGAATACCTTTTCATCTTGTAGTTTCGTAACCAATCTTACAATTTGGGGGTTATGGTTGGGCCGAAGTTTGTAAAGCCCATGGCGGGTGAGTGATCCGTGAGACATAAAATAAGCCAACCCGACCCGACACCGAGCCTGTTTCCCTTTCCTTTCGTTTGTGTACTTGTATTGCGAACCCTCCCTTCTTCCCTCTCCCTCGTGACTTGTGTGAGTTGTTGAAGCTTCAACCGTTTTGGTTATGGCTTCAACAGACATCAGAGGCATTTTGACAGCTTTCAATCCTTCTCTCGATTTGTTCGCTATCACCACTGGAGACGGTCGCGTCAAGGTATATTACGAATCCGTTCTTTTAAGGCTTTCAACAATGGTTTTAGTTATATATATGTTGCTTCCTATTCAGATATATATTACCTCTTCAATTTCTGTGTATAGATATGGGATACACTGAAAGGTCAGGTTCAGACTGAGTTTGCAGATATTACTTCAACTGATACAACAACAACAACTATATATGATAGGTCCATTAAGGGCCATCTTTCAGTAGATTATACATGCATCAAGTGGTTGTCTTTCGAAAGAAAGGTTGGTTCCTTAGTTTATTTCTTCGAATATTTATTATTATCATTTTTTACTTTTAGAATAATATTTACACCTGATACTGTGAATTATTGCAGAGGAAAAGGAAGCATGTGTCCTCATTGTTAGTGCTTGGAACGGGTAGTGGTGATGTTTTAGCACTCGACGTGTCTGCTGGTCAATTGAGTTGGAGAATTAGTGACTGTCATCCCGGGTAACATGATTTCGAAGTTAATACATTACTGTATTTTGATGGATGATTATGACCTTGCTGCTCTTTTGGTTTTATAATCTTTAACTCCATATTAATTGGAAATAATGATTGAATACAATGGAATGATAATTGGAAATGGTGTCTGTAGCTTCAGTCGATGTGATGGGTTTTAATTCCCTGTTGTTATATAAAAATCAGCATTTATTTACGTTATCTTATCTTGTACTCTCTTTCTTGCTCATTCGACTCAACTGCAGAGGTGTGAGAGGCATTTCGTCTTCGGCGAATGGATCAAGCATTTATACTGCAGGTGCAGATGGGATGATATGCACGATAGATTTCATCACCGGAAACCTGTTGGAGAAATTTAAAGCTTCTACAAAGGCAGTGTCCTGTATGTCTGTTTCTCCGGGTATGTATCCTTCACAACTTTTGCAGATATCTTTTTTTTTTCTTTTTTTATGCTCAGAAATGAAGTCAATGCATTTCTGTTGGGACACCGGCTGAATTAATCTGAATCTGACAATTGTACATGACATGTTGTATAATTTGATTGAGGTTCCCCAGGAATTTTTTGAGCTTCTTGCACATTGTAATTGACAATAAAATTTCAAATAGAAAGCTCAACTTTCTCATTGTAAGATTCAATGATCCAAATTTAATTATGGAAGCCATCCACTCCCAAGCTAGTTCCACTTTTGTTATTATTAGAATGGCAAACAGTTTGCCTTTTAGCTCCATATTTGTTGAATGAGTGCTGAACTATTAACTATATTTCCTGAACCGCTGTCAGTCAGAAGAGGGCTTCAGTGAATCATGATTAAGATGAATCTGCAATATGTAGGTATTGTCATTATTTTGATTCCTGATTTTGGTAATGGCTTCTTTACTTCCATCAGATGGGAAGACGTTAGCTACTGCAGCAGCGCAATTGAAGATTTTTAACTGTTCCACTCACAAAAAGATTCAAAAGTTCTCTGGTCATCCTGTGAGTCTCATATATTTTGCTCTGTATACATGGTTATACCATGTCATTGCCCTTTTCATTTGTCCCCAAGACAGGCACGCCCTTTTTTTTTTCATCGGCTTTGTGATGATTCTGTTGTTTGTATAACAATAGTTTTTAGTTTAATTAACAGGGATCTGTTCGGTGCATGGTCTTCACTGAAGATGGCAAATATATCCTCTCGTCTGCTGTTGGTGAAAGATATGTTGCTATTTGGAGGATAGATGGAGCTAAAAAGCAGTCAGCTAGCTGTGTTCTTGCAATGGAGCACCCTGCCGTCTTTCTTGATAGCAGGTGCATTGATACCGGGGAACATGATGAGGCTGGGATATGTGTTTTGGCCATCTCAGAAGTTGGTCTTTGTTATTTATGGTTTGGAAATAGCATTGAAGAACTGCGTAATGCAAAGCCCACAAAAATATCATTATCGTTAGAAGACATGTCCTCTAGAAATTACAAGGGAGCACTGCCTGCAATATATGCTGCAAAATTACAAGGCATCCAGAAGCCAGCCTCTGGGCAGGTTTTTCTTGTTTCTGGATTGCTTGTAAAACCATCATTTAAAAAAATTCTAGTGCATTCCGGTACAGATGTAAAGTTGAATGTCTCCCATGATGGTGTTCTTCTTCCAATGAGTCAATCTTTTGTCAAATCTAAGAAGGGGACAGGTGTACAGAGAGGTAAGACTTTCTGTACCTTTGATTAGCTCTTTCTCATGAGCATTCTCTTATTTTGATTATTTTTGTTAAGGATCAACTATTTCAAAAGTTTAAGCTATTAGGTGGAAACCTGAAAATGGTTTTTCATGTCTTACAATTTTTTTTGTACTTGCTTTGATGCTCATAATGTTGTTATTTGATCCTATTAACTAGTTTTGAATTTATCCCGTAAAAATTAAAAAAGTTGGTCTGATTCCTGATCCTATTGTAGGTTATTAACTGCTGATCATATATTTTGACAGTTACTGCACTAGACCGTGCTAATGCTGAGGATGCCTTGCTTCCAATTCCTAAGGTTTTTGATTCTCATGAGAAAGAGAAAGCATTTCAAGACTCTTCGGACAAGCATGTTATAGATGATTTGCGTACAACTAGTAAAGCTGATTCTCTTGAGATAGAAGGTACTATATCATTTTTTCTTGATGATCAATATAACTGTATACTGCATCAATTATTGTTGTGAGTAGTGACTGAATTATTATTATTTTTTTCTTATTATCATATTTTCTGGCAAAGCAGCAGATTGAACACTTTCATTCTTTTCTTGAAAATTGAATTTGTGGCTGAATAGCATATACCTGGGTAGATTGATATAATCTGGAAATCTCGTTAGTCTAATAAAAAGTCCACCCTGCATGAACCCTACATAGATGAAGCATAGGTGACTGGGTCTATAAATTGAAACAATGCAAAGAATGTGTAGTAAGACCTCATGTGCTTCATTAACTTCTTGGTATTTGTATTTGTGTATGTCACATATTCGAGTATCTTACATTCTTGTTTGCTTTAAAAGCGGTGTATATCATATATTTTCGTTTATTAATCATCATCACATTTGATTATTAATAATCTTCAAAAGCTTTCTTCAGGACAATCTAACGAATGCCAATATGATGCAAACACATCCTTGTTTAAAAGCAATCTAATTTGTAAATATCAGTTGTGCACTTGTGCTCAACTTCATAAGTCATTTGATGTAAAGTATTTATATGAAAACTGAGCCATGAAAAACCTTAACTAAAAGATGTTTTTAGATATATACATGCTTGTTTTACCTGTTTAGATAGCACTATAGATGTTTTACTGGAATACTGTGGTTATGACCACAACGGATTGTATTTTCCCATTAGTTAGTGTTTATTTACTTTTTGGTTGTATTGTTACAACTGACTCACTTGCTGACTCACCATTATTTGGCTCTACAAATGGAGCACAGCTGTATCTGATTTCAAACAATTCAATAATACAAAACTCTTCAGACTCTTTCCCTCTCTTTCCGTTTTCTCTTTCTCTCCTTTCCTTCGTTTTCTTGAGATGTTATTACTTTAAGGTTAACAGCACAGAGCACAGATTTGACCTTTCAATAACAAAATCAAGTGATTGAAATTGCTTGTGAAATGTAATTCTTTTTTTTCCCCCACCAGTTAATGGGGTAGCAATTCTTGCCATTGCCAAAGGAATTGGCTGATTGATGTTTCCACCCTAAAAGGAGATATTATTTCGTCATAATTTTCCTTTGTCTTCTGCACATTCCTGCTACTAAGTAGATAGCAGAAGATGGATTGGCACTTCTTTTCTCCTTTGCTTAATCTGTTGATTTTACAAACTCTGCAGATGATATGGTCCAAAGTGAGACTGATGTAATTTGCATGGAGGACCGGCTGAGGTCACTAGGGATGCTTGACATTGAAAGTGACTCTGCATCAAACTTTGAACTTTGTTCTACATTGTTGAAGGGTATTGATCTGGAAGCTGCTATTTCAGTGAAAAAGGTTAGTTATGAGTCAATCTGATTGTCTTTTGGTATTACTTTGGGTTCCATCTGTTCTCTTATCTTCTTCTTTTTTTATTGTCATTATAATATATTTGTTATCCTTATTTTTTTAAAATCACATGTAATTGTTTATGCGCCTGAATTTAAGATCCATTTATCAGATAAGAGCAGCTGTTTTGTCTATGGCTCCAAGCGAAGCATTCAAGCTACTGGAAGTGTTGCTTGCTGTATGGCAATCAAGGTTTGATTTATTTTCTTTGACTTTCTTCTGTAAGTTGACTTGCATATGAGGGAATGCTATCAATTTCATTGTTTGTTTATAATTTTATTGTTGTATTGCAATATTAAAAGGGAATTGTTTATCTCATTTAACATGAGATAAAACCATGTTCCTACACTCACATATACAGGAGAGAGAATAGAGGAGAGAGAAAAAGTATAAATGGATTCCACCACTCAATATGTGTGTGTAGGAAAATTGTTTTATCTCATGTTAAATGAGAAAACAATTCCCCATATTAAAATGAACCAAACTAGGAGTAATATTGAGTTATGGGTAACATTGGCTATGTCTGGTTCCTTCCCCTAGTAGATTGGGAAGCTGATATTACTAGTAGAATAGCGTGCTGATGATAATGACATATTCAAGGGCAATTTGATACTGCTTCTAAAAGGAGGCTTCCTTCAGTTGTTTGGCATATTATTTCCTACTTATTTAAGGAGAAGCGTGGGGTGGGTGCAGAAAGAGACTGGACTCTTTCTCTTTGAAGTTTAACTTTATTTGGTTCATTTGATGTTCTGAAGGGTAAGTTCAAATGCATATTGATTTGCTGATAGTTGTGGGAAGTGTAATTCTGTTGATCAGATTTTAATGTTCTCTCTTTTTTTTTTTTTGGATTTATTGTGTTTAGTCAGGCAAGATAGAATTATACGCAAAATGAATCAAATATTTGAGTGCATGGGGAAATATATATTAATTCTCAAACTTAATGTCTTACTGTTATCGTTTGGTGACAAGTACTCCATCAGCTCAACTATTTAAGAAGAATGGGAATAAGTGTAGCTTGTAATCGTGTTAAGAAAGAAAGATGCTATTTAGCTTATAAAGCCAATGATATGGCTGACATATTTTCTCTTTGCTTTAAGGTGCTTTCATTAGCTCGTCTTCCACATAGTAGCTGTCTTGAATAAGATGGTGTGGATGCCTGGTATGTTAAATTAGTTGTGAAACTATTGGAAAATAATTTAGTTGTAGTCCAAGAGATATGTTAAAAAGAAGCAGAATCATGATTGGGGCTTCATACTGTTAGTAACTTTTATTGCACCATCTTCAGTTTGCCTGATAGAACATAGACTTGATTACCAGATCATTTGTGATATCTTTCAGTACGTGTTTTCTTTTCCACAAATAGCAATACTTATGCGCTCAATACTTTTTGACATTTATAAATCTTTATTAAACAGGTCATCCAGTGGAAAGTATGTTCTTCCATGGATATATAGCATTTTAGTGAATCATGGTCACAATGTCATTGCTCAAGAATCTGTGACAAGTATGCTTGATTCCTTATACAAGGTATTATAAATTAATGTTTGCTTTCTCATTTACATGCTCGGTGTCTGCATTCTCAACTTAAATTCATCTGCTTTATTTACAATATGAAATTCAAATCTAATTATACTTCTCTAATTTAATTTGCAGCTTCTGCTATTATTCTTTCTTGTATGATGGATGCTTCATTAATGACTATAACTCATGTTAAGTTTTGAGTTTCATTGTATGTTTAACTCCGATGGTATTTTTTATGGATAGAAAGACTAAAACATAGTGAAATGGCCAAGGGATCAGTTAATGTAACTTGGTTTATCAGTGTTCCATGATACCTAGTTGGCTTATTAATATTATATGAAGCAAAATATCTGCAATGGCATATGTCTTTTATTTTGTATTTCTTTTTTCTTTTTTTTTTTTCTAACATGTTTGTGTGCATATTTGCATTTTTATCAGTTTCCGGCCAACCCAGGATATTTGGCCATCCAATTAGTAACTTAATATTATTGTTCGGGCCGTTCACAAAGTCAACATGACCAAACTCCAAAGCCTGGCTAATTGCTTAAAGTGCATTGCAGTTGCATTTACACATCCAATTGCAAATTTCCTGATTAAAAACCAATAATTTTGTGAAATAATATTCCTCTACCAGTTCTTTTGGGGTGGGGAATAAAAACATGATTTGAAAGGCAAACACATTCTCTGATTATCTGCTTTTTACTAGTTGTGATAGAGCATGGCATAAGAAAAAAGTAGGATATGGATCAGGAATAATGGGATATATTTGTATTGATTGGGTATTTATTGGTAATTTTTTTTCAAAAATAAAATTTAAGGTTATTCTGAATTTTTTTGTTTTCTTGTCAAATTTGTTTCTTTCTGGTCGTTCTGATTTTGTGGTGATTTCTGGTTCTATTCAAGTGATATAGCTTTACTTTGATAAATCTACAAATTGAGAAATTGAATTATTGTCTGCCACTTTTCAGATTACCAATTATAGAGGGTATACTCTTCAGCCTTTATTGCAATTATCAGGTCGTCTGCAACTGGTGACATCACAGGTTTACTCACATTTTTTTAAAATTAATTTGGCCATCTGTTGAATGTTATTGGTTTTCAGGGGGCTTAATAAAATTTGCTTTCAGATTGACAAGGCTTCTCAGACAATAAGTCATTCGTTGCATGATCTCCAAATGGAAGAAAGTGGAGATGAGGATGAATATTATCATGAGGAAGAAGATTACGCATCTGAAATAAGTAGCGATGATGGAAGCTAGTCTGACTTTTAATTAGAGGTAATTACATGCATAAAAGTTTTGGCTTTTTCATTTGTTCTTACCAAAATTGGTAAAGTAAATATGGTTGAGTAAAGATGGTTTTAAGTTTGGAGACCCTGAAACACCCATTCTAGGATTTTCCATGTGGAAATTCTGAATATGCTTGGAACTTGGGAGTTTGGTATCTTCTTTCGAGATTGCTTAAATTATTGTTGAAATATTGATGTCTTTTGCCACCTATTGCCAAAAATCCCCTTTACAGGTCATTATTTCTTAAAATTCAAGGGTGATCTAAGTCAGATTCAAGACTGGGGCATAGCTGATGTTGCCATGCAAAAGCTACTTGATTTATGTAAACTTTATAGGCTTGATTGCACTGTTGTTCCCTATATTACGGCCAATGTGCGATTATGGCCCCCAACAATTTTTTGCTGCAATCAAATCCCCTAATTTTTCTAATTGAAAATCAAATCGTTTCGTCAGTTTGCTGTCCAATTATTGACACGGGTTAGTGGTGTGGCCAACAATTTACATGCCTGTCACTTTGCTAGGTAAAGCATCTTAATGGTGGCTTTACTCTATTTAAATGCCATTTCATTATATTCAATATATTTATTTATATTGGAGGATCTAAATAGATTAAAATCACTAGTTAACATGCCAACTCAGTGAAATGTCATGTTATCTTTGTAAACTATTGGTCATGTCATGAGCTTTTGTTAGTAACTGGACAAGAATCTGACAGGGGGATCTAATTTTTTCAATTAGAAAAATTGGAGGATTTAATTGCTACATAAAATTATTAGGAGACCAAAATCGCACAGCCACATTAGAGGGACCAGAAATGCACTTAAGCCAATTTTTTATTGCTTTTCTTCTTCTTAGCCTATCATAATAAAAGGTTATTTTGCAATTAATGGCCACTATCTAAAATTGTTTCTTTGGAGAACTAATCTTATAAGTAGTATTAAAATGTCCTTAAGTTTGGTTTTTGTTTCTCGGCTTATGTTTGTTTTACCTAGAAATTTATGACAATTTCTTGTGATGATGATAATTCTAACTATTATATAGGAGCATATATGCTCAGTGATTGGTGTTTTATAATTAACGGTTTGTGTTCGCCTTTGCAGATTGAGTTCCCAGTTTTCCCTTTTGCGGCTGAAAAAGATTTAGAGGAATAGATGCTGGATTTTGACAGGCTTTTTGTTCACAATTTTATTGCTATATAGGTAGTAAATTTCTCCGGATTTTTTAAAAATGACTCAGTCCCTAAATTATGTAATTTGTTTTTTTTACTGATACGTAAAACTACATAAATATAACCCAAGCATATTTGCTACATGCTTGAAGACCTGCTCAAACACTGCAATTCTTAAGAATGTCTCCACCAGATCAACAACAGCTTTGTTTTCTTGATAGCAGCTTTGCATACCAAAAGTGACCTACATGTAGCAAATTAATTGTCAGATATCGTTTTGGCTATATTTACGGATATAAAATTATATAGTCTACATTCAATTTGTGGCATGCACGAAATGCTTACGATAAATTATCCTGTTTCTTTAATTTGCCGAGTTTTATAGGAAAATAGTGTGTATTTTACCCGGTTATTTTTCTGTTATTTCTGTTTGAGTTAGAAGAAGACTCTAGGTCTGGACGAGGTGGTTAGCTGCACATATTATATATAATGTGAGTGAACAGAGTTGGGGCATATATGAAAACATTGTCAAATTCATCTTTAGTCTCTCTAGTTTTGTCCATTGCTATCTTGGATAATTGCATTGAATATTCTCTGGTTCGTAGCATTTCCTTAGAGTCCCAAGAAACAATTAGATGCTTTTTTAAGAAAAAATTTCGTATCTTTTGCCTGGAATATGGCCTATAGTAACGATCGTTATTTTTAATGTGTTAGCACTATTTCGAAAAGACGTTCCTTTTATTTGAAGTAATTTAATACAGTGATAGCATGCATAAGTACAGATTCAACAGAGATTATAATATTGGAAAATGATATCAGGAAATTGGCCATAAATTTTTCTTCTGTTTATGTTCACCCGAGCATGTTTCTATAATTAGGTATTGTGCTTTTACGCTTTCACGAAACGAATCCAGAATAAATTTTTCTAGCACCCAGAAGATAGGAATATTAGTATCGTTCTCCATCCTCGCATCATATGCTAACGAAAGGTATTTTTATATTCTGCCTCCAAATTATATTATTTTACGAACTATCTGCTACGACTCACTTATCAAGACATTTGAAAGCATAAGAGACCTCTTTACTATTCACAAGTAGCTGTAGACTTCCTACTAGACTATGCTACATGCATTGGGATTGTCATCGCTGAACATGGATGTGAAGTCTACGTTGCCATTTTGGTAGTCTCCACTGTAGTGTTCCATACGGTTGTAATGTGTGTGCCTTGATGGTGATCTGACACATTCATATTCAGTGACATAAGGTGATGGCATGTATGTATTATAGCTATGTGCTACGTACATTGATTGGGATGGCTCATGCAGAAATACCGGGCTATTATGGTTGCTGTCCAAGTGCTCAACATAGTGGTGGCCAGAACTGAATCTGTTAACGTAGTTAGGCAGATTATGGTATATCATATTGGTTCCTGGGTTTCTCTGCCACTGTTGGCTTGCATTGTGCTCATTAGGTGTGGTTGATGGCGTTGTCTCGGGTGGTGGCTGTTGATGCGGTGGTTCTGCCGGTGATGGTTGTGCTGCATCAGGGGCTGGTGCATTTCCTTGTGATTCTGGTTGTGTTGGTTTAGATGGAGAAGTTAGTTCAATATTAGAGCAAATGGTGGCATTCTTCTTTGTCTTCTTAATTGCTTTGACAATTTTTTCTGGATCTGCCCACCCAATAATTGTTAGCCTTTGTCTACGGAAGTCAACATGAAGATTATGAATACCTGCAAAAGGTGAAAAAGTTCATCAAATGGTTAGGTGATGTTGCTGTGTCATTTGGAAAGAAAATTATGTCAGTGCATACCATTAATGCCATTGAGTGCTTTCTTGATCTTCTGCACGCACCCATTACAGTCCACTCGGACCTGTATCTGTGTGACTCGAGGTGTCTGCATTTGATGGATTAGCCACTCTTACACAGAATGCTTGCCATATGTTTTAAATTGATCAGAATCACAATTATTCACCAAAAAAAAAAAAGTGATGAATAATATCATAATTGCATATATTAATACACATGAATGGATTTTCAGGGACGTACCTGTGAATCCCAAACCATGGAGCTGTAAAACTAGAGAAACCAAGAAAATGTTTTTGTTTTATGGAAGAGAATTATGGATAAAAAAATATGTGAATGGAATCTATCTGTACAAGCCTTACACGGGTAAGGAATATGTAGAAGGCAAGAGATGTGGGAAATGCAAGGAATCTTCTCTCTTTTTTTCCCTCCAAAAGGCGGGGGAGAGAGAGAGAAGGAAATGGTATAGTTTGATTGGTCCATGTAAGTCATTTTGTAAGCTTAAGATTAGAAAAGGAAGAGGGGTTGCTGGTTCTGGAAAGAGTTCAGATGTTCTTTATGACTGTTTGTAATGCTGTGTCAAAACAAACAATGTCAAAAAGCTTGAAAGGTAGGGTGGGTGAAGGGTGACAAAACATTGACAATAATGCTTTAGTCACAAAGGAAGATCACTGTGATGATACATTAAACATGACAAAAAAATTTATTTTCCAAAAACTACAACTATGATTTGTGTATCAAGTAATGTATGCTTATTATAGTTGGAAGGCGCTCACCTTACTTGAACATGACATCTCTCGTAAGGGGAGGCGCACACAATCAGATTGTGTTGTTGTTTTTCTTATAATGGACGGGATCAATTCATGCATGTCATGCGAGTTGTTGGAAGGATCCCAAAAAGTGAAATAAAATAGTGAAGTACTAAATCCTTATAAAGGACTGGACCAACTTGTAACACCCCGTTCTAGAACCGGTTTGTTAACATCGCATTATGATATTAAGCGCAGTTACAATCACATGGGTTCAATTAAAATCCGGTTAAATTTTTCATTTTAAAACATGCCGAATTGATAATGCCCAATTGCGTGATCATAACCATATTACCTCGCGGAATCGGATAAACCAAGCTTAACATCATGTTCTTATTCCATTTTTAAACCATTAATTTACTCCTTATTTATTTCTCAACTTCTACTATATTGTAGATCTCTTCGTTAGCTACGCGTGGTTTCAAACCGCTCCTCATTTGGAGCTCTGTAGCTCAAGTTATGACAATTTTACTAACTCAGGTGTATGCTGAAAAACTACGCGGGCAGGGCGCTTAAGCGCGCTCCAGGGCGCTTAAGCGCCAACAGACAGAGGGAATTTACATTTTTTAGCCACCAAGGGCGCTTAAGCTCGCTCCAGGGCGCTTAAGCGCGCTACCTGGGCGCTTAAGCCCCCATTTTGGGCGCTAAAGCCCCAGGCGGCAGAAAGCTTTTGGTCTTCACAGGTGCATCAGGGCGCTTAAGCCCCCTCATGGGCGCTTAAGCCCCCTGAGCAGGCTTAAGCCTCCATTTGCAGGCTTAAGCCCCCTCTTCTGGGCAATTTCCTAAACTCATATTTTTCATGTATCTTTCTTGGGGAATCAATCCTACACATTTTACAACCTATTTAACAAGCTTGCGATATCCCTATATCATTGCTTAACTCTCATCCTCTCATCATTGATTTAACGGAAATTGGGCAGCATAACCTTTGTTTTCTCAACGTTTCCCAATCTAACAGCTTAGCTCCTAATAGACAATTCAGCTCAACATTTCCAATATTCATCATGCATTCATAACCTTGAAGTAAATAACATTACACAAGTTTAATTACATAACGGGGAACTTAGCTACAAAAGGCTATGACCATCCCTTGGCTCTCATCAACAAAAGAGATATCCAATGGCACGATCATAGGCTAAGTCCATCAAATATAACGAGATATACATACGTCAATGCTATCAATGATCAATCCTATACATGTAAATCTACAAAATAACATGTATGATCTCAAAACATCATTTTCTTCATGCATGATCTACTGCAAATAAGGCCACTTGCCATCAGAGTCTCCTGCAGCTTCCTTACCTGAAAGGGGGTCCCCATAACACGGGGTGAGATATACGAATATATCACAGTAAACCAGAGGTCCTTGGAGATCACTCCACCCTAAGGTTCACTTTGATGTACACATAATCATAATAGCTTAACACATTCTTATCCACAAGCATCACATGGACTTCCAAGAGAGATCCACTATGGGCTGTTTCTCTTAGGCTCTTATCACATGGAGATCCACATAGGGCTGTTTCCAAGGGAAGTCCTTTCCTCAATCTATTCCAAGAGAGATCCTCAAAGGGCTGTTTCTCTTAGGCTCTTACCACATGGAGATCCACCTAGGGCTGTTTCCAAGGGAAGTCCTTTCCTCAATCTAGGAACCTCCAAGAGGAATCCACATAGGGCTGTTCCTCTTAGGCTCTAACCACATGGAGATCCACATAGGGCTGTTTCCAAGGGAAGTTCCTACCAATCATCCTCATCATAATACTATCACTCATAACCTCAATCACAATCCTCAACCATTACCTCATTCATTATTGCTACTTCTATAATCATTCCTCAATTACTCTTAAACAATCAAACATCAACCAATAATCATCAATCAATCATAACATGTATCAATGCATGAATCAATGCATGAGCATACAATTACAATCATAATTACATATCACATCTCATAAACCATTTCTCCTCAACGGAGTATGGTGGAACACTCAATGAGATCAACCACAAGGTCCAAAGGTTTACCTTGCTCTTGAGCTTTCCTCAATTGCACACAACCCCAAGGGTTGGTCACTCCACTTGGTCCTCTTGCCTCAATCCTATCAACACAAGGAATACAATCAAACAATGCTAACAATGCAAGGAAATCCATAGTTCCAAGCCTAGATTTCTCAAAACATCAAAACATACTAAAATAACACTATAAACTCATTTCTACTGATTAAATGTCATTCCTAGCATTTTTCACAACATACTCTAAGCCTCATTCTTCCTTGAACATAGCCAATCTACTCAACATTTCATAAAAACCCTAAAACACTATTCATTAAACCCTAACCATGAAATTTTCCAAGAAAACAAGGTTCAAGGGTTAGAATCTTACCACCAATGGTCACACAACCAAGGATTGATGGCACCTCAAGCTTCAATGAAGGTTGAAGCTCTCAAACACCTCAATTTCTCCAAAGGGCCGAATTTTTGAAGGGCAATATCTCACCACACAAAGCTCCCCACTAAGAACTAAGCTAGGATTAATGATGAGGGCGAGATTCTAAGTGATTTAGGCTTTTGAATCGCTCCAATCGGTTGAGAATAGCTCTCTCTCTTCCTCCCTTCCTTCTCCCTCCTTTCTCCTTCTTCTCCTTTCCCCTTCTTTTCTTTCTGTCGACGGTTTCTTGGGGGGTTTGGGTTTCTTTCTTGTTTTATCACTTAACATAAGTTAAGTGGTAACATGTGGGTATTAGTTCATCTATCTATTCAACTCCATTAATTACCAAACTTTACCCAAAAGTCTGGAATATTATTCTAAGAATATTTATATTTATATTTTTATATTTTGGACATTTTCGCCAGTACCCATTTATACCCCTTAATTTCCACTGAGTACACTTTTTAACTCCAAAGTGACTCAAATTCATTTAATTAAGCCCTATACTTAATTTTACTCACTAAAACATGCTTAATTATTTAATTAAAATTAATCAATTAAATGCTTAAGTTTGGGGTATTATACAACTCATGAATGTCATACAACATGTTCACCAATTTTCCTCTATATACGATCCTTTCTCTGTGATTTAGTAATCTTTGTGAAGCAGGCAACTATATAATGCTCTTCCATGTGATGCTTTTCATGGTGATTACTGGTTGCTGCCTCTGATATTTAGATTCCCTAATACAGTTTTTTGAAGCTCATTGGTTTTCGTTAATCCATTCATATTTTAGAATTTGGGTGCAAAAGACTAACATCATAGGACACTGGGTGAGTTACAATAATAAGACTTTGCAGGTAAAATACTGGCCCATTGATGAATAAAGCTTTTCCCCCGGAGAATGTCAAGTGCAGATTCGCCTTAACTACTCTCTCTGAATATTATTTTTGGACAAGTCCATACAAAAATTGCATCATCCTTCTGAAAATCTTTTGCTTAATTTACACAAATTAAATATGCAAGCTGGCTATGCCTATGCATGCCTTGAATTGCAATACTTCTGTCTAATCATGGCTGCAAGGTATAAAAAATCCAAAATGACACAAAGGTGAAGAAAATCTCAAATAATGACAAATTTATATTTTGGTTGTTCTGAACCCCACCCCAAACTTATGTCAATAATGACCTATAATCCCCTTCTTTTATGTAAAAAAGGGTGATTTATGGGGTTAGTCTGAACTTATAAAAGTTAAAAATCTTGGTACCTTATCTGTATGTCCAAGATGTTAATATGATCAGAGTATGATGCTATCTGTATGTCCAAGATGTTAATATGATCAGAGTATGATGCTACTGCCTCATAAGATTGGGATTCAAATCTTCTACTCTTTGTTACTACCAAAGTACAAATATTTTTGCCAAACCACTGGCCCTTTATGGCCGTACATGCTATAAATAAGGACTTATTGAGGAATTCAACTCTTTGCAACCATTCTAAATGTCCCTATGTTTAATTGCACACTGCTATTAAAAAATTGAATAAGTTTGTATATCGTCTATGATACATGACACAATAAATAAATAATTAAGCATAGACTTGGGGGTTCTCCAGCAGGTAAGACTCCACAACTCTGTAAATTCCAATGGTGCTTTCCCTTCCTTCCTTAATCTCTTCCTCTTTAACATCAAACTCGCCAATGGTCTTGTAATTGTTTGTCATCTTACAGAAGCAACCTCCATCATTAGTGGCCTCAAACTTTACCTCATATTCTATAGACTCAAGCTTGTCGCCTAATGGATCCCCTTCAATCATAGTGTATTTGCAAACCAAGTTGTCCTTATCAAGCACATCAATCCTGTGTTTCAGATATTTGAAGGGGCTAGCTGCATAAAAGAAGAAGATAACAAGTTATTCAAGAAATATACAGAAATGAACCTGTTCAGTTCAGCTTGTCCATGTTAATTTTATTGCTAACCTTCATTGAAGTTAATTTGTTCAATGCTTCCAGCTTCTCCATCTCCTTGGATTACATTGACATCTTTTACAAACTGTGGCAAGAGCTTCGGAAGCAAATTTCTTGAGTCTATGATCAAGGCCTTGAACATGCGTGATGGTGCAACAGAGGATGAATACTCCTGAGTAAAGGTTGTGACTCCCATAGTGAATTTTGTAGATTGCAGAAATCACAGGGAATCAAAGTTGTGGCTTGTGAGTGATAGATCCCAAGGGGGAGAGACTTTGGTGTTTTATAGGTCCAGTCCAGCAGTCCCTATATGAAGCAAGTTTCGTGGAAATGAACCCTTTGATGGAAATGGATAAGTTTGGAAGTGAGACTCAAAATGGACTTTTCTTTTATAGTTAACAATGGTCAATTTGGAATTTTCTTATTTGAAGACTTTCAATGTTAGTGGCTGCTGGCTGTGTTTTTTGTTTTAAGAAGTAAGGCCATTATTCAAACTCATGACCCCACACACGAGCTGCTATTGGCAGAGAATAAGGTCATTTGCCAACATTATAGACTTGGATTCATACAAGTCATAATCAGAATAGTTCCTTACCTACCTCATACCTACCTGGGTATGGTGAGAACTACTTTCTTAATGGGAGGTTGTATAGCTTGATATCTGAGACTAGCTAATAAAGTCATCACGTTTTGAACATGCACGTTTCATATACACATCAGCATAAAACTCAAACTTTGTTTCTGCCTTACTGTGAACTATTTTGTTGGAATATGATTGAAGATCCTATGAAGTAACTAACCTGCATGCGAAATGAAAAGAAACTAAACAAAGGGCATGGTCTCTAATCTAATACTATTCAAGTGGCTACATTTATTTGATTTCCTGTGTCACATTAACGAGGTGTCTTCTCTCCTCTAGTCCACCCCAGTTTTTCGATGGTTTGTCTTCCCACATTAAGCTTGTATATAGCTGATTGAAGTTGTTTTTACATGCAATGACTTGAGCAACCAAACTACTTCAAAAACATGTGACTAAATTAAATGATATAGAAAATGAAATAATAATATTTAAAAAATTAATATATAAACAAAAAATTCCAGAATGATGCAACAGATTCAACTAACCTTTCCATCAACTTCCGACGACATTTCCATTCTCAATTTCCTTGTATGGGAAGGAGACAAGAGTCCGAGAGAAGTTCATCACCTACATAACATAATGTATTACATATGATATGACCAAAGTTACTGCACGCATTTAACCATCATATTATGACAATAGCAATAGCAACATATCAAATAAGATAAGCAGCAAATCAGTAGTAGCCAACTGAAAAAACAAATACGTAAGGAAAGGATCAGAGAATGGCATGCAACTTATTTATGAAAAATAACCATCTTTTTTGTTGTTATCTTCGAAATGCCATGACATTAAGCGTTGTAAGGAAAATGGCACTAACTCATAACCTTTTGTGCTCTGCCCTGCCCTGCCCTGCCAGCTGCAAGCAGAGAGACAGAGAAGCCAAAATACACACACATTTCCATTTTTTGGTTGGTTTCATCTGCATTGGGGTGGCCAAGCTCCATCAACCTCCCCTACCTCCACCCGTGTTTAGTGTTTAGCCACCGCCACCACAAGCATAAGAGACCTAATGGCTTTCCACTAGACTATGCTATATGCAATAGGATTGTTATAGCTGAACATGGATGTGAAAATGCTTTATTGTTATTGGTTTTCCTTTAATAAATTCATATTTTAGAATCTCGGTAGAAAAGGCTAACATCACATGGCACATTGATGAATACAGCTTTAACCCGGAGAATGACAACTGAAGATTCGCTTAACTGCTCTCTCAATATTATTTTTGGACAAGTCCATGTAAAAATTGTATCATCCTTCTTGAAAGTCTTTTGCTTAATTTACACAAATTGAGTATAAATCTGAACACGTACTCAACTCAAAACTTAATAGTCCTTTCCTTAAACCTTCTTTCATCAAGTGGTGGTATCTTTCACAGATTGGAAGGAATAATTACCATTTTATATTTTTATGTACTCTCCGTCCGTAAGTCCGCGTAGCCCCTAGTCATTCTTTACTAGTTTACCTAAATGAACAGCATATATAGAAGCATTGTAAAGAAAAGTCAAGTTTAGAGCGTGAGTCAATCTTACTAATTTACCCTTTCAATTGTATTTTTTTTTTTTTTTTTTTACTTGAAGAGCAAAATGAATATATCTTTTTTTTTTTTTCAGCGATGTCATTGCTCTACATTTGTGTCTTGAAAAAATGAGAGTTGCTATTTAAAGGTTCAAATTAATTATAAAAACAATACCGAATAGATCAAAATTGTATGACTCGGATGTCACTAACATAGTCCTGTTTAACAGCATTATAAGCGTGCGTGACTCGCTTAATAATCATAATTAAAATCCTTGACTCTCTCCTTTTTCTTTTTTTCTAGATGACGTTTTTTTAGTTGGTCAATCATTAAAGAGTTGGCGCCATCAAGTCTATAACTTTAGAAATGGGGAAAAAATTTAAACAACAGATAGAAATTTTGGTTAACCAATTAAAGAAAGGATTTTATAATTGTCATGTAATATAAGAAAGACAAATTCCCTACACATCATTCGATTTCCGGTGTTGACATGGGTTTCACACGTTCTTTTTTTTTTTTTTTACATATAGGTCCACATGACTTTTTATTTCTATGGCAAAAAAATTTTATTCTCGTGTAACATAAGAATTATAAAACCTAGAAAGAAAACAATGAAAAAAATAGTAATGAACACGATAAGAAAAAAGCAAAACGAAAAAAGTTTTTATGATGGAGGTTACAAAATTTGATAGACTTGGCAAGTTGGCATAAAGTGAGAGCAGCATAATGTGTATTTATCATGGAGGAACTCCTATGTCACCGCGTTATTATCTTCGTTTCTTGGGTGTCTAGTCCATCATGGAAGTAGTTTAGCCAGAATCATGAAATAGAGAAGCGAAAGCATTTATAGATATAGTTGCTAGCCACTCTTCACTGAAAGGGCATCGAATGTGAACCATGAAAGTTGTCTTTCGCATCAACCTGCATGCACCGTCTATTGACTTTGACTCACGGGCTTTTCTGTTTAATTATTCTCTGATTTTATTGGGAGTTTTATTTTAAAACACCTTTTCAAAAGCGTAATTCTCTTGTTACGACCCAAAACTCCTTAAGATTAGACAAGATCCTTATACGACTCGATTATTATTTAAAGTATTCTACGAATCTCTGTTAAATCCAATTAAGTTGTACACTTCTCAGTACCACTCTTCAGACTGAAAGATTCAGTAACTCATATTTGAATTCATTATATATCAGTACAACATCCTAATTAAATTTTAACTTTTCTATTTAAACATACATTGATACTGTAAAATAAATTAAAAAGAGACATCACTGATTAATTAGAGGAACAATATAATTCCCATTTTTACAATCAAATTGTAGAATTGACTTTGTAACAAAATGAAAAACTGTTAGCTCAATCATTATTTGGTTTCTTTCATTGAGAATGATGCGTTCAATACAATTGATAATAATTGCATATTTAAATTTTTATAATCTCAAACGTTTCTGTCAAAGCAAATTCAAACGTTAATTATTGGAAATTAAAGCAACCCGATGGAAAAACACACACACACACACACATAAGGACCATAATTAACACAAAATCAGTTGCTGTCTTAGTTGTAATCAGGATTAGCCAGAATGTAATCCTCAATAGCCTTGGTGAACCCTGCAGATCTCTCCTTCCCAGCCTTCAAATATTCTTCACTGAGTTTCTCATCACCTTTGGTGTAGTATTTGCTTGTGGACTTGACAATGGATCCTCCATCAGGGGTTGGCACCAGTTTGTACTCATATGAGATCTTTTCCAATGGGTCTGATAAAGCACTTCCTTCAATTACACTATAATTGTACACATAGTTTTCTGTGTCAATTGCATCTACGTGGTGCTTCACATAGCCTAAACCTGCTCATTTCATATATATTAATTGTTATATACACAATCACGAAATGAATTATATTGCACTATATAAACACACCAACATTGATTAATTATTTACCTTCAGCAAGAGTAAGCTTCTTAATGGTTCCAGGACCTCCATCTCCCTCGATGGTTTCTGCACTCTTAATGAAGTTTGGCAAAGCTTTTGGGAAGACATTGCTGGCATCTATGACAATGGCTTTGTATAGTCTTACAGCAGAGACAGGGGAAACGTGCTCGCTTTCAGAAGTGAAAACACCCATGATTAATTAAGGATCAATTAATGCAACAAGTGATGAGATCAAAGAATAGATTATGGTAAGCAAAATTGCTTTGCTTTCTGTTGGTGGGTGTGGGTTTATGGATTGTGGGTATGGCATTAATTTATAGGCGCTGCATGTTACTGGGAGGGAGGTTCCCCCCAAAACACGAGAGTTCAATTAATTATTAATTAATGCTTAAGTCAAATCAAAGGAGGCGGCCTCCTTGAGGAAACATCGATCATTAGAATTTGCAAGGAATTCCAAGTCTTTCTGACTTTCTCTCCCTGGAGTAATTTATCTAAAATATAAGTAAAGTAGAAAAGGAGTCTCTTTTAACTAACTTACGTCATTTTAGCATTTTTAACTTTTTATTTTATTTTTCACATCAACAAATAATTTCTGAAAAAAAAAAAATATAACTTTAATATTTGATTTAACTATATATTTCCAAAAATATATAGTTAAAACTCTTACATATTTAAGTATGTACTCTAGAAAATACACACATATAAGTGTTTGTATTCCCTAGAGTAAGAGTTTGAAAATAAAAGATTTGTGTGTATATACGGGTTCGCTTGTTCTGCCGTTATTGCAGATAAGTTATCTACAGTAAGCTCAATACGAAGTTATTTTGGGACAGAAATCATGGTGTTTTTATAATTTTAATTTATTTCAGGGTTATTATAATCTTTATAATTATAATTTTTTAATCTTTCAATTCTAAAACGATGTCGTTTTGAAAGTAAATGCAGATAACTTATCAGCAGTAGCTGCAGAAATATTTTTCTCAAATATATATATATATATATATATATATATATAGGGTCAAAATATTCTTACACCGGTGTAAGTTACACTCTCAATCTTGTTTGCTAATTCCACTTATTTATAAGGATTCAAATTTTTTAGTAATGTGAGCCATTGAAATCTTGTTCGTTAATCCCACTTATATTTAAGGGATTAATTTTTTAGTAATGTGAGTCATTGGATACAAGTGGATCGATGGTTAAGATTTAGTGTAATATTTCTAACTCTTACATCGGTGTAAGAATATCCAATATAAGATTTCAATCTTGACTATTGATCCACTTGTCTCCAATGACTCACATTACTAATAAATTTGAGCCCGTAAATATAAGTGAGATTAACTAACAAGATTGAGATTGTAACTTACGCCGTAAAAAGTCACATTATTGAATGATCTTGATCCATATATATATATATATATATATATATATATATATATATATATATTGCATGATAATAGCAACTTACGCCATAAAAAGTCACCACTCCCATGTGAACCCAAGACTTCTGGATGGTCTATAAATCACTAATTGCTTGTTAGACTATGTCATGTGTATAGATGTTTGATTTCTTTCTTTATCATTGTTTCTGTATGGTGACTGTACAATGCCGCGCGATTCAGCAAAGATAACATCGAAATTAATTAATTAAGTCTTGGTTGTAGTTATCGTGGCGCTAGCGAACAACGACAGAATATGAATGAGATGTTCACAAAATAATAAACAAGGAAAAGACGGTAAGATGAAGCAAATGAATATGCCATTTTAATACGACATAAAGCATGATTAATTTAATCAGGTAAATTATTGATTAAATTATTTTTTATAAGTGGTTTAACTGAATCAGCATCGACATTGAGTGCAACGCGCATACTTGCACTCTTTCATTCGTTTTCTATCAGTGGTAAGGTTCAATTCCACGATATAAAGATTATATTTAAAAAATAAAGGTGTAAATATATTGTAAGAGTGAGTGGCTGTCATATCCAAACTGCAGGATTTGGATGTCACTACTTACCGCGATTAAACAGTGACCATTGTGCCACTGTTTCAAGATAAATTTATCTAAATGTCACGCCAAAAAACAATTTTACCAAACTGCCACGAGGGCAAGTTCGCCCAGAGCAGTAGCGAACTTGGTATGCTGATGTGTCAGATTTCTGGTAGTGTCAGAGTTCGCTTCTGACACGGGCGACCTCTGCTGCATGCAAGCCACGTGACCTGGCAGGTGAGGTATTAATTTCAACCGAGGTCGCCCGTGTCAGAAGCGAACTCTGACACCACCAGGAAGCTGACACATCAGCATACCAAATTCGCTACTGCTCTGGGCAAATTTGCCCTGGTGGCAGTTTGGTAAAATTGTTTTTTGGCGTGACATTTAGATAAATTTGTCTTCTAAGAGTGGCACAAAAGTCACACTGTTCCTGATTATCTTCACTCTTACTATTTATTTTTATTTATTTTTCTAGAATAATTTCTGTGTTGATATTTTATTTTTTGTTAACCATCTTGTAAGACTATAATAATAATAACATCAACGAGATAAGGACTCTCATGCATGATGTCTCCTTAGAATAAGACCAACGTAAAGTAAGAATATCCCCAAAAAATAGTGGATCATAATATTTTTTTAGTAATTAAACTTTTTTTTCTAATGGTATCAATATTTTTTATTTTGTTTATCTCGCATAGTGGTGAAACAAGGGAGGAGTTGGGGAGGATATATAGTTGCCCCTTTTAAATTATATATTGGTTTAGTTGTGAGTTGTCATTTATGTTATTTTTTTGTCATATAAATAGTGATCACTCCCTTCAAACTTCATATAAGTCGTATAAGTCTTTAATGTAGGGGACATAATCATTTGATATCGGCCTATGTCAAATTAAAAAATTTGAGATCAAATTTTAATCATTAATTTCTGTCAATTTAAAAATAATAATTTATTAAAAATTAATAATTAATTAATAAGTGTGATTCAATAAATTATAATCAATAATTCCACAAAATCAAATGTTAAAGTTTAATGTCAAACTTTTTAATTTGATATCGGTGTCAAAACATCTTGCCCGTTAAATCTGAGCATCATGTATGTTCTTTTGTTCATATAGATAATTATAATTTACAAGGAATATTACACTTATCATTTTATCCTTTTAACAAAATTTTCTAACTCCACCGTTAAACTTATTCTCGAAAATCTTAAATAACTTAATACTGAGTTTTTAGTTGGCCAAAGTTTTTAGTAGTTATTTATTTTAACGAGTGCGCAGGTGATAGTGGTCGGCATTTAAATTAATGAATAGAAAAAGAAGGATCAAATTAAGACTATCACAAGTGCGGCGGGTGCGAATGCAATTTTAAAAATATTTATAATTAATCGAATTTGTAATTCAATTGACCGGATAAGTCTTTAGACTTTAGATTTAGATTTGATGTTTACATCTCATATTCAATTTTCTACCTTATCATATTCTTCCTTCTCTTACCTACCTAGCATAGCACATCGTCAATTCATTCATTTGTTGGGAAATATTTAATATAATCCAGGGTTACTGAATTTATTGGTACTTCCTCTTATATCATTAATTTTTTTTTTATTTATGTTATTTTTTCTCTTTTTTAATTTTACTCTCTTATTTACACTAAAAGACCACCTAAAAAATGGTGGTCCCAGTTCACAAAAAATAATCTCCATTTGTCGATCCGCGCTCCGTGACACCATCTTTTGCGCCTGTCAGATGGATATTATATTATATGTTCAAGGTTTAAAGTTTTATAATTTGTCGACAGACAGATCTATTGCTAGTTGCTACATCAGTTAGCATATGCTAAATTATTTTTATTTACACAATGAAATCATAATAATAGTTTATTTGAAAGCCTACAATCTAAAGTAGTTAAAATCGAGATTTTACCTAAAATCGAAAAGAGAATAAAAAATCATAAATCATAATAAAAATCGTAGATTTTACCTGCACTCTAAAATTAAATTTTTATATACATATGCTTATGTATAAAAAAAAATTAAGAAAAATAGACCACCTGCCACCATCCTTATACATTTGTATACAATTGTCACACTCTAAGGGTCTAAGCTAATAAATCATTCAAGTTATTATCATCGAAGACATTTTGTTCCACGTGATCTTCAACTACATCATTCAAAATTTTCTTCATCTAAACTTTCATCATGAGATAAAGTTTCTTCATTTTTCACAATCCATTCATCTTCGGATGAAACATCAGCAATGTTATATTCAACAATTTTTCTAACTTGCTTAACATTATTCCAATAGTTAAAATCGGGATTTAAATCTTAAAATCGGACTTAAGTAAATGTCTAAATCGGGATTTTATATTGGAAAGGATTTGAAGTGAAATCTAAATCGTTTTAGCAAAAATAAGTCGTTAAAATCAAAATTTTAATATTTAAATCCCTATTTTAACTACTATGCTACATTTCAATAAATGAAAAATATACTCTTATCTTGTAAGAGAATGTTTTTCTCTTCTACATATACATTGATTTTCATATTACTTTTTTATTTTCTTTTTCTTTTTCTATAAGAGAGTGGGTCTCACTCATGATTGTCTCTATGGCATGAGAGAACTTTCTTCCTATTACATGAGACTAATAAAGCCCTTCAATAAAATACATATAGAGAAGGAATCATTCCCGCAAACGAACTAGTGGTGATCGAATTTGAACCTTTGATTTTAATTTTAAAAATATATTTTTAGCCAAATACCAAGTTGAAACATATAGCTTGTGCTCTCCCTTAGTTTTTATATATAGTTTTTTTTTTATAAATCACAGATATCTTCCACGGGAAGCAATTTTGTTTGAGGCGGGTCCAGGATTAAGACTTTAAACTCCTCTCAAAAATGGTAATAGGAGGATCGAACACATGCTCTCACCCCCTACCTGCTCAACTCCCATTCGCCAACTGAGCTACAATTATTTGATAGCTTTTATATAAATCTGGCCTGGTTATTGACCCGATCGAGGTACTGGGTCATTGGTTCAAACGCATGACCCGAAAATATATATGAATTCAACGCTAATAAACACAGCCCGGTTATTGACCCGTTCGAGCTACTAGGTTACTGGTTCAACCAGTGGATCACTGGTTCAACCAGTGGATCAGTGGTTCAACCGCATGACCTGTAAGTATATATAAATCTATAATTTATATTAGAAAAATTTATAAATATACTCAAATACCTGTAAAAAGGATACAATTTCCAAATATTTTAATATGAAAAATAATAAATTAAAAACCATTGTCCAACAAGAGATCAATCAAACATATAATACTTGTGATATTGGTGCTTCAGGTTCAATAGACGACATCTCTAGCTATAAATCAAATCAAAATTTCTTGCATATTGCATAACCAAGATAATATTAATGTTATAGGTACATAACCTATGTAAGTCAATAAGCAACAGATCACTTAAATATTTCAAAAGAAAACAAATCATTCGTGTGTGAGAGTAAAAAAAAGAAAGGCATCAATTGACGAGAACAAACAAGTTTTATTTTTTATAGAACAGGATCGGGTCACAGGTTGAACTGACCAGGTCATCAAATTTTACAAAAATCGACAAGGTCACTTCGATTCCATGATATGACCGGTTCATCTATTTTCGCGTAGATCCAATTTTTATAACATTACTTGAATGTTTTTTATTATTTTATGTGGAAAATGTATAACCTTCTCTTAACTTCTATATATATATTGTATATTTGATGTTTCACTGATTATTTTATGCAGGGCTTAAAGCTAGTTTGGATGGACTTCACAAAAAAGTGTTTTTTATGCTTTGTTTATTTTAGAAGTATTTTTTTATAAAAGCTAAAGTTATTTAAAAAAATTTAAAAAAAAAATTGATTTTTGAAAAAAAAAATTTAACTTTTAACTTCTGCATTTTTTAAAAGTTAAAATTTTTAACTTCAATAAAAACAGATTTTTGACTTTTTTTTATTACTTTTATTTTTTAAAAAAGCATACATTCAAACAGATTTTTTCTGAAAAGTGCTTTTTCTGGAAGAAAAAAAATAAGTTTTGAAAAAAAAAAATCCAAACGGGTGTTTATGCAACATAATGATTATCAATTTTTGGTATTGACCCCACGTAGCATTTGCTGGACAATTACTATTTATCAATAGATTTTTTGTTTTTTGGGTAGACTATCAATAATTTTTTTATCTTGAAGTACATATGTTCCTTTTATTTTATTAAACTTAATTTCTTATGATTTTATATCAATTCATTGCTTAATATATTATATAAGAGATAGGATCAACTTACACCGGTGTAAGAATAATAATTCTTACACCAAATCTCAACCGTTGATTTTCGTGCATCTAACGGTTGATATTTATTGGGAATTAAAAATTAATTAATGAGTGAGACCTAATAAATTTTAACCGTTAGATGCAGAAAATCAATGGTTAAGATTTGGTGTAAGACTTGTTATTCTTACACCGGTGTAAGATGATCCTGCCCCATTATTATATAATACTATGATATATATATGATATATGAGGCAGGATCCTTTGACACCGGTGTCAAAGAAAAAGTTTGACACCTCATCTGAGAGCCGTTAGATTAAAAAAAATCAATGGTGTCACATGCTTACAAATCAGAATAGTTGATTTTTTTTAATCTAACGGCTCTCAGATGAGGTGTCAAACTTTTTTTTTGACATCGGTGTCAAAGGATCCTGTCTCATGATATATATATGTAATCATTGATTTGAACATGATATAATTACGAACAGACCAGTGAATCGGAAACCAATGCATTTACCAATTCCATGACCAACAGCTGATTCAAAAATACAGAAAAGTTCACCAATGTCATTGTGTGATTTATTTCAGAATTATTTATGTCTCTATGATTTTTTTGTATCACATATGTTCCTGTGATTTGTAACAAGTAAAAAAATCATAGGGGCATATGTGATAAAAAAACATACCATTTTGTCAATCACAAGAGTATATGTGATAAAAAATAAACTACAGGGGTATAAGTGATTCTGGAATAAATCATATGAGCATTTTGAACTTTTCCCTTAAAAATATCATTAATATCAGAAATTGGAAATAATTTTTTTTCAAATTCAAATTTTTAACACTAAGCATGATGAATCTATCATTTTCTCATAAATAGTCGATCACTATACACCATTTAATTCTCAAGAGGGCCATTTTTTGTAATAATAAATTAACTATTTCAAATGAAAAATGCAGGCACAAGATGACTAATACGTTGATTTGTTGGATGCATTAAGTTTATTACACTTTAAGCGCTCAGTGTAAAGGGGATAATGTACTTTAATTGAACTACCAAAAAAAATATGCTTTAATTGATAGAATGTGACAGAAATTAAAGAACCACTTTATTAATTTTCATTTTTAAATAAGCTTCATTCCATTGTATTATGAATTACAGGGTAAAAGATGGTGCCAAGACTTCAACACACATCAATTTTAGGGGGATGGGAGCAGTACATAGCCAGCACTCAATCATTCATCCACAGAAACACAAACTCCCAAAGGCAACTCAACAATTAAAGCCACATACATATATAAGGACCAATACAAATATTTAAACAGAAGCTCCAACTTATTTATTGTCACGCAAACTTAAAAAAGTCCTTGATTCACTATGGTCTATGGGACTCTAGTAATCAGGATTTGCCAAAACGTAGCCCTCAACAGCCTTAAAAAGTGCGGTTCCCTTTGCCTTTGTACCCTCACGCACCTCTTCCGATAGGACAGCGTCGCCTTTGGTATGGTATTTGACGACGAGCTTCCCCACTGATCCACCGTTTGGGCCAGGCAACACCTTGGTCTCGAATGACACTTTCTCCAAAATATCTTCCAACCCTGTCCCTCCAACTAAGCTATAGTTGTATCCTAAGTTAGCCTCATCGATTGCTTCAACTTTGTGCAGCACATAGATGCTTTTGCCACCTGCCACCATGCATCTTCAATTTTAAATATACATGGACCTGGAGCTTATACGATATAGCTGGCTAGCATATGTATAAAGAATTAATTCAATTTAAAAATCTAAATTATTAAATAAATATTAATAATTTTATATGAAAAAAAAGTATTTAATATTTTTTTAAACAATTTTGTCTAATATTCTTCGAAACGACGTCGTTTTGAGATTGAAAAATTAAAAAATTAAAATTATAAAAACTATTATAATTCTAAAATAAATTAAAGTTATAAATACACCATGATTTTCGCTCCGACATCGTTTCGACGAACATTAGATAAAATTATTTAAAATAATTTAAAAAAAAAAAACAAATTCATTTTATATTATATTTTTCTGTTACGCGACTCATAATACTAGAATTTATTGAATTTAAAAGAGGAAAAATATACAGTTAATCTATATAGCTTATTATTTATTAATAAAATGAGATGAAGATGTACCACTTGGTCACATAAATTAAGTGAAGATTAAGTTAATAATTTTATATTATATAAGATAATAAGATATAGACTTGATTACCTTCAACAACGGTGAGCTTCTTAATGGTTCCAGGCCCTCCATTTCCTTCAACGATTTCAATACTTTGGATGGCCTCAACAACCTTTGGGATGATGGTGTCAGAGTCTTTTGCAAGAGCTTTGTATAGTTTAGCTGGAGCCACAGTGGAAACTTCCTCGTCCTCGAAAGTGAAAACACCCATGATCCAAAGACAAATAATTAAAGAAGGACTAATGAAAGCTTAGCTAGTATGAGAAGAAGATATATGGTAGCTAGGGGAGTAGTGGTGTTTGTGATGCGGTTATGACTTGGGGAGAGATGGTATTTATAGATACTCACGGGGGCCACCTTTACACTTTCCTTTAGCTGAAGAAGCTCACTCAATTTTATGCCCAATTTTTCTACTGGGCTACTCTTTTGCCTTTTGGTATTATATTTGGGAATTGAGAAAAAGAGGACTATGAATTAGTCAAAAATATATTAATTTAAAGACTACCACTACCTGATATCGGTATATCTATTTTTTTATTTTTCTCAAATCTCTTTCAAATCGGTATTTCTCTTTAAAAAATTTGCCATAGCCCGCATTTTTAAATAAATTCAAATAAAGTTGTATGCACATACAACAAGTTATGTCTACAATTATTGTAAAAATAAAGCCAAATTTAGGAAACCAGTCAGGCTTCTAGATCTAGGTGGCGTAATACACAGTCCAGGAGGTTAAACAAGGACTGAGTAATGTATCTGGGTCAAAGCAGTGAAAAGCACAAAAGAGTAATAAATTATAAGGAAGAATTTTGTTCTTTGCACGTCTATATTGATACAAATATACTTTTATTTAGAAAATAAAGATGTAAAAAGAGTATGATTTTTTATTTTATAAAGATCATAAAATATAAAATTTATTCAAAAATTTAAATTTTGATCATTTTCTCAAAAAGTGATTTATTTATCACTATATATGTTAAATTAATTTAATCTGACTTGTGAATTGTGATAAAATTTGTATGATGTTATGAGTTTGTAAATAATTTAAAAAACTAAAAAGCGACAAAATGCTCCATCTTTAAAAAAAATACTATAGTTGCATAAACTAATCAATAATCTTTTTTTTTTTTTAATACAACTAATCAATAATCTTAATCACAGAGAGTATGTGAAAAATGTAAACTTTAGCATGACAATAAGGTAGTGTTTGGTTGGGAGTTTTTCCGCGGATATTTATGTTTCTCAAGTATGATTTTTAGAAACACCATGTTTGTTTCAACGTATTTTCACCAAAAACTCATCTATCCAATTTGTATGGATTTATAAGAAACATAGATATCCGCACTGTTTAGAAACCCAATTTGAAGGTGAGATTTTTCAGAAAACCGGTTATCTGACTTTTAATGCACTGTTGATTTCATAAAGTTACCTAATTTTCTCAGTAAAGTTTTTTCCACCAAATAACTTTTTTTTACATTTTTTTACATATCTCACTTTATCTATCTTTCCAATCATTTCTTTATTTATTACATTTTTCTATTATTCCAAAAAAAAATTCTCAACCAAATGCCCCCTAAAATTTGGAAAAAATTGAATCTGAAAATTTATGTTTAGAAAGTTGTATACAATTAATATCATCACAAAAAAGAATCATCTTTCAAACATGACGGCAAATAAAAAAATTCACCTAAAAGCCACGGCATTGACCCTTGAATATTGTGCGTAAAGAATGGTGGATAAGAGTCTATGTCACGTAGACTTTTGTGACTTAGTCATCCGCTTATTGTTGAGAAATAAATTAAGGGACCGTTTGGTATGAGAATTTTCTCTAGATTCTCGAGAAACTGAATTTTTCTAAATTTAAAATTTTCGGATATTATCGTAAACTGAATATAAAAATTATATTTTTGAAAATCAAGATTTTCAGACAAAAAAAAAATTTCTCCCCTACCAAACGTCCTCAAATACAGCCATAAGCCATTCACGTATTGAGTACTATTGACGATAAAATCATGTATATATGATGATGTATCTAATGACTATAGACCAATATTTGTATTCAAAAAGCGTTTTGATATTTTCAAAACTCGATATACGTATTACCTCAGAAGTTGAGGCCAAAGAGAGAAAAAAAAAAAAAAGTTGAAAAATGAGTTTTCGTATGGATTAAGTTTTGAAACCAATATCTTATGATTCTGTCCGCCTCCAATCGAACTCAAGCACGCATATGACTTAACAACAATGCGTTCCTTTCTTTTTCTTTTCTTTTTTAAGTTTTACTGGAAGTTTTATATTTTTCCCTACAAAAGATACAACTATGGTTTGGTTCGTAATCAGGTAATGTCTTCATCAAGTTGAATCCATATTTTATATTTCCAATTGCACGTAATGTACACTTTAATTCCCAGCAACAAGAAATTTTATCTGGTAAAAGTTTTTATACCCAAGTTTAATTGTAATTAAAAAAGTAACTAATAAAATGTGGCAAATTTTTCTTTTTTTGTAAAACGTTGTATAAAAATACATTCATACCATTTAATCTTTTTTCTTCCAACAAAGACAAAGACACACTCATATAAGATATAACCAAGCTGTTAGTAATTATAATGAGTTTAGTGTAAGCGGGCTCAGATACACCGACACGTTTTTTTTTAAATGTGTGTCGGACACCGACACGCGATCAATATTCTAGGACGTTGACTATGTGGACACACCGACACGGTCAGAGTATAAAAACGTAAAAATTTTGAATTTTTTATAAAATTAAAATCTGTAGATCAACGAGAAAAAGCTCTTCCAATGTTTCCATGGCGTGAAGGATCCATTATAGGTATTCTCAGCCTCGTTTTCTGCACTTTCATCATCCATCATTGATGTATCGTTGTTCCTACTGATCGACGATGAAGACGAATTGGGTTTTTTGTGGTGGAAATTGTCCATTTCTCTCTTCTGTGTTTTTTGAGTTCGTTGTGTACTGAAAAAAAATTCTAGCTTGATAATCGTTTTTTTTTTTTGTTTTTATTGTGAGGCAGATATGGAGACAGAGGAAAGGAACCAGAGAGCGTTTAAGGGTTCATAGCCAGAGTTTTTCTTGCAGTGGGGGAATAAGAAACGGTTGAGATGTGTGAGGGTGAAAGACCTTCAGATGAAAAGAAAGAAAACTAAAGAACGAAGGATATTACTTGGCCTTATCTTCATCCACTGGATGTACAAAAAGCATGAAAATATGAAAGAGATGTCAAATCAAAAGCAAGGCTCGAGAGAAATTTAATCAAAAGGTCTACAAAGGAAGTCTACAAAGATAGCTGTAATCAAAAGGTCTACAAAAAAAGTATACAAAGATAGCTTCGGCTAGCTGTAATCAAAAGCAAGCCACGTTGATTTTAAGTTTCAAGGGATAGATATTTATCTTTTGATTTATGTTTAAATTTTAAATATTTAATTATTATATAACTTATTATGAATTATAATATATATTAAGGGGCATGATATTCTTACATCAGTGTAAGAGTTATAAGTCTTACACTCAATCTTGAGCATCGATCCACTTGTATCCAATGGCTTACATTACTAAAAAATTAGAGCCCTTAGATATAAATGGGATCAATGGTTAAGATTGAGAGTGTAATTTACACTGGTGTAAAATGATCCTGATCCATATATTAAATATAAATTATATTATATATATTAAAAATATTATTTAATATCAAAACGTGTCATAATATGTTAAAATTTAATATTTTTTAAAATTAACATATCGATGTATAGTGTCATATTCCGTGTCACGTGTCGGTGTCCGTGCATCATTGTAAGCGGGTTTAAAGTTAAAGGTATCCCCTCAACAATTCTTTAAGCCATTCAATACTGTCATGGCCAAACTCGGGCTTCTCTTCACTGGGCCCACCATCGCTTTTGTTTAAATTATTAACAGCCTGCCTAATGGATCCTCTATTTGGGCCTGCCACTCTTAAATGATATCTTCTCCAATGCAGTTTACGGACCAAATCGTCTTCTAATTATAAAATTCTTGTGTAGATTTTTTAATGGGAAAACTTCACTTTCACCCCCACTGTGGTTATAACAATTATCACTTAGTCTCTTGTGGTTTCAAATTAATCACTCAGACTCACTGTGGTTACAGAATACATCATTTAGCCTCTCAAATGTCTTAAATATCCTTATTTTTAAAAATACTGATAATACCTTTACTTAAAAAATTATAAATTATATTTAAAATGACAAAAATATCTCTAATTAAAAAGAGAAGAATGTTTGACAGTGCTTCATGATTTTTCCGACGATGTTTGACAGTGCTTCATTTTTCCGACGATGTTTGACAACGCTTCATGATAATACCTGCTAGGCGCTGATTGCAGTCACCATTAGGGGGTGCTATGTTGTTGAGGACCCAAAGGATTTGTTGGGCAAGTGTTACATCGTTGCTTTCTATAGCGTTGGCACAGTGAACAAGTAACTGTTCCATGCAATTGGCGTCGTCGAAGCTACCTAAACAAGAAGGATAGTGTACTTAACGCTATTAAACGAGAGGTTAGGGTAATTATTTCCAAGTTAGAAGAAAAAAAAACATGAAATTTCTTGTTTAACGTGACAATGAAACAAAGATGCTGGAAGTCACATATCTTGTGAAGGTAAAATTCAACTTCACCAACTATAATGTTAATACCAGTAGCCCCAATTCAGATGGTACACTTCATTACCTTTGCATAAAGAAAAAGCCAAGAAAGACATAAAAAATGGCAAATTCAATTCCTAATCTTCGAAAAACATTAGGCAGATCACGTAGGAATAATGTGCTTTACCATCGGTCCATCTTTTTTACCTGTGAGATGATTTTTTTTTCAATTATTGATTATTTAGTGCATTTATTTATAACCATAAGATCAAATTAGGTAAAATGATTAAGATTAAAAGTAAATTTTTTTTAAAAAGCAGGTATTTTTATCAAAATTGCTTTTTTAATTAGGGATATTTTTGACATTTCAAATATAATTTGTAATTTTTTGAGTAAGGGTAATATCGATATTTTAAATAATAAGGATATTTTAGACATTTGAGGAGCTAAATGATGTATTCTGTAAATGAGTCTGAGTGATTAATTTGTGTAAAGAACCTTGGATACACCATCCCAAAAGTTAGCTCAAAGGGTGGAAGTGCTCAAGGCCTTATAAAGGCCACATTAGTTGCCCACACAATCAATGTGGGACTAATATCTCAACACGCCCCCTCACGCAAGAATCTTTTTGGGCTAGAATGTGAAATTGCACAGGTTCTTTACAATTTGAAACCACATGGGACTAAATAATAATTGTTGTAACCACAATAGGTGAAAGTGAAGTTTTCCCTTTTTTAAATTAAAAAATTGTGTGTACATTTAGTCTAAATAATTTGTGCTTGTTAAATCAATAATAATAAACACATTATTAGTTTATGGATTTTATTTTTATTATGTCACGTAAGAAAATTTTTATCTCCTATTGTCATTTCGATTTTCGTGTTCTATTTTTTTATTTTTTTTTTAAAAATAAAATGGGTCCCACTATTTATTGTGAGAGTAACAGAGAAAATTTATCTTATGTGACATAAGAAAAAACAAAACCCTTAATTTATATCACATGTTGTTTGAAATTATGGCACCAAAAGAGTTATATATTTTTTATAGGCAAATAATGATGTAATCTAAAAACGTAAGTCACATCAAGTACTCGGAAACTATTGAGTCTAATTCGAGTATTTTTATTGTTTTCGGCAATTAAATTAAAAAACATTTTCAGTCTATTTATTGTTTTCACGTTATTGAAACACCATATCAGTTCTTTTTCTTCTTTTTTTATACATAACACCATATCAGTTCAACTGTTTTTAAAAATGACCAGAAAATACTCTTTCGAACAAAGTTTGTCAGTTCTTGTTTTTAAAAACAAAAAACCATTTTTTAAGACGAAAATCATATACATCTTATTTTAGGAGTTAATTTCTAAAATAATAAAACAAAAAACAAATATATATTGACCCACACATTCACAAATATTTCTTCCAAAAGTTTTAGTTATTACTATCGTAGTATGTCAATCGACGATATGAAAATATTTGTAAATAGGAGCACCCGCTGGGAGAGGAAATGAAAGACATTATAATTTGAATATAACTCATCTAAATAAAATAGGTATTGTATTTTTTTTAAAAAAATGTTATGATTGATTGTAATAAAATATACAGATATAGTATATAATAAATTATAGAATTATTTAAATTTATTTTATTATTCAATTAATGATTATAATTGATGAGGTTGATTTACACTTTAATCTTTTGATTTCTCTCTTTCGTTTATTCTCGTGTAAAAGTTGAGAATGATTGAAAAGAAAAGCAGGACTTTTGACTATTTTGTCCTGTATTAAGAATTTCAAGCGGTGGTCAGAAAAAGCGGATTTGAGTTTTCAAAGGATAGAGTGAGTGAGGCAAGCTAATTGTTCAGTTCTAGAACACGTACATCCTAGTATCCTAGTCTTAACATCACAATTCACAAGCATTGCCCCGATACTTTCGTCAATACGTAATTAGTGGATAAATATTAATAACTTCTTTTATTATTAAGTGGATTTTATATCAATTTTATTAAATAGTTTAAGTTTAATTTTTATTTAATAATATTCACATAAAATATATTCTATAATAAAAAAAAGTAAACAAATGTGTCAAGAAAATATTTTAATAAATGTTATTCGTAATATGTGCCTTCAGCATCGTACGATGTAAGTAAGTGATTTTAAGGATAATGCTAATAGAAGTTTAATCTTATTGACACTTTTTATTTATTTACATTCTCTCATTATAATTTTTATTTTTTATTATCCTTTAGCGATTCATATTTTTGTGTCAAATGATTTTTTTTTTCATTATATGCCTTCTATATTTGTCTATACTCCTTATTAGTTGTAATCGCATTTTTTTTAGTTTTTTTTTTATAATAAGACGTGACATTGTAATTATTGATTATACGTTTATGTTATTCTGTTTGTAATTATATGTGATCACAAATTAATAAGTTCGATTCGATAATAACTATATCTTAATAACCATATACTTGCATTATTTCAATATTATCAAATAAATATTATGATTCAATATTTTTATAGGCGCTAAATATTAACATTCTTATTTTGAATAATCACATTAAATAAATTACTAAATCAATAGCTTTTGTATCAAATGAAAATTTACAATTTAATCGATAAACCTAATTTATAAATGTTTTTCTAAATTGACCTACATTTTTAGAATAAAATAGTGCTAATTATTTTTAATGCCATAGTATGACTATTTTTATGCAAAATAAATTAGCCAATAACTAATATACGTTTCAGAAATACAACTTAAAATTTATATTTTAAAACAGGGTTTGTTTTTTCTAACGTTACTTTAGATAACTTTATCTAATGTTCATCAAAACGACGTCGTTTTGGGACGAAAATCATGGTATTTTTGTAATTTTAATTTATTTCAGGGTTATGATAGTCTTTATCACTCTAATTTTTTAATTTTTCAATCCCAAAACGACGTCGTTTCGATGAACATTAGATAAAGTTATCTAAAGTAACATCGGAAACGTTTTTCCCTTTAAAATAATATAACTTTTAATAAAATATTTTTAGAATCATTTTGTTGGTTCACGCATGAGATTTAAAGTAAATTAAAGTTATAAAATAGCCTAAATAAAATCCATGGGTCTCAAACCATGTGCGGATGGACGAAAGTACAATCAAATATAAAAGCGCAACTTTAATTCAACAAGCAGTGGCGAAGATAAAAGGTTAATTTGTATTGCTTTTCTTTGTCGCCTCTGGAATTCACATCCATTGATCAACTCTTTCTCTCGATCTCTTTCTTTTTCTTGTTCTTTTACGTGTTCCACCTTGCATATAAAATATCTCAATGAAAATTATTCTTTAGTACTTTTTGAATACTATATTCAGAGAATGAGACCATCATTCTCAGGCGGGTTCGGTGAGGAGGAGCCTCTTGTGAGGAATTATTATTAATGGACTAAATTAATCCAATAATAGTAAATGGATTCAATATTATATCTTCATGGGTCCTCTACTTATATAGGCTTCACGTATTTAGCTCATGACCAATCAATGTGAAATTTATCACACTTGAATATCTCAACAATCATGATCAATTGAGATATCTAGCAAAGAAAATCAAATATAATTGTTACTTAATTAGATAAATAGGAGCTTGTTTTTAGTCATTTTCGTACTTATTTTTGTTGCTTTTTCATGTTCATCTTAAAGAAAAAATGGAACCCTCAAGACATAATATATTTCGGTATGTCTTGTTTATACATGATTTTACAGATATTTAATCATGAATAAGATTTTTTATTTGCTTATAAGAAATATTGAAAGAAATTTCATTTCTTTCTCTTTGTGAAATTTAATTTATACCATAGTTTTAGAGAATGCATTCATAATATATGCATTAATATTATATTCTAATATTATAAATTCTATGAACTTACTACATTTAACATTAAAATTCTTTTGTATCAATTTATTGATGAAGTGAGATACAAATACATGGAATCTCACAATTCTCCGAAGCATGCAAAAGGATAAAAAAGAGAACTTATTAGTTATTACAATCAAAGCCAACTTAAGCACACACACACTAAGACGCAACAAAACTCCATATAATTAAGGAAGCTGTTTGCTGGTTAGACTTCAGTTGTAATCAGGATTAGCCAAAACATAACCCTCAATGGCCTTGAAAAGAGCATCGCCTTTGGCTTTGCCATTCTTGAGTTCGTCTTCACTGGGCTCAGCATTTCCTTTGGTTTGGTACTTGACAGTGACCTTCCCAATAGACCCTCCATTGGGACCAGCAACCAATTTGGAATCGAATGAGATCTTCTCCACTGTGTCTGGCAACCCAACGCCCCCAACTATGCTGTAGTTATATCCAAAGTTAGCCTCATCAATTGCTTCAACTTTGTGCAAAACATACTTGGTTTCCCCACCTGCCCATTCATTTAGATTATCACATTGACAAACATCATATCATCAGCTTAATTAGTTGTTATATATATGTTGATTAATCGATTTCATTAATTTATAGTGATAACTATATATATATATATATATATATATAGGAGGGATATTCTCACTACCAAAATTTTCTACTACTAACTTACTACCTATCTAATCACCATTAAATTAACATTTTCTTTCTCTTCAAAAACTTTTTAACTTTCTCTCTCTTTGATCCAATGGTGATGTGATGGGTAGTAAGTTAGTAGTAAGAATTTTTGGTAGTTAGAATATTCTTACTCATATATATATATATATATATATGCTACATATATTATGTATAGCTGGGGAATTATATATATATAAAAGAAACTGACCCTCAAGGAAAGTGAGCTTCTTGATGGATCCGGGGCCACCATTTCCCTCAACGGTTTCAACACTCTGAATGGCCTCAACAGCCTTTGGGATGAGATTATCGGCATCTTTAACCATGGCTTTGTATAGCTTAGCAGGAGCCACAGTAGAGGTGATTTCGTTCTCAAAAGTGAAAACACCCATGGTTGATGGTTGGTGAATGTTGATAATGGCCTAAATGGAAATATTGATGCGAATAACACAAGTTTGAGAAAAAGCTTTCTAGCTGTGCGGTTCATGAGCTGAGGATAGCCTTGTATTTATAGTGTCACTCTGCTTGTATGCCCCTTGTGTGAAGGTGCTGAATCACTCACACGAGAGCAAGTTAGGCCACTTTTTTTAATTCTATTTTTTTTTGGTGTAAAGCTAGTTAGGCCACTTTACCTTTTCATTTTTCTATTACAACAATATCTTTCCACATAAATGTATTTTTATTTTTTTAGATATTTTTTAAAAATTAATCCGATTCTGGCGAATTTCGAGATTAAGACTTTAAACCTATCTCAAAGACGATACTAAGAAAAGTCAAACATATGCTCTCATTCCACATGTTCAGTTTTCTGACACCAATTGAACTATTATCATTTGGTAACAATGCAACTCTCTATATATTTACAATTTACAAACAATTTAGAAACTATTATGTGGTCTTTCTTTTCTCTATTTTAGTAATTTCAAATATTGCCTTTTCCTCCGGGATAATCTGTACTATCTCAAATTCTCAATCACTTTTTTTTCTTGGTAAAGGGAAAAAAATTCTATTGTCTTTTAGTTTGTTTGATTTTTTCTTTTCTTTTTTTTGCTCAAAAAGCTATAAATCACAATTTGAACAACGGCTTATTTTTATTAACTTTTGCTCACGTCATGAAATTAAAATTTAAATCGGGAAATTAAACATATGATTTAAAATGAAGGTTATATTTACTATCATTTATATTTTACTACCTAATTGATTATGTTGAATCAATTTGAATTTAACGATAATTAATTTTTTTTTCATACTTTAACTGTTGATTTTAAATTAGTTTAATAATAAATAATTAAATAATAAAAATAATAAACTTATAATAGTAATAAGTGTAACCGCTTCATCCTTTAATATCGAATCCTTTAATATTATGCGATTGTCAAATATTGCGATTTGGAAGCATTCGGATTCAAAGAAGTTAAACACATCACGTTCAACGATGGTGTACTGTTTGTATTCAGAGTTATAAAATGATTCATAAAGTAACGCACACAAAAGCCGGAAAACTTGATGAATGCTGTAGCATTTAATGTGGACGAAAATTTGCAGACGCCCTTCCAGAAGCCTTTTTTATTTGTCTTTTTTTTTAAGCAATAAATTGAACTTTTAGTCCTTATATTTTTTGTATATTTAATTTAGTATTTATTTTTTCAGAAAAATATTTCTGCATATTAATAGAGATAAATTATCTGTATTTACTTTCAAAATGATGTCATTTTAAAATATTAGAAATTGTAATTATAAATATTATAATAACCCTGAAATAAATTAAAATTATAAAAATACCATGATTTCCGCTTCAAAATGACGTCGTATTGGGCTTACTGCAATAACTTATCTGCAGTAACGGTAGAAAAATCAAACCCTTATTTTTTTAAATCAAACCTCGTATATAAATGTTTGTAAAATAATTCTTAGGTGGCGTTTGTTACGTGACTTATTTCAGAATGACCGGGAATGCATGATAGGAGAAATATGTTAGCAATGTTTGGTAACTGAAATTTGATGACTTTTCAGAGCAATTTTGTTTCTGGAAAAATGTTGAAATGTGAAAAAGAATGTACTCTTTGACAAATGTGATATCCACAAAATAGATGGATTTGTGGACTTGCCGGGGATGGAAAAAAAATGTTGACAAAAATGACCTTTAATTTGAATCAAAAAGGTAAAGGTGTAAAATAACCTCACATTCTCACTAATATTTCATAACCAACTAAACACAAACTCAGTAAAATTAATTTCATTCTTTCGGAAGAATATAAGTCTACCAAATAGCTTTTTAATAATATTTCAGTAAAATATATTTTCTATTACATTTTGATAATAATTAATTCCTGGATTAAAAAAAAATTCTCAGGTACCAAACGTCTCCTTAGGGTTAGTTAGCGTTACCACCTCACTAATTTAGTTATTAAATATTTTTCAAAATGAAATTAAAGTACCACACAATTGAGTACGTCTTCAGAAGAAATAAATACAAAAGAAAGGAGTACTGTTGAGTCTCGAAAAGAGACTTTAAATATTATTGGGAAAGCTAGATTTTAGTTGATTTATTAAGCTTTAATCCCTTTAATATTTATTTTCTAACACACTTTAGTGAGAATGATTAATGGACTCTTTCTTATTGATTTTTCAGTTTTATTTGAAGGCCCAGAGTGCAAAGTTTACAGAACCCAAATTAAAAAAGAGAGAGCAGCATCCAGCCCAACTTAACAATCTTTTGAAGGGCAAAAGGAGATAAGAAAAAGAGTAAATACATTTTTTAGTCTCTTAATATTCACGAAGCCTCTTTCAGTCTCTAACAATAAAAAAGGGATATATTGGTCTTTTAAATAACAAAAAACAGGCCACGTTTGTCTTTCTGTTAAATCTCATCTAACGGATGAACTAACGGTGCATACTTGACACGTTAGTTTACTGACGCAGACTTGAGTGGTCCACGTGGAAGTTGAGACGACGTGTTTAGCTACCTTTTAATTTTATTTTATTTTTTCCTTTCTTTCTTCTTCTCCTTTCTTTCTTCTTAACAGACTCACCCGAACTTCACCCATTTTCTGGTTTCTGATCTCTTTCGGAACAGTAGCAGAGCAACATCTCTCTTTCTAGTTTGTGGCATGTGACTCCAGTGGTGGCGGTCAGTTCTGATCCACAATCAGAAACAAATAAAGGAACCATGTTGTACAGGGTAAACTCAAATCTGGACAGTTTTCAGAGACCATTTTCAAAAAACAACAAACCTTCTTTTTGGCTGCTTAAATAAGGATCTTACACGTCGAGCACCAACTCCAACAAACCTGAGAATGAATAGCAACATGAAAATTATCATCCCTAACAACCAACATATAACAACATCCCTTAATGTGATAACAAATGGCTACAATATATATATGTACAAGCACAAAAGATCCATCCATGAACTCACAACTTCCTGAACAAACAAAGATTAAATTTAGCATTTTGTTAAGAGATCACATGAGAACATTTTAGCATCTAATTTACCAAGGTAGAGAGTGTCACACACATTTCACAGATAAAGAAATTCTAGAATGTTATTAACCCATCATTCTGTACTATATATTTTGCCTATTCCAATTATTTGGATTTATTCCCTTCCAATAGAGATCATAAAAAGCCAATTCCATCAGTCAGCTGAAAATCGAGGGCCCTTGACAGAGATACTAAATTATTTTCATATAGTCTACCACAAAAAGAAAAAGAAAAAAATATTTCCATACGTCTTAACAACAAACATGAGTTCAATATGTCAAGAAGCTCAAATTCAATTTAGGAATCTAACCAACAAATAATACATCCACTTCTACAAAATGGTTCTATACTCCCCCTGCCCCCAAGAAAAGGGGACCAGAGAAAGACAGTGCTTCTTGTTAACAAAAGACTGACACTTAGCGAGTTAACAATATCATTATGGCATATGGTTGATAAGGGTATGTTCCCATTAGAAAGCAATAATAAATGAGACCTAGTAATCAATAACAGAAAAGCATTGGAAACATATTGTATGTTTTACAATTGACAACTGTGCTCTTGTTAACAAAGTTGCAATATAACAGCATTCTTTATGCATAAGGATGGTTAACAACCAATGCATATAACATCATTCTTTATGCATATTGTTAACAACCAATGCACACTGAGAAACATGGTATCTTATAATAAGCCAAGCTAGTTCATCAGCATGCATACAACGAAAACAAATAAAGAGAATATATATATATATATATATATATATATATATATATATATATATATATATATAACATTATGATGACCATAACCTAACATGTTTGTTACCATGAACAACAAAATTTGCATAAGGAGATGGATTAAATATGTTAACAGCTCATAAAAAATGATGGAACATTAGGTCTTCGTACTAGGAAAAAAGAAGCCTATGCATGTAGAGTAGAAATATGAACATTAGCTGGATTTTTTAGGTACTCTACTACTTCCTCAAGTTCTTGCTTTGCATCATCACAACCTTTCACATCCTTAAATGTTTTTACATTCTGCAACAAGAGAGAGAGACCTGAAATGTAAAAAAGATTGGAAAAAGAGGTGTGGCAGAATTTCTAATTTGCTGATATATTCTACATGCAAGACCTCCCATACAAAAAAAATAAAGAAACTCCGAATGACCCACTTGATAGTATTAGATATACTTTCAGAACTAATGGGTGTGGTGAAATTTTCCAAAATTTCCAACTTCATAACTGACCGCCACCACCGGAGTTACATGCCACCTCATCTGGAGCCAAAGGAAACTGAGATTGATCCACGTTATGGTGTTGAGATTTTGTTTTTTTTATGTAGATTTTGAACCTCAGGTCAATAAGGAAAAAAAATAGTTTCTTAAGTGGCTCAAGGGACCGCCACCACCCTGTACAGCTTGAACCTTCAGGTCAGTTTTTATGTAGATCAGAACTAACTGCCACCACCCTGTACAGCTTGTTCCAGAAAGAGAGATGCTGCTCTGCTGCTGTTCCGAAAGAGATCAGAAACCAGAAAATGGGTGAAGTTCGGGTGAGTCTGTTAAGAAGAAGAAGAAAGAAAGCGAAAAAAAAAATTAAAAGGTACCTAAACGACGTCGTCTCAACTTCCACGGTGGACCACTCAAATCCACGTCAGCAAAGTAACGTGCCAAGTGTGCACTGTTAGTTCATCTGTTAGATGGGATTTAAAAGAAGGACGAACGTGGCCTGTTTTTTGTTATTTAATGGACCAATATGTCCCTTTTTATTGCTGGGAACTAAAAGGGGGCTTCGTGAATATTGCCAGGGACTAAAAAAAGTATTTAAGGAAATAAAACTTAGGGCATAATTGTAAGCAAAGGAAATCAGGAAGCAGAAGTAGCTATCAATAAGTAGCTCATTTTCGTTTCCAAAGCAAAAGTTATCAAATCCTAACCCTTTTTTCATCTTGGTTGTTCGAATCAATCAACCACACCAAGCCATTTTCCATTGTTTCTAACCTAAGTAGTTCACCCAATCCGTGGCTTGAGCCAAATCTTATCTACAAAATACAAAAGAAAGAATCTTATCTATTTTGTGAGCTTGAGGCGGTTACGGGTTTTTGTAAGGTGAGTGTGGGACCTGAAGATGCTTGCACAAGGGATAATCAAAGCATGAGAGTGGAGACATGTGGCTGTTGATGACAAGGTCACGAGACTTACGCATGCCAAAGAAGCTTATATAAAAGAAGGAAGAGAATCACCGAGTGAGTCTTCTTCTTCCTCTTTGTTCCTTGTTGATAATTTTTTCTGCGGAGTCTGTTTTTATTTTAAAGTACAATAAGTGGGGCTTATCTTGTGATATAGCCTCTGTCTAATTTAAATTCAGTTTTAATTTGTAATTTCTTTAAGTTCATTTACTGTTTCGAGCTCAATCTTTATAAATATGAGCTAATTTTCTAGAGATTGGGTCTAGGTGATTCCCGAACCTCAGAATTCTATGAATGGTTGTTTATCTGCATATTTAATGTTTAATTTTAGTTGTTCAAAGTTGTATTTCATTATTAAATGATGTCCGAATGTTAGAGGCTTACATTGAAATGAGTTGTTGCGAAACAACTATTGCTTTGAACACATGAACTTGAGTGAGGGATGGATTTCACTTTAGACACGATGGAATGCATCATGTGACGATGGAGCTTCAAGAGTACCGACAACTCAATCCGCCAACCAGCCAAAACGGGGCAGGTTGGGTTACATATCTCAACACATCAACTCACCTCACTCTGTCTCGCTGGGTTATGGGTCAAAATGGATTAGCGGCGAGTTGAGGCGGGTTGGCCCGTAGGGTCATTTTTATTTTACTATTAAGTATTATTATATTTGTCATTAAGCTTTTATTCAAAAAAAATTATCTTAGTACTCCCTTAAAAGAATAAAGAAGAAAAACTTTATTTATGACAAAGGTTATTCATATATAGAGGTAAAACTGAGTTCTTAAATAATGTCTGACTGAATATTAATATATATTTAAAATTAAGATTGAAAAAAATTAAGTGGAATGTGAAATGAAATTAAGTAATATTAAAATTTGTAAAATATAATTCATTTTTAAATTTTAATTATTTTTCAAATGGGGGGCCAACCCGCCATAAAACGAGATAGGTTAAATTTTTGAACCCACATTCAAAAGTGGGCCAACCCGTCTCGCTCTGTTTTTGGCGAGTTGGAGTAGGCCAACCCATATCGTCACATCTATTGAAAAGTCTAGATTCCATTTGCATAGGAATAAGTTTGTGGCTGAATTATGAATAAAATAACTTTTAAGGAATTAAAAGTTAATCATTGAGCCAATCAACTGAAAACCATTCATAAGCAACATGGTAAGAAATCCATTCACTTGAATGCTCTGGCGAGGGGAAACCAAAAATTTAACCCATTTTTATAATATTTTCACCAACATATTTCTTTACTTCTCGGTTTTAAAGCATTGTCATTTCTCAGTTTATATTTTATACAAAAACCTTGATCCAGAGAAACAAATAGCTCTTTAATTGATTTTATTTTTTTTACTTAGTTCAAACTCCACACTCATCAAATAAAAGTTTATTTAGAAAAATTTCTCGTTCATACTCAGTTTGGTTAGCTTTTATGTAATTGATTTTATTTTCTTTGATTTAGTTTCTTTATTTTAACTTTCGCTCAAGCAATTGCCATTTTAAATTTGATTCAACACGCCATGATCTCGGTAGGACAATGTAATATTCCAAGAAAATAATAGTAATTTATAATACAATAAATTATAAATTAGTAGTAATAATAATAATGTGTCTATATATATATATATATATATATATATATATATATATATATTATTAGGATTAGATGATAAATTGTGATTGTTTGAATTATTAATCGATTGATCATTTATGGTCATTTACGCATTAATATTTGATTGGTAATTTGTTTAGATTAGGATGAGTTAACAAATTTTTTTTGATTAGATATGATAAGTCAGCCTTAAGTCAATCATGAGTCAGGTCTTGAGTTAATAACTCAGCGATATTCCGAGCCATAAGAAATTAAAAAGAAGAGAAAAATAATTGTGCGAAGCCCAGCCCATATCTGAGCCTAGAACTCTAACTATAAATAAAGGCCTAGCCTAGTCTAACCAAACCACTTTCCAGAACAGGTAATCTTGATCCCTGGGTTCTCTTGCGTCATTTGTGTATATGAAATTGTTTGGTTTGGTTTTGTTAAGCTAAGTCTTTGTTTATAGTTAGAGTTCTGGGCTCAGATATGGGCTGGGTTTCGCACAATTATTTTTCTCTTCTTTTTAATTTTTTGTGACTCAGAATATCGCTGAGTTATTTGCTAACTCAAGGTTGACTCATGATTGACTCAAGAGTCAAGACTGACTCATCATATATAATCAAATACAGTTTGTTGACTTATCTTAATCCAATCAAATTACCAATAAAATATCAATGCGTAAATGACCAATCAATTAATAATTCAAATAATCATATTTTATCATCTAATTCTAATATATATATATACACACACACACATTATTATTATTCCTACTAATTTATAATTTATTACTATTTTTAATTTATTGTATTATAAATTATTATTATTTTCCTATGATATTACAGAAGATATTAGGGTCTAAAACTCATTACTACTTATTGTTGTGTATACTTGTATGTCAAAGTTGCATAACTATTAGCAAGACAACAAGTACTACCTTAAGTTTTGTAGAGAGAGAGAGATGGAAAATCTAAAGACCACTTAATGGACAAAGAAACACAAAGCGGGTTAGGCAATTGAAGTTGTTAGAACCAAATGATGCAGGAAATTTGAGTACGTGAGGATAAGAGTAGGAGTGTAAATAGACTAGGCCGACTTACAAGAGCCTACGATTTAGCCTATACTATCCTATACCATGCTTAGACTTTTTAAAAAATCTATTTAAAAAGTAGGCTATATGTATTTTTGTATATGTCGAGCTATAAGCCTACAAGTCGACCTATATCATATTATTTATTTTAAATAAAATAAATAAAATTATTATTTTAAATTTTTTGAATAATAAAATAATGTTATTTTAGTTGTTTTTTTTAATTATTGAATGTTTAATAGGATTAAACAGGCTAACAGACCAAAGCCAAAATTTTTATATTTTAAATATAGGTCAGACCAATTTTGTAATTTTTGCCTACACAAGCTAGCGCTAGGCAAGGCCAAAGTTTTTATTATATTTTTTTTTATAGGCCTGGCCTATTTAAACAAAAGCATAACCTAACCTAGCCTATTTACACCCTTAAGTGAGAGTATATGTTCATCCTATTCAATACCATCTTGAGGAATTTATTGTCCTAATCCTACTCGCCAACAACAAAATTGCCTCCCATGCCTTGATTTATCAAAAAAGAAAAAGAAAAATTGTTACAATGTGTTATGAGACAAATTAACGGTGGGAAGTGGGAACTATTTTGTAAATGTTAGAAATCAATAGAAAGGTTAAGAAATTAAAGAGGCTGAGTTAAAAATGAATAAAACATGCAAATTTTATTTCATACATTGATATTAAATATAAAGATACATTTATATAGTACTTATTAAGTATTTCTTTAGCTTACTTTAAGTTCTATTATCTGTTCATATTATTATTGGAAGTTTTAATGAAAGATATTTGAATAACATTTATATAACTTTGTTTTGTATGTTTCGTTATATTTTAATTCTTCTTATACCAACAGTATTAGTATAAGGTGTGTCAGAGTTTTCTTAACTATATATAAAATAGTAAGTTCAAATTATATAATATATGATGAGAAAGTTTTTTAATATTTTTCTTTCTTAATATATAGAGGTGAAATTAATTATTTTATAAGATAGAATAATAAATTTTCTAATAATACGATTAAAAGTAGTGAAATTTGGGTAATATAAACTAATTAAACTAATAGTTGTAAATATTTAAGTTTACTTAGCCATCAAAATTTAAGAGCAAATATTTGCATGATTTTTTTTTACTATTTGTATGATGTTACTTGGAAATATAAGCAAATCAAATTAATTGTAAAATAAAATCATATTAATTTGTGGAATTAAAAAACAATATATATATATATATATTGAGTTCTTTTAAATAAAATTATTAATTATCAATTTAATTATAAATATTTTGAATAATAGATACTTAATTAATTGATCAACTGTTAATTGTTTCTATTATATACAAATAATTGGCGTAACGCATGTTTTATCCTCTAATTTTTGTTATCCGAAAAAAATTTAAATTATAAATTAACACAACATTTTTCTTGAAAGTTAGTTTCATTAGCATGACTAAAGGACTAATTTTACCTAACTATTACACTATACTAATGACATTTTTCTACTTAAGATAATGGAACTGATGGAATTAAATCTGATAAGATGTTTAAAGATAACTTTCAAGAAAATATTTTGTTAATTTAATAATGGGAAAAATGTTTCTGCAGTTACTGCAGACAAGTTATCTGCATTTTTCCCAAAACGACGTCGTTTTGGTATTGAAATCTTAAAAAATTATAAATATAAAGACTATTATAACCCTGAAATAAATTAAAATTATAAAAACACCATGATTTCCGCCTTAAAACGACGTCGTATTGGACTTACTGCAGATAACTGCAGAAAAAGCGAACCCTTTAATAATTTAGATAACTAATTTGAAAAAAAAAAATTAAAGTATAAATTTTAGAACCAAAAAATAAGTTGGAGAATGAAATTTTTTTATGCCCAACCAAACAAATTATTTTTTTTTGGTAGACTTACATTAGACTACCCTTAATTGTTAACAATTTTATTTGAGGTTTCAATATAAAAGTTATCAAATAGTTAAATTTGAGTCCTAAAATTATATTAGAAGTGATAAACGTTAACAATTAGAAATTTTTTTTTATTCAAATCGCTCAATATGTAAATATAAATACAATGACTCGTATGTACATGTATATAAATTAAAATGTATGAATTTAAGAAAAAAATAATTGTCTTTTAAAGGACACAAAATTGTGTTATTTTAAGTGAGAGAAAGACACAACTTAATTTTTTATTTAAAATTTAAATATAAAAAATCACTCATTTTCTCTTTCATGAATTTCATTGCTTGTGTTTTTCTGTCACTTAAAATGACATAAGTCTATATCCTTTAGGAGGACAAAAACTAAACCCTAAATTTAAATATTATTACAACTAAATAATATAAAATTGAGTCATATAATAGTAGTCATGCAAATATTTTGGGACAGTGACCAATGTGCCACGCTTTGGCAAACAAATTACCAAAATGTCACGCGAACAGTAAAATTTCTCAAACTGCCTCGCGGGATAATTCGCTACACAGTGTAGCGAATTACGTTTGCAAATAATTCGCTACAATGTGCAGCGAATTATGCCAGGTCAGGTTGCCCCGTCAGCATCACTGACAGTGACTCCTGCTCACTGTAATTCGCTACATACCCCAGCGAATTACTCCTGGGATGACACGTGGCATTCTTGCGACGGGGCAATCTGACCTTGCATAATTCGCTGCACAATATAGCGAATTATTTGCAAACGTAATTCGCTACACTATGTAGCGAATTATCCCGCGTGACAGTTTGAAAAATTTTACTATTCGCGTGGCATTCTGGTAATTTGTTTGTCAAAGCGTGGCACATTGGTCACTGTCCCAAACATTTTTATTTTATCTAGCGTTTGTTGGACACTCGAGTACTCGACAACCGGGGTGGAATGCACAAATATAATTTTTTGTAATTTAAAAAAAAATTGCATTGTAATAATGTGCCCCAGTTAAAATATTTTTATAATTATTTAATTGAAAAAATAAGCTAAATATGCGATTATGATAATATTTTATTTATGTTAGTTGATTATGATAATTAAGTAACTAAGTATAATAATATGAAATTTAAACCATCATGATTGATTTAAATAAATTAAGTTTAATATTTAAAATATTTATTTTAATTAATTAGAATCTTGGGAAATAAATTTGAATTTGAATTTAACAAAATATTAAATTAATTTTGATATTTTATTTATCTTAGTTGATCATGATTATGAGATAAAGTATTTGAAATATCATGATTGATTTAAATTGATCAATTTGATATTTAAATAAATTGTTTTAATTAACTAAACTTTTAGTATTTAAAGCTTTTTCCACACAAATAATCGGTGAGAAACTATGCTGTGTTTAAATTATCTTAACGGATGATGAATGGCTGCAAATAATTAATTGATAAGAGTATTTTAAAACAATCATATCACTAAATTTAAATCAGTGATAATTAGTTAAATTAACAAATAATATGCTATCTATTGCCCGCGAGAAAAAGGGGGAGAGGGGGGCTAGTACGTTGATATTGGATCTAGTGCCCTCTCCAAGGTATCTATGGAGTAGATATCCTAAAATTATATTAAATACTATAACGGCGTTAGCCAATGGGGTGTGTGCGCACAATAACAACATAACAGTAAGAGAGAGCGTACGTACTTTTAGGGTTTACCTTTGTATTTATAGGGTTACCTGTGGGTAGTGTGGATGGGCCTTTGGTTCCTCTGATGAGGATCCAGGCCTGATAACTATACTGTCGTATTAGGATTAATGTCCTTATTGGATATCTATCCCTTATTGGTATCAATCCATATCTTAGATTGCCCCTTATTGGACTTGCTACTTAATGGGCCCGTTATATGGTCTATAACAATATGCTATAAAGCATTTAAATGAGAGATTTATATTTTTAAATCATAGATGTAAATAAATATGCAAAATAAGTGAATATTTGCAAAAATAGCTTTAAATAACAATCAATCCATATCTTAGATTGTCCTTTGTTGGGCTTGCTACTTAATGGGCCCGTTATACGGATCCATAACAATATGCTATAAAGCATTTAAATGAGAGTTTTATATTTTTAAATCATAGATGTAAATAAATATGCAAAATAAGTGAATATTTGCAGAAATAACTTTAAATAACAATCAAAACATTATATGCTATAAAGCATTTAAATGAGAGTTTTATATTTTTAAATCATAGATGTAAATAAATATGCAAAATAAGTGAATATTTGCAGAAATAGCTTTAAATAACAAGAATCTATTTAATCGAAACAGTTACCTAGAAAATCAAAGTTAATCAAGTTTAAATCAATCATGATAGTTCAAATATACATGACAAGCTAACCTTAATTATCTCGTTATCATAAACAATTAAGATAAATAAAATATAGAAATAGCTTAAAACTTTGTTAAATTCAAATTCCCATAAAAACTAATTACTTTAGATGTCAAAATTAATAAATTCAAATCAATCACGATAGTTTAAATACCCATCGCATGCTAATTAGATTTAATTAGCTCTCTACATAATCAAATAAATATCCACTAATTAATCATCTTAAAATTAAATAATTGCACAAATTTATTAATGAAGTATCTTGTGATGTGGCAGATCTTTTTTTAGTTGCGCACATTGCAATTGCACATTTTCCCCCCCCCCCCCCTTGCCACGTGTCAAACGCAAAACAATGTAAAAGTATTTGCACGAGCACCAAAGCAATAAAATTCTTTCAGTGGTACACTAAAGCGGTCAATAAGTCTATATAATAATATATTTTAAAAATGAGTTTTTTAATTTTATAAATATGTTTATATCGGTTTATTTTAAATTACTATTTTTAATCAAAATTCCTCTTTTAAACATTTTACGTAATATTTCTCTTAAAGTATTTACTAATTTTTTATTAAATAAACTTTATTATCATAAACATTGAATTAAAAAAAATCCATGTAATACGCAGGTAACCTAACTAATAAATCATAAAAAGTTGTTTAGCGATTGTGGATTTAGATTCCTTTTAATTTAACTTTTGGGATAAGTACCAAGAAATTCAACTTTTGAAACGATCGAAATTAATTTAACATGAAATTATCAATAAAAAATATTTTAAGTCCTCATCAATTAATTAATCGTAATTACACTCCAAAAAAAATTCCTTGTACGAGCTTTTCGTTGAACAAACGAATTGGGGGGGCATTAGGGCTTTGTTTTTTAGGGTTAGGGCTTTAATTTGCGGAAAAGAATGAACAGAAGGGAACCGAGTATCGTGTATTCATATATATTCAATGCTGAAGGGACAAGTGTGGTAGAAGAATAGGAATTAGGAATAGGAGAATATCAAATTACAGATTTGTCTACATGTGGGGAACCATTAAATTATATATTTTATCATTAAAAAAATAATTACAACATGTCAAATACAAACAGTTATTATCAGATAATTCTTTAATAATGAAAAATTAAGTGATAAAAAAAAAAAAAAAAGTTGTTGCTAAAAGAGTGAAGAGTGCGCAATCTCTTGGACGCTAAATAAACCCTTGTTCACAGTTCACAATTCACACTCTTCACTCGGTGGTCGACTTAACCTAACCCCCAACGTCGTCGTTTCATCCTCGTTATTATCATTGTCTCGAGAAACCACCGTATCAATGTCGGCCATCGCCGGCGGAAGCCGCAGCCGGAATCGGCATCTCGGCGAGAACCGTTTCTACAGTCCGCCAGCGTTGCGGAAACAAAGAGAAAAACAGGAGCAGCAGCAGCAGCGGTCTTCGCTGTCGAGAACTTCATCGGAGAACAGGCCTGGTTCCTCTTCCGATTGTTCGATTTCTTCGCGTGCCACATCTGACATGTCCAATTTGGATCGATTATTGGAGTACATCACGCCCCAAGTTACGGCCCAATATTTACCGAAGGTGCCATCACCATCAATTCAATTATGCCTTTTTCCCCCTCCTAGTTATAGGCCACCATGGTTGAGGTGGTAAATTTGCAGTGAAGTAACAGCAATGGACACTGCTAGTGAATAAATAAATAGGATCTTTAATCGGTCAATTTTGATTCATATACCATCGAGCTTTTGCAATTTATGCGTTGTTTTAAGATTGAGCTAATGCAAACAACGTAGTATAATGTGGTTGCTATTTTAAGGTAGCATCAGTTTATGTTTTTGTTTCAATGGATAATTGGCTTATTTGGCTTTATATTTTGTTCGTGTGTGTGTGTGAATGGAATCAACATTCAACAGACAAGCTCGAGGAGATGGAAAACGAGGGAGGCGGAATTACATCCATACTATGTGCTTGGGGACTTGTGGGAATCTTTCAAGGAATGGAGTGCATATGGGGCAGGTGTTCCTCTCGTGTTGAATGGGAATGAATCTGTCACACAGTATTACAATGTCTCCTTGTCTGCCATTCAGCTGTATATCGATCCGTCAAAACCTTCCACACGTTTAAGGTCAGTACGTCACCGTGAAAACATGTCATCTCTAAATGCACCACTCAAATGATTGACTAAATTCCTTTCAGTTTAACATTCTAATGCAATTTTGACTTTTTTATTTCCTTTTGCAATTTGCTAATGTTATGAATACATGATTTGTTATTGTTCACTTTTTCTTTTTCTTTTTTACTTTGTCAATGGTGGGATGCATACCTTACATTGCTTATGCAGAGTATTTTGCATGCTGTGTAAAATGTAAATGTGGTTCAGTTTTACAAGCTGAGAACCGGAGGGTTTTATTTGTAGTCCTCTGATGCAAGGGGAAACATCAAAAGAAGGATCACATATTTTATCAATCATTACATGAATATTCTCTCTAGTAGCTTGGAGCAGAGCCTCTGCTCGTTAGAAGTTTGGAACTTACTAGAATTGAGTTTGATAGATCATAGCACTCTAAAGTCATGTTGATTAACGTATGAGTGTTGTTTCTGCTGCTGTCAGTATCCGAGCCTTCTAAAACGTACACATACTAAACCTGTAAAATTGAATGGGCCTTAAACAAACTTTCTCCTTTCTCTACAAATTGATGAAAGAGCACACAGATTAAACTCCCATGACAGCCCTGCCTGGTTCTTATTTTAGCGTTTAATCTCTTCTCAATATCTGACCATCTCATATCAGCTTGTGTGGGCCGGCTATAAAAGCACTCCCTATTAAATCCCGACTAGCGAGGGTAGAGGTGAGAGTAATCCTTGGGTGGGGTGATTATACTGAATAAAAATAAATACCAATGATTTTGGTTTGGTTTCTGGTTATTTTGCTATGGAGATGCCTTTGGCATGTTATAGAGAACATTCTCTTAATAACTACATGTTGAAGGATAACAGTTAACATAAGTGGGAGGAAAGACTATCTAGCTTAAGAACTCACATGCCTTACTGTCCTGTATTGACTATCTTGCATGATTTATTAACTATGCCAACATGGGCATATCAAGTTGTCTACAATTTTGGAGATTGATGAGTAAGTCGGTAACATATTTGCATATCAGGGATGTGTGATCCCAGAAACCTGAGATGAGCACAATAATGAAGTGATAACTGAAACTTTCCTCGTGTTATATGCTATTCAATTAGTTCAAGCTAACTGTTCTAGTATTACCTCCAAAGTGAATTTACTTATCTCTCTATTCTTAGTTTATGACGCTGTTAGAGAAATATAAAAACCATTAATTTAACCTCACCCAACAGCTTAAATTTTTGGGTTGAAATAGTTCTTTACATGGTATCAGAGCCGCTATGACTAAGTGGTCATGAGTTCGATCTTCACCGCCTCCATTCAATTAATAAAAAATAATTAAATATTATGGAGTTTCTTAGCAAAGGTAGGCTGAGTCTGATGCGTTATTTACCCTTCAAGTCCAATGAGCTCTCATGTGAGAATGCGTGTTAGAGAAATATAAAAACAATTAATATAACCTCACCCAATAGCTTAAGCTTTTGAATTGAAATGGTTCTTTATAGACACTTTAGCTGTCTTTTGGGTAATTGGGTTGAATTCAGCATACTGTCCAGTCCACACTCTGCAGCTCTGTGAAATACTCTTTTAACAGTACTTTTGCCTGTTGTCACTCTGAAACTATTTTTTCCTGCTTCTCATAGCCTTGTTACATGCTAATAGTTGCCCACTTTAATTAATCACATTCTGCATGTTGTAGACAACATTCAATATGCTATTACATCTTGAATTTAATAGTTGCAAACTATTAACCTATTAAATTCTGCAACTATTGCATACTAATAGTTGCATACTACCAGTTTACCCTTTTAGCTTAATTTAAAGACTTAGCACAGATTCATCTATTACATACTGTCATTCTCATTTCCATCTTATTCCCCAGGAAACCCAGTCAAGAAAGTGATTCTGAATCAGCTAGAGAGACAAGCAGTGATAGTAGCAGTGGCTATTGTCATGAAAGAGGAGCAAAGAGTGTTCATGGCAGTAGGAATCATCCTAACGTTTTGGATGCTAGCAATCATACTTTGGAAAGGGTTTCACTAAGTAAACCTTTCCTGGGTTCATCAAGTGATGAGATTGATAGCTGCAACCCACCTGGTCAGCTTATATTTGAATACTTTGAGCATGAGACACCTTATAATCGTGAGCCATTAGCAGATAAGGCAAGATGTTATCCTTTACTTGACTTACACATTGAGATTATGTTGCTTTTTAATCCTAACAAGTATTCATATTGCTTGACTCAGATTTCTGATCTTGCACGTCAATTTCCAGAGTTGAAGACATACTGGAGCTGTGATCTTTCACCTGCAAGTTGGGTTTCATTGGCTTGGTATGTTTTTCTGGTCCTCTTTGTCATCAGATTATTTTGGATGGATAATATACATGATAAATACTAATTCAAAATTATTTGTTGTTGTGTGCATTATGAAGGTATCCAATATATAGAATACCTACAGGTCCAACACTACAGAGCCTGAGTGCTTGTTTCCTGACCTTCCATTCCCTATCAACAGCTTTGCAAAGTATGTGTTGCTGTCCTTATTTAGTTTTTATGTTTGCCAAATGTATGTAAATGGGTATCAACTTTAACAGTTTGATCTTTGAATCAGGTTCAAATACTGACGGGCTACATATTAATTATTCGAGAGGTAGGGACATGTCATCCAAGCTATCATTGCCAATCTTTGGGCTTGCCTTTCACAAGTTCAAAGTTTCTGTCTGGGATCCTGATGGGGTTTCTGAATGTCAGAAAGCCAATTCTCTGTTGCAAGCTGCTGAAAACTGGCTTAGGCGATTGCGAGTTAATCATCCTGATTACAGTTACTTTATATCCCATCAAACACATTTGAGATGAGCAGAGGTTTCTCTAAACAGAAGCAGCCCGACTCCCAAATACCAGCTTATGTAGTCCCTGCTCAGTATACTTGTGTTGTCCATTAAATGAACAGTTATTTTTCCATGTGATCATACATAAACGCCAGGATCACTTGTGTTTTCCTAAAATAGAACGGCAGGGTTGCTGCTTCAGTAAGGGATTCAGGGGAAGAGTAGGTATTGAAAATTATAAACGTTTCATATTAAAAGGGCCTGCTTCTGATTTCACAGGATGCAAATGCCTTTAACGAAGAGTTTCTGCTTCTTTTATGTCACTTACCTGATGATGGCGAAAAGATCCAATTGATACGTATTTTACCTTTTACTTCTTGTCCAGTACAGCCGATTCTGACATATTTATGCTCAGTATATACATCCTTATGGCGAGATGTAAGTATACTGCAGGATTTACTACCACTTACTACCTGATTCGGAAATGTTTGTCATTATATTCTTTATGAATTCTGGATTTTATGATCAGCAGTAGTTTTTTTTTTTTTTTTTTTTTTTGGAACTCAAGAAAATGGATAGATAAAATTTCACACAATCTCAATCGTTATAAATAAATTTGTGCCGTCCAAACATGTAGTTTAATTTGGAATGTAGGGGATCGAGATTTCAAGAGAACTTAGCACAATAGCACCTCAGCCAAAATAAAAAATAAAAAATTCCACCTGGACAGGACCAAGACTATTTGATGATTTGATCAACTTTTGAATATTATAAGGTTAGAGTCGGAGTCCTTTTCTATTTTGTTTAAAACACATTTGGATATAATATTTAAGAATACATATTCGTTGTATTTAGATTTCATTTTCTGATTATCAATCTAAGATGATTCCAAAATAATAGCAGAAATTCACACTTCAGTACCCTTTTTCTTCTTTACTTTTCTTTTTTCTGGGGGATTTATGGCACAAAAGCTAAAAGGCAACCTAGAATAGGTAAAGGATTAATTCTCAGTGTTCGATCCTCCCCAGTATCATTCTTGAGTGAGGTTAAAGCTTCAATTCTAAACCCGTTCTGAACAGAATTGCCTCTCAAAGAAAATACCTGTGATTTATTAAAAAAAAAAAAAAAAAGTCTGAGGCTATGGATTCTCTGCACCTGTGATACATTCCTACATATTCCTCCGATCTAAGTTACTGCCACTTCATATCAATCTGATTAGAATAAACTCCTCCCTCATGCTCATAGCTCCTGCTCTTAATTCAATAGTGACAAACGAGCTACAACTTTTGAAAGAAACAGAGTTGCATGACAAGAAGTTCAAGTGAACAGATTACATCACACATTTCAAAGATGATACCAAGCCATCACTCCGCGTGATCAGTTGGTTTCATCACTAACTTTTGCAAAACAAATGAGCCTACGAATTTCCCATTCATTTCTCAAACCAACCAAAACCTCAATCAGACAATGATGCTTAAGAACTCATCTGTTTAACTTTCCTTCACTAGGTTAGCTTCAACCAAAGGGGTTGCATGCTCATTCATCAGCTACATCTGACACAGTCGTAGAAACTACACCAAGCAATCCAAGGCATTTTGGGGGAAAAAAAATAGACTTGGAATGAAGTAAGCCTCTGCCGCAGTGCAAATACACGCTTTTACATGGAACATTGACACCATGTAAAATCATAAGAAAACAAGAAGATATACAGGTAAGCGAGCACAATATATTAACATTTAACAATTCTAGAATCACTTATACAGCTTGAACACATGATATGTTTGGAGGAAGAAGCTGTGGAGAAAGGTTATAAACTTAAGTAGTTATTTGGAGACTAATAAGGTAAATAATAAATTAACAACGGACATATATGCATACAATTTTTTAACTCCATTAGTGTTAAACAATTATGAATACTTATTTAAAATTATCCAATATACGAAGTGGAAACCTTTAACCACATTTTCCCCCCAGACAGATCAAGTGGCCTAGCCATATAAAAAATAGATCCAAAGTAATCTGGTGCGGCATGCAAAATGAACATTGTATCCAATTTAAAAAGACAAGGAAACAGCAATAATTAATATAGAAACAAATCAAACTCGCAATAAGGATATTTAAAAAAACAAAAAAAAACCAATTTACTTGGTTATAAGACCGATAACCCATCCCCAAGTTTTTGCCACAAGTTGGACACACCTGAAACCAAAAGGGGGAAAACAAAGGCAATAAATCACCTTATCGTATTTAAATCCTTATAAAGTCTGACAGAAAATGTGTCAAGCAGCTCTCGTAGCTCAGTTGGTTAGAGCACCCGTTTAGTAAGCGGGAGGTCTTGAGTTCGACTCTCAACGAGAGCAATACTTGGGAAATTTTTGTGATCCCTTCTTACTCCAGTTGGATTGGTGAATTTGGTTTATTTATACTCGTAACTCGTTCTTATTTCCTAGCCCAATATGTTGCGTTTTAAGATCAAGATGAATTGAGTGGATTGGCCTTTATTAAGGGAGGGAACCAGCCCAATATGCTAGTAAAATTTGTCAGAAAAAGTTGAGTACTTCCTCCTCCCTGCTCAGATAAAAAAGAGTAGTTGGTCATAACTTCATAGTGCATGGCATGACCTTAATATTTTCCCTACAAGACACCATCTAATTATTTTGGCTTGTTTTCCTTTTTGACTTTTTGCAATCATTCTATTCGGTGATATGACGAGCAGATAGAAAATAAAAAACACGTATGATTGCTCCAACTGGAGTGACATGCAGAGAAAAAACGTATGATTGCTCCAACTGGAGTGACATACAGAGAAAGAGTGATGCTATGCATATTTTATTTTTTATATAAAAAAAGATATTGAATACATAAATATTTTTACAAGACTTGTGTAATAATAGACTAACTTTTAACTTTTTATGTCAAAAAAAAAGAATCTGAAAACTAATTTTTAAATGTCAAAGATTAATTTTCTGAGAGAAAAAGTGAGTAATAGGATACCTATTTTTATGTCATACTCAAAAACGAAAATATAAGGCTGAAATTTTTTTTGTGTGGCATTGCTTATGTTTGCGGCATGTGCACTCAATATGTTTGCAAGAAAGGCGCAAACAAAATGCTGCTTCTTCATTTAAAGATGCTCCGCTGACTCAACCTTGCTTAGCTTTATGAAATCACATACTCCTCATTTTGCTTCAAATTAGATTCAATGAACAGCGAAATTCCCCCAACTTGGACGAACAATTGCTGCTGAATAAGAATTTACTTTATATAGCTTCAAGATGATGTTTACGGGGAAAGCTAGAAAAGTGAGCATGCCTTTCCATAAGCCTACAAGTTAGTTGGTGGTGGACGTGGACTCTATGCTTTGGCTGAGTTATGTTTTAAATGGTTGATGTTTTTAGTGTTGAGACCGAAATAATTACACACACAACCTTAAACAAAAAGAAAAAAAAGAGAGAAGGAATGAAAAAATGGAGATACAAATTTATCCTAATTTGTTTTAGGGTAATGTTTTCCACTTTTCACATGACACAATCAATTTTCTTACATACACATAAAAGTAGGCTCATTAATTCTTTTATTTTTCTTTTATTTTAAAAATAGTGACCCCGTAATTGATTGTCTCTATGACATGATCTTAAAATTTTTCTACAACATAATACTTGTTTTCCCCTTTGTTATATCTATCAATGTTTCATAATATTCATCTTACTGCACTTTAAAATACTCTTTATAATCCACGCTTCATACACAAAGAATTCTTGTGTGAAAGGTGCATTATACAAATATATAAACAGTTATTTAAGCTTTCACTTGCAAATTTAAATTTTTAGGTTGAATTAGTTCTTTAGCATAAATATTTTTGTTCTTTTTATTTTATTTTATTTTGAGAAAAAAGGGAGTGCAGAAGGGGTCATCTCAGCTAATAAAGAAATATAAGATCTTTTTTCTACAAGAGGGCCAAAGGACCACCACCACATATTTACCTTGTATAAACGTCGAGTCCACTGAACTATTGTGTTTGATTTGTACAAGTGAAAAGTTTATAGTGTCGTACGAAGAATAGGAAATTGTGACCCTATCATGACTTTCTTGTCAATGAAACCTTTCCTCCTTTCTTGGCACTTCAATATCTTGAGCAGTAGGCTAACTAGTGGAACGTAACCAATGCCTGAAAAAGGGAAAAAAGAAAAGAAAAAGGAATATAAACTTGACCATGGAGTGCATATAATGTCACGGCAAGTGACTATTCGGGAGGAATAAAACTATTTGTAAACCGTACATGCAAGGGGTGCATGCACATGAGAAAGAGGCTTGGCAACTCCATAATATGTAATATGTGCTACAAGTTGCCAACTTGAAGAACTATGCTTGCAGATACACCATCGAAAGCATGTGCACTACTTGTAATGGTAAATTGATCTTGAATATGAATATAAAATCTATATAGCATAGGTCTAACTGTCTGTCCCCGAGGAGTGGTTTTCTTCTTTTTCTATTTCTCTCTGTTAATGAATTAATACTCATAATATGTATAGTATTAATGGATCATTACAACGACCCCTAAGTTAGTAGCTCATACCCTTATTTGAAAAATTAAACCTTCTTTCTTTATTTTATGTATGGTTTTACACCATGACATCCTTTTTTTATATAAAACATTTCACACATGACATACCTTATACCTCTCGCTTTAAAATATATACAAATCTTACACAAAGTGTCCTTTAAAATAACAAATTAAATGTGGTTGGTGTAATTACTCAAATAAAAATATTTTTTTTATACAACGACCACTCTGAACTTTAAATCTATAATTTTATGTAAACAAGTATTTTACCATAAACTCGCCCTTAATGGCTAAAATACAAAAGAAAAAAATGTTAGTGTGATGAGCACCAACCTTAAGAAAAGTCAGTATTATTGTAATACTACTGATAATGTAGATTGGGAATTTGGGATCACAAATTATAATGATATAATTACAAATTTAATCTAATAAATTTGAAAGTGTTTAAGCGCTTGTTGAGAATGTTGTAAAGAACCACTTCAAACAAAAATTTTAAGGCTTTATGTGAGAGTTTTTTTAATGGTTTATATTATTCTCTAATATATCCCCTCAAGCTCTTTGCCTAGGTTCAATTATTATTATTTTTTAAAAAAATGCTTATTTAATTCCACAAGGAAGTAGGAAGGTAAGGATCAAACTCGTAACCATGTAAAGAACTAATTCAACTCAAAACTTTAAGGTATTGGCTGAAAGCCTTTTTAATGATTTATATTATTCTCTAACATACCCTATCACGTAATAGCTCTTTGGGCTTGAAGCGTGGATATTACGTAGGCACAATTTTTTTCTTTTTCTTTTTGGTTTACCTTATACTTATTCAGTTCTACAAATGAGGGGCGATGATGATCGAACTCGTGACCTTGTGGTTACTGAAGTTCTGATACCATGTAAACAATCATTTTAACCCAAA